TAGCGATCCTGAAAGACATTGCCGGTCTTCAAATTGAACCATGTTACAGCCATGGCAGACATTTCTCCAGCGTTTCGATATGTTTGGAACTTTGGATAGTGATTGTGGGCCCAGGGGAATTTTAGTGGCAGGTGATTTTCAGAAAAATGAGGGAACATGCCTTGAGGCCACTATGTTCCAGCCTGAAGGCATCAGTTCTAAGGCAACGTTGTGTGACCGACTGAACTATTCCAAGGATGTGCCGTTTCAGACAGTATCATTGCTCTGGGATGTCAATCTCTCCATGCCTGAAAAAGATGAAAAATTTTTCTTCATGAACGTGGAACAGATTGCTGCAGGCAATACACCTGTTTTTCGTGTGGATCATCTCACAGTGCCAGTGCCAATCATCCAAGGGTCGACAGACAGAATCAAAGTCCTAGAGTTGTTCTCTGGGGGCTATGGTGGGTGGAGTGCAGCTTGTAAGTATTTGTCAGTTGTGCATGGCTCCAATTTTCAGGTTGTAGGGGTTGAACGTGACATCGATGCTGCATTTTCCTTTGCAATTGCGCGTGATGCCCAAATCTGGAATGGTGAAGTTTCTTTGCCGAGTCATGCCATTACTGAGGCCAAGTCCGATGTCGTCCTGTGTGCGAGTGTCCAGTCCATGTCGTGGGTCCCTTGTGTTGCCCAATGGTCCCCGGATTGTCTTTGCATTTCAGCACCATGTCAACCGTGGAGTAGTGCAGGTAGTGGTCAGGGATTGCTTTCTGAAGATGGGGAATGCCTCATGCAGGCAATGGCCTTGGCAAAACTTCTGAGACCACGATTTATCTTGTTGGAACAAGTTGCTGCCTTCATGACACATCCGCACAAAGCACATGTTTTGAGCTTGATCAGGTGGGCTGGTTTTTGTCTTAGGTGGAATAAGCTTGTTGATTTGGCTGAGCAATGTCCGACACACCGTGTGAGATGGTTGGCTCTTGCCGAAAGGGTTGCAAACATGCCACAGGACGCCATTCCTTTCCAATATTGGAAGGTCCAAGAAAAGGTGGTACCATCTTCATATGGTTCCATTCTTGCCAAGGACCTCACACTGGATGAAAGATTGACTCTGAATGAACATGTGCTTCGCTTGTCATCACGTGTTGACCTGTTGCCTCCAGGCAAACGTAGGTGCATGACTGCAGATGATGTGCTCATGGCCAGATGTTACAACATGCATCAATGCCTTCCTACTTTCATGGCATCATATGGATCACAACACATGTTTTCGGAACAGTGGCTTGCAAACAAGGGACTCCTGAGCCATTTCTACATTGACCCGGAAGGTTGCAAGAGATTGTGGCATCCCATTGAAGTTCTCTTGCATCATGGTGTTTGCACTACCCAGTTTGTCCATGGTGACTGGTCGTTGGCATGGCTCCATGCGGGCAATCAAATTGCCACTCCACATGCCTTGTTGCTTTTGACGAACATGTTGCGCATGATGCATTTGCCTTACACGCCGGATGTCCCCAATGTGTTGCAGGGATTCTTTGAAAGCCACATCACTGCCGATTCCCTTTGCATTGTCCAGTGTTCAAAGGGTCAGATCATCTCAGCTGAGCCCGTGGGATGGACCGAAAGTCAGTTTGCCAGCATCGACAACTTTCATGAGTGTCTTAAAGATGGTAATGTGCCGCCTGGTCTTTCATGGAGTATTGATGGCCTTCACCCATTGCAGTTGCAAATGCCCAAAGCAATTCCAGCTGCATCAGGCACTACGGGAATTGAAGCCACATGTCCATTTTATGCCACACTGACTGCCGCCTTTACGTCATCCAAAGCATTTTTTGAATTTGACTATGACCAGGAAGTGAGTTGCAACACTTTGCTTTGTGTGTGGGATCATGCCATGACAGTCCACCAAGATGCATCTCAGCTGGTCTTGCAGCCCAACATGACATGGACAGGACAGGATGAAACCAATCCGAAAGTTTTGATCTTTGCTGCAGCAAACGGTATCAGAATCTTGAAGCCTGAAAGAGAATCTTTGAACAAAGCCGTGCCTGGAGTCACAGTGTTTTTTGACCAATTTGGTCCCATTTCGCACATGAGCTTTGACAAAACTGTCATTGTTTATGAGCAGAACCCATGCCCTACAATTCCCGAATGGAATCAGACAGCCGCCAAGTTTGTCATGGCTATGAACCAATGCCAGACCTATGTCCACATTGACCCTCTTGCTCACGACATGCACCTGACTTTTCAGGGGCCACATGCGTGTGTTGCAACGGTTGTGAACTTTTGGCAGTGTGTCGTAGGTAGGGATTTCATGAAACATGTGGGTTTGTCCATGCAGTGCACCAGCAACAAAGCCGGAGCCACAATCAAAATGGTTTATGATGAAGGTAGGTGTCCACTTCCCTTCACTGGACTGAAGATTCAGTTGGTGGTTTTTGCCGCTAGGGCACTTTTTGCGAAACTGGAAAATGCTCATGGCAAGCTTGTCAGAATCAAATGGATGGCTCGGCCGCTTTGGCAAGGACGACTGCCTGCTGCAACAACTGGTGCCACCATTTTGCAAATTCTCCATGCAGTCACAATGATACACACTGGATCCATCAAGTACAGAATGATTTGCAATGGCAAAAGATTTGTTGACGAAAGAACTCTTGGGGATTTGAATCATGATGGTCAAACGCCGGTCACCATTCATACGGTTTTGCAGTTGCATGGTGGGGGTCCCCCGGGCACCAAACAAAGCTTGAAGATCCAAACCAAGAATGCATTTGCCAGCATGCTGCTTGAAGAAGGTTTTGAACTGACTTGGATAGGCCAAGCACTGGACACCATGATGCAGAAAGCTCCTGCGAAAGATGTGAACGAGATTTTCCACATGACAGCTGGACCTCAGAAACTGCAATGCCTGCTTGAAGTTTTGAAACAGTGTGACACTCAGATCCCAAAAATCAAGCCAGCACTTTCCTCGCAAGCAGCTGCCAATGCCAAACGCAAGAAATTTCCGACTTTGCCACAGCCAGATCAGTACGCAGTTGTGCCTGGATCGTTGCTGAATGAAGACGGCTCTGAAGCTTGCCAGACCTTGGAATTTGGATGCCAGGTCACAGGTTTCTATGTAGCAACACAGCAATTTGCAGTCCCTTGGCTTAGAACTGGTGAAAAGATTGCTGCAGATGAACTGGCAATGCTGATCATGGGTGATTTGCCTTTGGAGACCGCACTGCCTACCAACAAAGTCACTTTGCCTTTCAGAGATGAAAAAGGTCGAGATGTGCTCATTGCGTGCAACCTGATTCAATTTGGGGAGAAATCTATAATCCCCAAAGAGCTTGATCCGCATCTGATTGCCAGTGACAACACATCCTTGATGGCCATCACACTTTGGCAGCAAGATTGGGAGGAGCAATGGTCCTCTATTTGTGAAGAACAGCACAGGAAATGAGGACCTGGTGGTTTCCATTTGGGGACGCTCCTTCCGTAAAGGCAAGACACCAACCACAGCCCGTGATTGCACATCCATTCAAATGCACTGTCTTCTCAAGACAGAAAAGATGCACACGTTCATGTCCAGAAGTGGTTTTAACATGATCTGGTTGACACCCAAGGCTGAAAATGGTCGACCACATGACATGTGGAAGTTGATTTGGCTGGATCGAGAATGTGATGTACAGCAAGCATCTGTCATTGGAGCACGAATCCATGATGCTGCGGGCTTAGTCCGTAGCAACCAAAGATTTGCAATTCGTGTGCCGGCATCAAATTTTGAAAATGACTGGAATTTGGTCTTTCCAGGTGTGCCAGTTCCGATCTCCAAAGACACTTCCATTATCTTTAAGATTCAGTCGCTTCCGTTTGGAACTACCATGAGCATGCTTGAAGCTTGGTCCAAGCACATCCAATGGGACTTTAAGCCCCTTCGAGCAGTAGGACCAAAGGCCTGGATCGTAGGTGCCGGAAGTTTGCCTGAGACAAAGCAATACGCCTTTAATGGCATGCCTGTGCTCATTCAGGAAATTCACAGCCGTCAGGCCAACATGGTGCATCCCATTGTGGCTGGCCCCAAACCAGGCCAGAGATCTGAAATCAAAAGTGTCCACAAGCCACAACCGATTGCATTGACCTCTGATCCATGGGCTGCCTACACGGGTCCACGTCCACAGGCGGCAGTTCCATTTGCTGGCTCCGGCAACAACCAACACCCTGGGAGGATTGTGGGCCCAACTGCAGATCGTTTGACACAACAGGATGAAAAAATTGAAAAGCTGCAGAAGACCATCCAAGATTTGCAACAAGGCCAGGAAGCACAGGGCCTTGCAATCCACCAGGCACATGAAGAAGCAAAGAAAAGGGATGTTGCAGTTCGAAATCATGTTGATCAACAAATGCACGCCCTCAAGACTGAGTTGAATAATTCTTTTGTGAATGCGCTGCGTGCCCAATCACATTCGTTTGAGAGCAGTTTGAATGAAATCAAAAACTTGATCCTGGATCGAAACAAAAGAAAGTCCCCGGAAGAGGAAGAGGATGCTCTGATGAATCAGCCTTGACATATTTTCCTGGAACCAAGTAATGCCTATGCCTTTGTCTTTGCTGTGTCTTGCTTTCTGTCGCTTTTTGTTGGATCATTTTCCGAAGGCATTTCTTGTTTCCGCTTTGAAGTTGAATTTGGGTACATCCGTTGCCCTTTTTGGTGGGGCTTGGCCTTTTTGCAATGCCTACCAACGGCATGCTGCATACGATGCCCTTTATGCCATCACCTCTATGCAAGTGCAATACATTTTGATACTTCTTACTGGATTGCCAGACTAGGAGTTGCAATTAGATATGGAGAGGCAAAAAATCCGGGGCCTCCTGGCAATTGGGATGAATCAATTAGTTTCTGCATTACCAACCCTACCAGCCTTGTCAACAAAAGTGATACGTATGCCGAACTGATGCAGTCTCATCAGTGTGACGTAGTAACTTGTTCAGAAACATCCGCCACTGCCAAAACACAATGGCATTTTGCCAGTGCCATGCGAAAGCTTAAGAAGAAAACCCAGTGGTCTCCTGCAGTGCCTTCACTGCGTGCAACCGTCACTGGACAGCTTGATACTAGGGGTCAGGCATCAGGTGTAGCCATTATTTCAGGTTTGAACATCCGGCCTGCACGTTTGACACTTCCTGAGTCTTGGGCTACGACCACCAGATTCCTACACAGTATCCTGCAGGTTGGAGAAACCCATGTGCAAATCATAGTGCTTTACTGCCGTCCCACCTGTAACCAACAAAATGTGGCATATAATCAGGAACTCATGCAAATGGCCTTGGAGCAAGCGAAGCAAGTTCCTTTGCCTTTAATGATAATGGGCGATTTAAACGCATCTCCGGAAAGCTTATCTTGTTGGCCGCAACTCAGAGCTGAAGGTTTCCAACACCTTGCAGACTTGCATGAGAAGATTTTTTCTTTGCCCATGAAACCCTCCTGTAAAGATGTAACCAATCCTGATACTGCCATAATTTGCCCCTTGCTTGCCAAAATGGTGGTTGATATTGAAGTTCTTTCTTCGGAATGGTTTGCCACCCACCGTCCTGTCATATTTCGTTTGAAGTTGCCCAAGGGCAGGCTCTTTAAGACTCGGCTCAGATTTCCTAGATCCTTGCATGAACTAGGGCTTTCTCAAGACGAAATCAACCTGTCGGCAGAAAGGATTTGTGCTACTGCAGCTCCTGAGTCCTTGGAACAATGGGGCAAATTGGTTGAAGATGTCTTTGATGATGCTGTCTCAAGGTGCCACCCCAGTTTGAAGGCCCTGCCGAAGAGCTTCCGAAGCAGATGTCAGGATGGAGGCATTGTCAAATGTCCAATCAACTCATCCGTCAGGAAAGCAAGGGATGGTGATTTTGAACCACACACTGAAGTTTTGACCATGAAAACAAGACGTTTGGTGAAACAACTGCGCAGGCTTGATTCCTTTTTCCACCGCGTGAAGAAATTTGAAAGCCAAGGACCCACCACTGTCCGTACGTTTTCTGAGCTTAAACTGGAGTGGAAAGCCATAAGGAATAGCCATGTTTTTGGCATGCCTTTCTTGCATTGGACCCAAACCTTGATGGAACTCAACCTTCCAGAATGGCCACTGCCCTCATCGATGTGGGTTAACGATGCAAGACAGCATGTAAAACTCACAGTGGAACATGCCTTGCATATGGATGCCAAACTCTTGAGAGACAAAAACAGATATCACCAAGAACTTGACAAAGAAAACCATAACAAGCGTGCCTTTTCCAGGGTTAGAGGACCGGGTAACCCTCCCATCACCGAAATTGGGTCTTGTGTCAATTTCGAAGCAATTGTGGTTGCTACGGACTGTCCCCACACATGGGATGTCTTTGCAGAACCTTGTGACATTCAGTCCCTTGTCTTTGACATGCCAGTTGCGGTTGGTACACACAAGGGCACATTAATCAGAAAGGACATGCGCTATGCGGTGATCAAAGTTTGTGATGTGATGGATGCAGTGCAAGAATCCATGCCAATCTGCCAACATCAGTTTGCCATTGACCCTCAAACAATTGCCTTGAAGCTGAACGAATTTTGGTTGCCTATTTGGCAAAGGGACCAATTTGACCTTGACTTTGTTGATGATCCTTTTGGTGATGATGGTTTTGGACAGATCCTTGCACAGGTACCTGCCTTGCCACAAATTAACATGAACATGCTTGATGTAGACTACTGGGAAAAAGCGATCTCCAAGCTCAAAACGCATTCGGCCAGGGGTTGTGATAAGATCAGCGCGCAGGAGCTGAAAATGCTTCCTAGGTCTTTGATCGAATTGCTTGCCAAGGTTATGTCCAGTTATTGTCGAGGATTTCCGGAAGTTTTCATGAAAGGTTTGACTGCACCACTTGCCAAAACTTTACATATCCCTGGCAATCACCAGACCAGACCTATCACTATTTTGCCGCAGCTGTATAGACTTTGGTCCCACGTTGCTTGCGCGCAAATTTCGGAGGTACTTTGCCGTAAAATCACTGGTGATGTTACTGGATTTCTCAAAAACAGGGGTTCGGCTGACACGGCCTACTGTTTCCAATTTCACCTTGAAAATGCTAAGTGTGATGGCACGGCTTTGTCTGGTATCACGTTGGATTTGATCAAATGCTTCAACAATGTCAAGTGGAAGTTTGGATATCACATGTTGTTGCATCTTGGTGTCCCCATCACTATCGCTAAACAATGGATGTTGTCAATAGGACGCATGCAAAGACTCTGGCTTATCCAAGGGGAAGTTCTCCCTGCTGGTGGGTCATCCACTGGTTTTCCTGAGGGTGATGCCTGGAGTGTCTTAGTGATGATAGGTATTGCCAATGCTTGGTGCCATTTTGTCAGAAGCCGCTACACAGGATCAGACCTAGTGCTTTCTGCATACGCTGACAATTGGGCATGGATCCTTCAACAACAACAGGGGCATACGCCTGTCTTTCAAGCCACTGCTGAACTCACTTCGCTTGCAGGTCTGACGATTGACATGAGTAAGACCTGGTTCTGGTGTAACCATGTCAGTGATATTAACTTGATTAAAGAACAGCTGACAAGATTGCCAAATGGAAATAAGATCCAGCACAAGTCCTCTGCATCCGACCTGGGACATCAGTTGCACTACTCTGTAGGCAATTCAAATGGTGTCATCAATGAAAGACTCAGCAAGGGTGAGACCAGGCTCTTGCGACTCAAGTATATGAAACACTCCCTGGAAGTGAAGGAGCAAATCTTGAGAATGAGTGTTCTCCCAGCCACCTTTTATGGCTGCACCATCAAACCTCCTGCGCAAGATGCTATTGAACATATCCGCTCACTTGCTGCCCATGCGCTTCTTGGCTCATGTTCCAACCTCAATCCTTCAGTTGTCCTTTTTTGTGCCATTGGTGGGGTACTTGATCCAGAGTTTTGGATTTATGTGCAAGTCCTGCGTGCGGCTAGGATGTTTCTCCTGAAGTGCAACCCGGAAACACGAAGACGTTTCTTGCACATAGCATCCAGGTTTCATGGACATTTGTCACATGTTAGGGGTCCGGCCTCATGCCTCGCTCATTGTTTGCACAAGCTGGATTGGAAAATCAATGATAAGGGTGAAATTCAGGTCACTGCTTTCCTCACCTTTAACTTGATGTTTTGTAGCTTCAAGCGTTTTGTGCGATTCATGACCAGAGCTTGGCAAGAGAAATTTTTCATGTTGCACTCACATAGGACCAAGTGGTTCAACATGCCGGACGTTTGCCAACAAGAAACTACTGCAGTTTTGAAAACCTTTCCACATGACCAGAGAGCTGCACTCATGAGGGAACTGGGTGGGGGATTTCAGCTTGCGCAGCAAAAAATGAAGTGGGATAGCAACCAAACAGACAAGTGCACATTTTGTGAGGCCACTGACTCACGTGAGCATAGATTGCTGCATTGTCCGGTGGGGATGCATGTCCGTCAACCGTACACATGCCTTTTGCAGGAACTTGAAGAATGTGGATCGCTGATTCAGCAATATCCTTTTGCAGTTGTGCACCCTAGTTTTGAAGCCATGCAGACGATCCTTTTTAATGCCCCTGACCCGGTTTGGGGTGTTGAAATTTGCCAGCATGTTCGGTCCATGATTGCTAGGCAGGTCCAGGTGCACTGGTTCACTGATGGTTCATGCTTTCATCCTGCGTCACCCGTCTCCAGATATTCAGCATACGCCATTGTCCTGGATTTGTGTGAGAACGATGTGCAAAGAATACATGCTGCAGAAGCATATGCCAATTCCAACATGACATGTCCATGCCTGCAAATTGCAACAGTTGCCAGAACTCAGGGTGAACAAGATATCCTGCGTGCTGAGATGCAAGCTGTTGCAGCTATTATGCTGCAGTTTGGAGAAGGTGTAATCCATACAGACAGTCAATCCACCATTGACTATATGTGCTTAGCTCTTTCTGCGAACACTCCCTGGGAATTTGCAGCTTGCGAACACATGGACATCTTGTACAAGGTTTGGTCTCATAAACAGCATGTTCACAATACTTTGGCTAAGGTAAAGGCACATGTGGATGTGAATCAAGTCCAGGAGCCGTTAACTAAGTACTGGTCCATGGGTAATGCTTTGGTTAACGACAGTGCCAAAAATGCTTGCCAATATTTGCATACGCCTTTAGTGAAAGAACTTGAAGCACTGCATTTGGATACGATGCAAGCTCGGAAACAACTTCGCGGTGTTTTTTCTCTTCACTTGGAACTGCAAACTGTGAGAGCAATTGCGGAAGCAGAAAATAAAGGAGACAGTGCTAGAGCCCGGCACACACAAGATGACATTGTTGATGCCTTTTCCAATTGGTCTGTTACTCCATGTAGGTTTGTTTTGCAACAGCATGACGAACGGTTCTTGGAACACTCTTCTTTTGGACATGACTTAGCAGTTTCAACCTTGCGATGGATTCGACTCTTGCGGTGGCCCATTGAGGATGACAATACTCAGGGCCCTTTGGGGTTTCAGTCTGGAGTAAGTTGGTTGGAGCTGGGTTTATCATGGATGATTTTTCACTCATCATATCTTCCAATCATCAGAGCCGACGACAATGGTGTCAAGCGTTTGACTCTGCCGCAAAGTTACGATGATGCCAAGGACATGAACTTTACGCTTTCAGAAGGGGGGACTATGATTCAAAAAATGCTTGATAACATTGATGCTCTGTTGCCGGAACAGTTGCTATTTTCATTTCCGAGGGGAAAGGTGTCTAGCAGCTACAACATGGGGTACAAATCATTTGTTCAAGGCTTGAAAGTGCGTCCACAGTTTCCACATCAGGAGTTGGTGGTGAGAGAGCTCATGAGACTGCTAGGGACTGCTGCCTCTCCTTATCAGGCCACTCCCAAGATTGACACCTTGGTTGGAAGGAGACGACAGTTTACGGGTACTTGGCAGCAGCGACAGGACAAAGCTAAGCTTCGCATGATTTCGGTGCGGAAAGTTCGACGTGGCAGTCATTAGAGGGTTGGTTTTTTCATGTCTCACACAAGGATGGACGCCCTGTGCGATCGCAAAGTGTCACCCTTTGGGCAACTGCCGGGGGGGTGGCACCTTTCTTGAAGTGAATAGTGGCCTTAATTCAGGTTAGTGAAATATTATAATTTACCCAGATATGTGATTCATGATAGATTCATGATAGTTTTTTGTTGCTTCAAGATGTTTATTACATGAAAAAAACATATATTATAGTAGATCTACATACAGATACTGATCATATTTCAAACAAACCCACATGTAGCTTTATTTATTGTATATATATATATGTATATGTTTTTTTGGTAGATAATACATAGCTATCCTGTCTGTATGATATCTCTGCACCTGCATGGGTGAAACTAAATACTGTAGGTGGGTACCTTCTAAGATTCGCTATGTTTGATGATCGGGGATATTTAATTCATCATAAAGCTGATTGTTGGACAGTTCTATAGTGCTATCATAGCTATCTCATGTTTGTTTCTACTTCCTTGATATTTCTTTATCGACAAAAACACGCAATCGACCGCGCCTGAAATTAGACCAGATACCCTACTTGGATGTCCTCGTTGGTGAAGCCTGGAATATTTTCAGCCAGGAACCGTAAGAAGCCACGAATATTTCCACAGATTTCATTGGGTAAGGGGCTAAACATCCAAAAAAGATGGAGTAAGCCTAAGCATAGAAAGGTAACCACAGATACTTGTTTTTTTCAAGGCATATTCAAGCACTGAAGGGTGAGATCTATACATATCACCATTCTAGACCATCCCCCGTGACTAGACAATTCCCTAGGAACCAGCTGAAGGCGGACATGGGCCAGTCGTGGGCAGTTTTTTCGAGCTGAAAAGAGGGTTGAAGTGGCTGAAGATTCAGCAAAATTGGATGATTTGGAGATGAAACAGACATTTTACCGAGAAAAAAAATCAGAGTTTACATTACATTCTTGACTCAGTTGAGCATTCAGTTGAGCATCAGGATGAAACCCATCTCTGGCTACATGTTGCGTTACTAGTTGTGACTCCCAAGGGCCGAAAATGACATGTTGATTGTGGCTAGGAAAGTGGCTTATGAACCCATTAAGTATAGATGTATTTACTCTAAACCACAGCTAAACTGCAGACTTTGCTTAAAACAACTCACTGTTCAGTGTCCCGACGAGTTGTGTTTCATGAATATCATCTCTGCGGCATTCTGCGGCTTGAGAATCAAAGTAGTGCACGGTTGTTTCCTTGCCATTTCGTCTCATTTCCCGACAGCGATGGAAGAGGTGCTGTGGGAAGTGGGAAGTCTTGGGAAGGTTTGCAAAAACCATGGGATTTCTGACGTCACTGCTAGTGTCTGTATCACCATGTGTTGTGGAAGTGTCCTTTTTCGAATCCAGGTGGAAGAATATGAGAAAGGCTATGGAAAAGGACCATATGGAACAAGAGAAGTGAGCTTGTGCCGCTTGGATTTCCTCATTTCCAAAGCACGCGTTGCAGATTTCAGGGAAGTATAAGTTTCATGTTGATATATATATATATATATTTTCCAAGATTTTTCACTTATTTTTTCCACGGTTTTTGTTTGCATCTTCCGTTTTTTTCTCCCATCTTGGCTAAGGTTCCATCCGCTTCAATCCCACGGTGTCTGCCCTGGCCGCTTTGTGTCTATGGGGCTTTGTGGCATATGCTGTTTTGGATGAGAACTCCAGCACTGTCTTCAGCGCGTGGATGTCATGGGTCACTGACAAGTTCACATGGTTCTATATCATCTCGCAGGAGACGACGAAGACCCCGTTTTTTCAGAGACCGCAAACAGTGTGGGGGGAATAAAAGAATAATGTATTACAATGTTGATGATGATGTTAATGTTGATGATAATGTTGATGAGGACGATGATGGTGGTGATGATGATGAGGATGAGGATGATGATGATGATGATGAAGATGATGATTATGATGATGATGATGGTGGTGGTGGTGGTGATGATGATTATGATGATGATGATGGTGATGATGATGATGATGATGATGATGATGTGGTGGATGTGGATGTGGATGTGGATGTGGATGTGGATGTGGATGTGGATGTTGAGGAGGAGGAGGAAGATGCTGATGTTGAGGAGGATGATGTTGAGGAGGAAGACGATCCCAAGACCGGGAAGCACACTTTGTGAGCCTGCATAATCGAAATGCACATGGACATTGCACAACAGCCATTTTGTATTGAAATTTACAGGAAAAGTGCTGGACGCCCAATTCCGCGACACTCGTTTTCTGCGAGCCTGCGCAGTCAAAATGCACACGGACATTTCACAAGAGCCATTTTGTATGGAAAATTTACAGTAAAAATGGCTGCGGACACCTCCGGGGACATCGTTTTGTGCGAGCCTGTGCAGTCGAAATGCACATGGACATTTCACAAGAGCCACTTTGTGCGGAAATTTACAGGCAAATGCCGGACGCGCCGGCTACCACCTTGATTAAACACCGGGCCTTAACACTTACCGTAAGAACCCCTCAGTGTGGCCACTTTGTTTGCGGAAAAATTGCTAAATGCTGCAACATTGCAGCTAATTACTTGGATAAGTGTGGGAACATATGGCATTAGGAATCCTTGGGATAACATGGGATTAGGGTAAAGCATCCAATAATGGACCACTTCAAGTTCATGGAATTCCGGAGTGCATACAAACAATAGCTGGGATTTGTTACGGATCATTTCAGGTTTTAACACATCCCCATTTTTTTTAACACATCCCCTATGAACGCCCTTGTGTTTGTGTTGCCGCCGTCCAAAGAAAGAAGTGAGCCCAGAAACGTACGATTACAGGCACATATTTTCTCAAGAGTCCCTTGAAACCAATGTACAACGTGAGACTTGTCCAAGGTCCAAGGTTTTTGTGGGGTGATTTGAATCCGAGTGATGAGTTTTTTTTTCATTGTGTCATATTGTGTCATGGTAAAGATGTCTTATCTCTGTATATATTGAGCATGTTTTCTGACCAAAAAAAGGGCCAGTACTCGGAGGATCGTCCCAATTGTTAGTAATCATACACCACAACCATCCATAACCTACTTATATATGGGATAACCCTGGATAAACCACGAAGCCAATCACCAAATGATGTTACGTTCACCATCGTTCACCAATGGATCGGTCTGTGGGATGATCGGAAGGATTACTGGCTTCTGTACCTCTTTCCTCTTGTCTACTACTACGGTGACATGAAACTTGGCAAGGACTGACACAGATGTCGTGGATTTTGATTCTTGTAATCCTCTTCCCCTCTATTTTTTTTCATACGCCAGATATCGGCCCCCCAAAAGAATATTGTACAATACTGTACATATTGTACATCCAAAACTAAAACACAATGTGGTTTGGGTGTATTTAATTTGTATGATGCGGGGGAAATCAATATGAAACTTGTGCAACACGTGGAGAACATGTGGAGGACGATGAGGAACCTGAGTACGGCGACCTGACATATTTGGCCATGGTTTGGTGTGCAGGAGTGGCCATTGGCCTCATTTTCTACGGAGCCTCTGAGCCGATGATTCACGCCATGAATGGGAAAAATCGCTGCTCGGCCCAGTTTTTTTAAGGTCCGTTGAGACGTCATGTTCCACTTGGTTTCCTCCAAGCTAAGGCTACAACAACGATGGTTACTCTAATGAGAACCAGAGAGCACAATATGGCTTACACATCACCATGTTCCATTGGGGCTTTATGGCATGGATTGTGTACTGCTTAACGGCCATCACCATGGGTTTCCTGGCCTACCGGAAGGGCTTGCCCTTGTGCTTCCGCACGACCCTTGCCCCGGTGTTGGGGAAGGCAACCTGGGGATGGCTCGGGGACTTGCTGGATATCGTGACCATCGTGACCATTGTGGCCGGCCTCACCACCTCCTTGGGCATCGGAGCCAAACAGATTGTGGAAGGCTGCAGACGACTGGGGTTTCTTCCAGAGAAATTGGATGAGGATCAACTCACCCAAACAGCCTGCTGGATCATAGGTATCATTACCATGTGTGCCACTGCCTCTGTTGTTGCAGGACTCGACATTGGCATCAAATCTGTGTCATATGTCGCATTTATGCTTGGAAACTTCTTGATCTTGGTGGTTTTTTGCCTGGATGAGACGTGGTACATCCTGAATGTCTTGGTCTCCAGTTTGGGTTTCCACTTACAACACATCATCGAGATCTCTTTTGACACAGATGCCTTTGCGCAACTACGTCCTGGCAATGGTCAGCCCAACGATGGCCTGGGGGCTGATCCTTCATGGATGAATGGCTGGACCATTTTCTACTGGGGCTGGTGGATCGCTTGGGCTCCCTTTGTGGGGACCTTTATGGCTCGAGTATCTCGTGGTCGCACCATCAAACAGGTGGTCTTGTACACCTTGACCATTCCCTGTGGCTATGCTTTCCTGTGGTTTGGGACCTTTGGTGCAGCCGCGATCCGCATGGATCGTCGTGCCACGTTCTTGGCTGAGATTGGGCTCAAGATGCACAACAACAGCAACTACTTCCTCCATACCTCCGCAGGTTTCCGGCCGAACACGGCTGGCAACTGCTACAATGTCCCAGCAACTTTGCCCAACGTGACAGACTATGCAGTGAATCCCTATGTGACTCCTGTTTGCAACTTTGCAGGTGCAGATAGCAACGGCTTTTGGTTCGATCTCATGAATCAGTACTATGGCATGGGCACTTTCCTAACCTTTGTGTCTATTGTAACAACGGTGCTGTATTTCGTGACCTCGTCCGACAGCGGTTCCTTAGTGGTAGACCTCATTGCTGCAAATGGTCGAGAAGCGCATGTGAGTCAGCGGGTCTTCTGGGCAGTGACTGAAGGAGCGGTGGCAATTGCAACGGTGGCCTCCGGAGGCTTTGACTCATTGTCCGGTTTGCAAGCTGTTTCCATTGTCATGGGCTTACCCTTTACCTTCATTTTGATGATCATGTGCACCTCCTTATGGCGTGCACTGAAGATTGAGGCTGGAGATATGCCAAACATCAACAGGCGAACTGACTGGACTCTGCCCTTGTATGGTGGAATCTTTGACCTTCCTGAAGTATTGCTGACCTGCGGAAGATGTCCATTGCCTTCCAGAAAGAGCATCATTGACTTCTTGGGCGCACTCGTTGTGCCGGGCTATGTTCTATACCAAGCCATGACTGGCCTTTCCAAGCACCAGAAGGAGCCCCTGACATTCTGGGCGCGAGCCATTCTTGGAGCTGTCACACAGTTCCTTTTTATGGGTTTCATCGGTTTCCAGACTGCTTCGGCAACGTACTGGTGGATGGTGGATCAAGATGTCGTTGGGCATGGCTTGTGGGCTTTCGCTTGGATCTGCTACATTTCCATGGCCGGTTTCCTTGCCTTTGGTCGTCATCAGATTCGCCGTGCCTACTCCATCGAAGGGTCTGGCATGGAGGACTTTTGGTCATCGCTGTTGCTCTATCCACAAGCCCTGGCCCAGATGGTGTCCCAGATTGCCAGCGATCCAATTGCCAGAGCTAAAGCGGTTGAGGACAGTGCTTTTGACGGCCTGTGAGCCTCGATTCGCAGCAAAAAGCATGGCCCAAAGTGGCCTGAGAAATTTGAATATATACCGTATAGCCCTTTCCTCCCCAGATAAAAACACACCCCCAGAAAATCAATGGGGAACTTCATACTTCGGGTGTTTATGATGAGGAAGGGATCAATTAACTTTTAGGCACCTGCAAAGTGCACAAGACGGTGCTGCGCCCACAGACTTCGGTGCACAGTGAAGTTTTGATTCTCTATGAATGAGACCTGGACATAGCAGCGTCTTCATCTGGTCAAGACGACCAGTGGCAATCCCTGAGCAAAGAGGCTACACGGCCAAAAGGGATTAGCAGAGATGTAGATTGGGAGGCAGTGACTGGCTGGATTTTTGCGCGTCATTTCCGAAGTATGATGCAAACAACTGGAGGTACCCTCTTCAGCAGGAAGCATTTGGGTTTGTCTGAAAATAGGTTACCCTCAAATTTGAGGGTGCATCAGCATTTTTACCATCCATAAAATAGCCACGACTGTTGGGGTGGATATGATCCCATGTTCAGACAGCCAATGATCATATCCAGTTGGTTATGAATCTCCCATCAATTCCCATGAATTCCCATCATATTATATTGTCAACAATTCTCATGTTATGCCCAAACTCATATCATGTTGGTTATATATATATATATAGTATATATATATATACAGTACATGTACAGTATATATGTTAAACAAAATACCCCATTGACTCAGCCAGTCCTATGCCGTCGTTTTTTAATGTGCCAGGTAGCAGCGCAAGCTGCAGCCTAGCGAAGCAGTTGCGGCGCGGCTGGAAAGCGGTGGCATGTGTGGCGCAGCTGAGCAATGCCATCATCACGGAGCGCCGCAACTGCTGCGCCATGTCCGTTGTGTGAAGCCCGGGTGTTTGTTGAAAATACCTGGAGAAGCCCGGCCCATGACATTATATAGCCATTTGATGAGTGTATAATATATATATATATATATGTATATGATATATATATATATAATATGATATATATATATATATGTATAAAATGAGGATGAACATTAGTGAACATCATTACCGGGGGGTAAAATGGGATGCAAAAATAAGGTACTGGGAACATACTATAATGGAATATGTAAGCAATATTGTATTCGGGTCTCTCCAAAATTGGTGGATGCAAAAAAAATGCCCTCACTTGAGGCAATTTTCATGGAGAAAATGATGACGCAGTAATCCATGGGATTTTTGGGGTACTTATATATATATATATATATATACATACCCTCTGGTAAACATACAAAAAACTATTGAAAATTGCCATTTATAGTGGATTTACACATTAAAAATTGTGATTTTCCATAGTTATGTTAGTTTACCAGAGGGTACACACACACATATATATATACTGTATATATTTGAAGACAAACCCATTAGTGTTGAAAGGTCTAGCACCATGGATGGTTAAAAAAAAAAGCACCATGAAATCTTTTTCGGAGCCCTGAGTTTTGCTACCCCCATATGGTAAAACATGCAGCCGTGGCCAGGAGCTCATAGCCCAAGCCGGATTCGAACTGATCATCGTGGATCACGAGCCATTTGGCGGGAATTAGATTGACTCAGATTGAGTTACCCTCTGGTAAACTAACAGTTTGCTATGGAAAATTGCCATAGAAATAGTTGATTTAGCCATTAATAGCATCGTGATTTTCCGTTTTCTGTTTGTTTACCAGAGGGTAGATGGCCATCAGAAACCAGGATCTCCTGCGTGCCCGGGCCCGGGATTTCATGGCCAGGAAACACAGAAGGCCGTGACGTACGTGCCATGCGAATCCATGAAGTTCAGGAGTTACCCTCTGGTTATGACTAACAGTTCGCCATGGAAGCCATGGCCCATAGAAATAGATGGTTTACCTAGCTATAAAATGGTGATTTTCCATGGCTATGTAACAAATAACCAGATGTTATATGCACATTATGACACACCCACTATAATACACTCATTATATACATTCCCATGAAATATCCCATGTAACTTGACCCTGGCACCAGAATTCATAATCACCAATCCACATTCAAATAAATCATGATAAATCCTCCAATCTGGGGTGTTTTTAAATCAATCTTTTCATCCTAAAAAACCATATGGAGGTTTCCTAAGTCATGGAGTTACCCCCAGTCATCATCCATTTTCATGGTATTTTGCATTATAAAATTTATAAACCATCCAGCCATTGGGGTAACTCCCATGGCCATGGAAACCTCCCAGGAATGGTCCTGGAGATTTTGACTCCGCGGCCAATTTGGTGAGGCCGTGCTGGAAAACGGAGGATTTTTTTGCGGGTAAAGCTACTGGGTAATATTTGTGAATATTGGTTAATATTGGTTAATATTGGTTAACATTGGTTAATAAGGGTTAAATAATGGTTAATAATGGTTAATATACTTTTATAATCTTATATTGGAACAATGTCGTTAAAACAATGCCATTTTTATCACCCGTGATTGGAATGGTAAGTTTATACCACCTATAAAAATGGTGATGACTGGGGGATGGTTTATCTATCTTAGTGTTGCAGAATTGGAGTTACTAGCACTTACTAGTGCTACTTGGAATCCCGAATGATCCCCTGCTAGTAGGCTAGTAGGTACCAAGTTTTTCAGTTGTGGCTAGTTTTTAAAAGCCATGAAACTATCGGCCCATCAGGTTTTCCTGGTTTAACTGTGTTTAACTCATCTCATCCACCTGGCAAAAATCCGCCGTGTGGCAATCCAACGCCATAAACCTCCAATTTTGGATCGATTTGATTATTCCTTTATGACAATATTGGGGATGATTTACTATTGGGTTTACCACATGATTCCATTCTTGCCAATTATATATAAATTATATACATGTAAATAATATGTCCGTTAGAGCAACCTGCCAGTAGGAGCTAGTACAAAGCCACAAGAGCCACTGACAACATGATTGGTGAGTTGGCATTCATGAGGAGTCCTAATGAGATAAAAACACGTAGTGGCTCATATTGATATTGCCACTTTGTCAACACTCCATTGAATCCATTGTTAGTTGGGGATCAACATTATATAAACATATTACAATCAACACTTATATAAACATATTACATTATATAAACATATTACATTACATCCCCCAAAAATGGATGGTTCCGGATCCTAAAGAATGAGGTCAACATTACTAACAACCGACAAAAAAAACAAACACATGGATTAATGATATGACTTAAACATATATATATATATACATATCAATATATATATACATATATCTACACATTCTATTACAAGTAGTACCCGGGCAAGCCGGGGTCGGAAGTTTCAACTTTGAAACGCTTATAGCCTATAGAGTGGAGCAAAGGCTGTGCCCTCTTGACTTGTCAATCTGATGCCATGTCTTTTGAATGTTGAATCTTTTCTGATCTCATCTGACCTCATCGCATCGCAGCTTCTCTTGGAAATTGCCCATTGCATCCCATTGTCACCGCAGTCTGTGTCATCCCATCTCATCTCAACTCATCTCATCTCATGTCTTCTCATCCTTTTTTCACCTCATCTCATCTCATCCCATCTCATGTCGTCTCTCCCTTCCTCAGCTTTTCTCAGCTGATCACAACTGTTCTCATCTCTTATCACGTCTTCTGAGCTTTCCTCATCTCTTCTCATCTCATCTCAGCATATCTCAGCTTTTCTCAAACTTTCACAGCTCTTCTTAACTCTTCTGAGCTCTCCCCAGCTCATGTCAGCTCATCTTATGTCTTCTCATCTCTTCTCATCTCATCTCATCTCTTCTCTTCTCTTCTCTTCTCACATCTTCCAAGCTCTTCTCACATCTCCTCACCTGACCTCAGCTCTTGTTAGCTCGTCTCACCCCATCTCAGCTTCTTCATCCCATGTCAAAACATCTTATCTCTCACTTCTTCTTACTGGCGCTTCCCCGTTAATTTCTGTCCCATCCCAACGAGACACCGGAGCACCTTTTCCATGCCGACGACACGAAAAGTTCATCTGCAAAGCAGTTGTTTGCGCGGTCCGCAACGACGCACGCAATCCCTCTTCTGCAGCGTTAAGGGCTGATGGCACTTGGATCTCGCTGAGGCGTCTTGCGGCCTGTGTTACGTGGATAAATCAGGAATTCACATGGATCCTTCGACCTCGACAAACAGGAGCGCACGGATACCCAAAGAATTCATATGGATCCTTCGACCTCGACAAGGAGGAGTGCACAGGTATACTGGGAATTCACATTGACATGGATCTTTCAACCTTGACGGGCAGGATTGCACGGATACCCTAGGAATTCACGCGGATCCTCCAACCTCGACAAACAGGAGCGCACGGATACCCTAGGAATTCAGCAGATCCTTCGACCTCGACAAGCAGGATTGCACAGATACCTCAGGAATTCACATGGATCCTTCGACGTTGACAAAGAGGATTGCACGGATACCTGGGAATTTGCATGGATAGCGGAACCTCTATACAAACAGGATTGCCCGGATACCCTAGGAATTCACATGCAATCTGCAACTTCAAACTCGCAAGGAACGAGTGCAGAAAGCAAAATTCACGGATACTCACAGGAATGATGGTAGTGATTGTGACAGTGGTGGTGGTAGTGGTGATTGTGATAATGGTGATTGTGATTTTAAAAATCCGTTACGCGGAAATTAGACCTTCAAACTTCCTTTGATAAATAAACGTGTATATATATATTATATTATTTGATCACAAACCCCATGTGATGATGGGGCTAGACCCCAGGTACCCCATCCGACCACTGAACTTCTCAGCAGGTCTGCCGTAGGTGCCGGCGCCCATGTGATGCTGCGACTGCCCTCCGGTGATGCTACGCAGGTTGACCCCTGGTGGATGATGGGGATTCAGATGAACCATCAAAGATTCCCTCTGGTAATTTCACATAGCTATGGAAGCCATGGCCCAGTTATAGATGATTTACCTAACTTAAAAGTGGTGATTTCAATGGTTTTTTTCTATGTTTACCAGAGGGTACCAAAGATACCCTGTTTGATTGGTGAATTTGTTGAGATTTATACTATATTGCTACATGATTTCATTAGAGATTATGATACCTCATAATGGAGAAAACTTACCAACCAACTAGGATGATGGGATTTCATGGGATTTCTTCATGGTTCAGATGGATTCAACCATCAAATCTTGGTCAGGTGGATCGTGCCCTCGATGCGGGCGCAGAAGGCCAAGGGTCTATCCAGTGGTGACCGGAGGGAGCGGCGAGTTCCCCACAGAAGAGCTATGCTTGTGCCAAAAAAAATGGGGGATAGATTGATACAACCTACCCTCTGGTAAACAGCCACATAACTATGGAAAATCACAATTTTTAATGGGTAAATCTACTATGTCAATGGGCCATTTTCAATAGCTATGTTTGTTTACCAGAGGGTAAATCTATGGATAAATCTATGGAACATGATCTGGTTGAAACATGATTACAGTAAATACCCTCTGGTAAACGTTAACAGAAAACGAACTCGAAAGATCCACCATGCTATTAATGGGTAAATCCACTATGTCAATGGGCCATTTTCAATAGCTTTTTGTATGTTTACCAGAGGGTAACCAGCTCAGAAATCTTTGATATTGTTGAGATTGGCCATAAACATATGTGAAGTGGGTAGACTGATTGGTGTGACTGATACGTTACTGGTTTGATGCAACAAGCATCGTGGTTCAAAGTCAAAACAACAAAAGATGGAGAGCTAAGCATCATGCATTTCCCCAAAAACAGATTGAGCAGTTTTACCATATTGGGATGATATGAACTTCAATAGTTTCCAGGTTGCCAGTTTTTCAGATCCATTTTTGGGTTTGTAATAGGGAAAAACCAGGTTAAGGCTAGTTTATGCAAGATTTGATTGTGCTATCAATAGATGGAAGAAATCCTACACCACAAAAAGGATGATTGGGATGTTTACCATCTATCAACTGGTGATTCGGATTTCGCAACCATCCACCGTATCAATGGAGTATCAATATCCAGCAGCTAAGTTTTTCCCGTGCTGGACCTCCATTTTGGCGGGTGGGGACCAATGGGACCTAAAAGAAGAAACTATCGCCAGTTTCTGTCTCAAAATCTGATCGATGTTGGCAAACCGCTCAATGGAAAACCAACACCAATATTTATATATACATTATATATACACGTATATGTAATATATAATAATATATATATATATATATCATTATCTGTATGTATACAATAGTTTTGCTTTGTCTTGGTGTTCAGACATGCTCCAGAATCACAGAAGCACCCATCTTGTTGTTCAAGCAACCAGTCCACGGATTCCAAATCCAAATTCTTGTGTGCATATTTCCCATTATTCTATTTCTCACAAGAACTCTAGCCATGTTTTCCCAATGTTCCCACATGACACTTTCCTATGCCTTCAACCATTTTCTAACATATTCCAGATTTTTTCCCATATCCTACGGATATGTTCCAATAACTTCCCATACATATTACCCAATTATGATCAGAACATGTCTCGTATTTCCCCCACATTTTCCCACATGTTCCAGTGTGTTCCCCATTTTTTCTTTATTTTCCCTAGATTTTTCCTCAAATTCCCCAAATTTTTCCATAGATTCCCCACTTTTTGCCCAGCTTCCCTCAGTTTTCCAGGGTTGCTGCTTGGAGACGTAGCCACTGCTGCAGAAGCCGAAGCCTTTGGTCAATTGGTGCAGCAGGTGGTGCTGACCCGTGCCATGGCATGCCATGGCCGGCGGCCAGAAGTGTTTTATAAGAGCCATTAGCTACGTGGTAAAGTATGATAGTGAAAAATTAGTTGGTAATAGTAGCTACTGATCATTGCTGATAATGGTTACTAATCATTAAAAGTAATTGATAATCAATAATCATTAGTTGGTTAACTTAGTTTGGTCCACGATAATCATTAATAAATCAACATACATCACCAATAGGTTCATAATCCGTCAAAGTTTCATGATCACTAGTAAGTTCATCACACCAATTCAAACCCTTCAGCAAACTAACAGTTTGCAAGCTGGAAGCCATGGCCGATTTTGTTCCATGATTTTGTTCCATGATTTTCCGGGACTTATTAACCAAGGGGGTGCAATGATGATCCATCTAGAAATCAAACGTGCTAATTGATTTCTTACATGAGTAGACAATTTGGTGGCTTTTGGACGACTTTCAGTTTATTGCAAATACATCTATTGATGTCCAGTTCAAGTACCTAAAATGAAGGCATTTGGCCATAGAGTGCTTTTTTTTGGCAGAGATTCTCTTTCAGAGGCCTTACATAGACGTAGCTTTGCATTTAGGGTACCTGACATGGTTTTGTCCGAAAATGGGCTTCAAAACTAGCAGAGTTCAAGACCCTTGTTGGTTGATTATTCTGGGGTGTTATACTACCCTTTGATGTACATATATATATATATATACACATATATATATATATGTATATTGGGGATGATCATTATCCACGAACTGGGAATCCCGTTCTTAACCAACCAGTATTTTATGGACCATATTATCACAGATTCCATGCATATCACCATATTGTTGGTTATATTCCCATGATATTTCCAGCAAATTATCATAATAGTCCCATCAGTTTCCCATCAATTTCCTGTACAACGTCCCATGATTCCTGGCTTTCGAACATGATCTACACCTTCTATATGATATGTATATAAGCATATTCCCATCATTTGATAGTGATTCCCAACAATATTTTACTCACTTTTTTTCCCTGGAGAATATGATTTTCAACACTAATCCCAACTATGATATTGTTTTCCCAACAATTGCTACAACCATTATATATACACATATCATAGTTGGTAACAATATTTGTATCACTATATTCCCAACAAATTGCTAATCACTATATATATATATATGTAGAACAATAATGCCAACAATTGTATTCCCAACAATAGCCATATATATATATATCAATATCTAGTTAATCTATAATCAATAGCTATATATATATATATCAATAATATATATATATCAATAATATATATATATATATCAATAATATATATATATATAAACTATATCTATATATATATATCACTAATATATATATATATACACATATAAACTATACATATATATATATCACTAATATATATATAGTTTATATATATATATATATATCAATTTATAATCACTATAGTTAATATATATCTCGTTGATATTCCCAGCTCGTCCGGCTCCGGGATCTCCCTCTATAGGACGGTCCCCAGGTGCCAAAACGACTTGCTCCGAGTGGCTGAGTTCTCCACGTGTTCCCTGGCACCAGTGGAATGAATTCATATCTATACAGTCTATACATATATATATATATATGAATACATATATGATGATATATGAATATATTAATTATATATATATATATATGTAATCCAATTGAAAATTTATCAAACAAGATCCTGCTAAAGTAGTGATATTTAGTACTTTTTCACATATTTGGTGAGACCTTCGCAACATATCGTGGTACAGAAAACCCAGGTGACGTATATACCTTGTTCGGTATCGTTGTGGAACACCAAAGATCCATTTCCCATCTACCCTCTGGTTATTTAACAGTTCGCCATGGAAGCCATGGCCTATTTATAGATGGTTTACCGTTCTCAAAAATGGTGATTTTCCATGGCTGTGTTAAATAACCAGATGGTAATTCATTACGTTTGGAAAAATCTATACGAACTTTGTGGAAACCGTTTAGAAGATGATCTATGAATGGTGGGTTTTCCACATCTATGTTAGTATTACAGTGGGAAAAAAACAGGATGGTAACCACCAAAAACGATCCACAAAAAGACTCAGAAAACAACTTCATCCCAGAGCATCACCCGCACAACACTCGAGCCCTAGAAAAATTCACGAAGCAAGAGCAAAAACCAAAGAAAAACGGAAAGGAATAGCCATATCGAGCATGATCCCAACCATAGATATTCCCATTTTGTTGGTTGTCCCAGAAGGAATCCTATACAAAATTCTCATCCCATATGCTGCTGCTGGAATATTTTTCAACAAGTCCCAAAATCAGCCATTTTTTGGTAGGAACATCTATCAGCAGCATGTGGGCATGATAATCCTGTGATTTCTATGATATTGGAATCTGATTATCACAATACATCACAATCACATTCCCTATCGGATACATCACAGAATAGAACAACGCCATATCACCACTGGTCATCTCATATTTCACAGAATTGGATGGGACAATTTTAACTGGAAAGCCCTTTCCATCTCTTTAGTGGTAAAAACCCATGGGTTTCCGGTGAAGATTTTCTCCAACAAACCCATCCCATTGACATCTTCCCATGATCTCAGCCGAGGAGCCTCCGGAGCCTTCAGCGCCTCTGGTGGCGGTGGAGATGGACGTGACGCAGCCACTGACGCTGGCAGAGGCGCTGCGAAAAAAACGGCACGCGGAGGGTGGCACGCGGGGTGGCACTCACGGGACAGCGGAAAAAAAAACCGTCGGTTTCTGGGACTATTAATGTTGGTATATTTTGGTTAAACGTTGACCATTGCTAATGGAAAAATCAATGATTGTTGATTTTTGCTCTTTTTCAGGACTATCTCAATAAGCCAACATTGATGAGAATTCATGATGATAGTCATGGAATAGGGACTTTGACCAAGAACATTGGAATCTAGTTGATCCAATTGATCAATGATGGTTGGTTGATGATTGTGCGGGGTTCTACTATCCTGTACAGCCAATGGTGAGCCAAGAAGTATGATCAATGAACAATTTCTGTACCGGTCGACATCCTTTGAATTTCAGCTGGAATCCAAGTTAAAATTGGCCTAAATAGGTTTTAGGGTTTCTTTTTTGAATTTCAGGTAAATACACTGATGCATTGATATAACTAGCAACAAAGTGCCAAGCATTGATCCTGCAGACTGGGCAGTGAGTGTGTGGATTTGACCAAAACAGTCGTAACTTTCTACAAACTGCGTTTGTTTCCGACAAAGTCCCCTTTTCTGTTTGAGAACGCCAATTCAGATGCCTCCATTGCTCATTGCGATACAGATTGATATGTATTTTCAAATTCTATATATTTGGTGGTAAAAACCCATGGGTTTCCGGTTAAGATTTTCCCCAACAAACCAATCCAATGAATATATCAATATCAGCCTCAGCAGATTGAGTAGATTGGGGCCTCTGGAGATCTCGTTCGGAAAAGATGGTCCGTTCCGTTCCCCGTTCCCAATCCACATGGGTCTATTATCAGAAACACCATGAAAAAAGACCCATACGGCCCATACATCCTGATGCTGTTGGTTACAGCATCTTACAGCCCATGATATCCTGTGATAGTTGTATGCTAAATGGATATTTTTGCTGGAATTATCGCATTTTCATCTATATATCATCTCATTAATATCCCATGAATCCCATATTATTCCTTTATTTCTCCCACTAAAACCCATGCCTCAAACCATCCCTAATATTTCCGATTTTATGGGTTGGATTTCTACCATCCCCAAATGCTAGTGGTTGATGGCGGCCAGGGTGAAGAATCCCACATTATTCCAACTCTCCATTCTTCATCTATTGTTAGTTATATAAGTTATAACTCTATTATTGACCATTAGTAATCATTGTCAACCTATTATCAACCTATTATTGACCATTAGTAACCATTATCAACCTATTATCAACCTATTATTGACCATTATCAAGCTATTATCAACCTATCATTAACCATTATTAACCCTGAAAAACCACTATCACAGCAACCTAAATCCCCATTTTATCCCATTGCCGCCACAGGAGCTCCTGGCTGCGGAGCACGTGGATTTGGTCTTCGTGGATCCCGAGCGCTGCCTGGTGCCTTGGATGCCTTGGATGCCTTGGATGCCTTGGATGCCTTGGATGCCTTGGATGCTGGGAAAATGCCCCGATTTTTGGTGCTGAATTGGCAGCAAGAAATGGTGGTACAATGGGATGAATATATATATATATATACATATACATACACGTTATATATACACACATACACGTTATATATATAGTGGGTGGTATAATGAACAATCTAGAGAATCTGGATAACATGATGCTACAAAAAAGGTGGCAAACATACCACGATGATATGGCAAAAATGATGGTAACATGGGATAAAAATCGTGGTATATATTGAATAGTAATCTAGAGAATTTGGATAAAATGAAAAAATGCAGGGTTTTGGGAGACTCATCGAACTAAAAATGGTGGAAATACGGGTAAACTAACAGTTTGCGAACTGGACAATCATTATTTTTAATGAAATGTAAATGATGAGCCATTTGCGATAGCGGTGGGATTGAACCAGCAGAATTTGAAACTAACAAAGCGGTGGAAAATAATCTACACATGGTTGATGTTCAACGATTTTCCACATCTATGTTAGTTTACCCAAAGGTAGTTCCAACATAATCGTTTCTATTTGTCCTGATTTTATTGCTTCTCTTTCAAGGGAAAGTCGAGCCGACTCCAGATCAATTGCTAACCAGGACTTTGGCACTGGCCTCGGCCATTCGAATTTTATAGGGATAAGGATCATTAACCAGTAGTTGGTATGGGTACCCTATCAGACAACCTAGTTTAGCAGGAGGAACCAGCGGTATACAGTAGGTGAGATGGGTCTGAAATGGTGCCGAAAATTCTTCACTTTCCAGAGGACGGATGGATGACTTGCTCGAGCCATCAGCCGCATCGACATCTCTGTCAGATGTTAAATACCATCAAGCTGCCATCATCATCACCACTATCATCATCACCATCATCATCACCAACATCATCATCACCACTATCATCATCACCATCATCATCATCATCACCATCATCACCCCCATCATCATCATCATCATCATCATCATCATCATCATCACCATCAACACCATCAACCTCTTCATCATCATCATCATCATCATCATCATCATCATCATCATCATCATCATCATCATCACAACTATCATCACCATCAACTTCACTATCATCATCATCACCATCATCATCATCATCATCATCACTACCATCATCACCATCTTCATCATCATCATCACCATCACCGCCATCACCATCATCATCATCATCATCACCATTATCTTCATCATCATCATCACCATCATCATCATCGTCATCATCGCCAAAGCTACCACCATCATCATTACCATCACCATCATCATCACCATCATCATCACCACCACCATCATCATCACTATCACCATCATCGTCATCATCATCATCAGAACCACCACCACCACCATCATCATCATCATCATCATCGTCATCATCATCATCATCATCACCATCGCCATCATAATCACCATCATCATCAGAATCACCATCATCATCACCATCACCATCATCACCATCATTACCATCATTATCACCATCACCATCACCATCACCTTCACCATCACCAACACCATCATCACCATCGTCATCACCATCACCATCACCATCACCGTCACCATCATCCTCACCACCATCACCACCATCATCACCATCGTCATCACCACCATCATCATCACCACCATCATCAAATTCATCATCATCACCACCATCATCAAAGTCATCATCATCACCACCATCATCACCATCGTCATCACCACCCTCATCATCACCACCATCATCAAATTCATCATCATCACCACCATCATCAAAGTCATCATCATCACCACCATCATCAAATTCATCATCATCACCACCATCATCAAAGTCATCATCATCACCACCATCATCAAATGCATCATCATCATCATCAGCATCATCATCATCATCATCGCCAAAATCAGCATGAATTGTCAGCCATTAACCATTAACCATTCTGGCAATGTATTCTTCATTTGCCATCACAGCAACAAAGAAGTGGAGACGAGGGGCCCCGGGGATACACGCATCTTGCGCCGCAGGGGTAGTCACCTTATATTCATTTTCTTTGTTTTGTGTTTCACTAATTGCATCATTTATAGCGAAATTAGTAGATCTTTGCAATAGTAGATGAAGTATAGAGTCATACTAGTAGAACCATAGATATTAAAAGTACCTTTCTTACAAGCCGACGATGGTTTGGTCTTTCTATAAACTGGCGCAGTGCTTTGTACCTCGGCCGCGACCAAGGAGGCTCTGGCCTTGTTGCGGCCCGAGAGCAGCCTGGACCAGACCTCATCGCGGCTGCCTGTGCCGCTCGGAGGTGGATTCGTTGGTTTTTCAATTGTAAAGTATTTGCCTGTTTACATTTTGTTTGCTATATGTATGTATGTAATGTAATGTCATGTGCTGTACTGTAATGTACTGTACTGTACTGTAGTGTACTGTACTGTAGTGTATGTATGTATGAATGAATGTAATGAATGTAATGCAATGCAATGCAATGCAATGCAATGCAATGCAATGCAATGCAATGTAATGTAATGTAATGTAATGTAATGCATGGTATGGTATGGTGTGGTGTGGTGTGGTATGGTATGGTATGTGTAACATTATACATGTATTTTGGTGTGTATGCATACAAAAGAATGGATATGAACATATAATAGGTATTATATATATGCATTCTATCTCAAAAAATATATGCACATAACATATCGACTTGAATTACCATGTTCCCATATGTTTATCAATCTGAACATGAGGGTATAAATCAGCGAAAGTTCTGGATATAACAACAGACAGAAAGTGGTCAAAATATGTCAACCCGTGCATGGCAGGTCATTGTACCGTCCTTTTTTGGGCGAAGAATAACAGAGCCCGTGTGAAAGTGTAACGGACTATTGCCAACTCCAATATTTTTTGGTACGTGATTAGAACCCCCAGTTGGAAATTTGCAGTGGAAAAGGTTTCAACCAGCCGAAATTTGAACCATTGTAAGAGTCGGGGACTCAATTAAGTTGATTACCCTCTGGTAATTTAACATTGCTATTGAAAATGGTCATTTATAGTGGATTTACCTATTCAAAATGGTGATTTTCCATAGTTATGTTAGTTTACCAGAGGTAATTGTTTTTGTATGGGGACACGCACATTTCCAACAACAGCATGAACATCGCTCTGCGACCCAGTCCTTCGTGAATATTGTTTTCCTAAGACTTGTCCTGAGTTTTTATGGCGGTAATGTCGACGAGAAAGAAAAGAACTGCACACAAAAAACACTCTACATTGTGAAATGGTGGTTTTATGGGATGTTAATGAAGTCTTGCTGGCATGTGGATATTTCCTACACAGCACAATTTTGAATGATGTCGAATGTCTCTATATTGAACCTTGCAACCTGCCAACGTCGCACCTTGGGCAATGTCTCTCAACACCTTTTGTCTTTGAAATTCGCCGTACAGGCGATGTAATAGGACATTCATCGGTCATAACCTCTGGTAAACTAACGTAACTATGGAAAATCACCATTTTTAATGGGAAAATCCACTATAAATGGCCATTTTCAATAGCTATGTTAGTTTACCAGAGGGTAACCTCTTTCATCCATACTCATTGTTTCGTTCATTGAGCAACTAAACAGATATTATTGTCACATTGCGATTGAACAACGGAATGACCGGCGGGGAAGATCGTAGATGGTCATGCGGATTATTTTCTGACAATTCATTGAAATATTGTTTCCTTTCAATTTGCAGTTTGACTCAAAATGATGATTTTCACAAGAGATGTAAATCAGAAAATTGAGAAATGACCAAAGGAAGTAATTCGACTTTCAATCAACATATTGATTATAACCATACAATCCACTTCCTTCTTTCGCGTTTTTTTTTATAGATGGGTTTACCATGATTTATCATGAACCATGATTTACCACCCCAAAGTTGAACCATGGGTTCACCACGATATAACATGATTTACCATTATTTCAAACCATCCATGTAAACTTCCAATGCGGGACCCATGAACGAACGAACGCTGGACTCTCCGAGGGCGACGCTGCCGGCAGATCCGACAGATGGCGAGGCTGACACGAAGACGGTGGAGGACAGATGATGTTCCAATTGGGATGGATGTAACGATTGTGGTGATATACCCGGCCTGGTAAACATACAAAAAACTATGGAAAGATCCACCGTTTTCTAGCTGGTTAAATCCACTATTTCTATGGGTTATTTTCAATAGCTATGTTAAATTACCAGAGGGTAATTGATATGTGAGGGTTTCCATAAATGGGGGTACCCCCAAGCTCGCTGCATGGTTTATTTCATGGAAAATCCCAATCTAAAATGGAAAATTCAGGGGTACCGCTATTTCAGGAAACCTACATGTATATATATATTTAACTGGCATGTACAGTAAATAATATAATTGATATACTAGTATATATATATAAATAAGTGGCTATTTGCAGTAACAAACACTTTAGGCGTCTGAAAATGAAAGTTTTATAACCAGAATGACAATTGCTGTTTTGGATGGGGTGGATGCCCCCTACTTCTCTGGGAAACTAAGATAGCTATGGAAATGGTCATCCTTTTTCTAGGTAAATCATGGCTAAATAATCTATAAATTTCATCTATAAATGGGCAACTTTCCATAGCTATGCGAGTCTTCTGAAGTGTATCATGTCTGATTGTGAATACCTCCCATCTACCAGGGCCCATCCAACTCCATCCATTGCCCACCTAAGTGGTGCATTAGCCATCGACATGTATGTAATGTGATGCAATGCAATGCAATGACATGTAATGATTTCCGCAATGCAATGTATGTATGTGATGTGTATATATATATATATATTGTACACCTGCGGGTTTAGTGAGCCAACAGGAATATGTCACACAAGGAGCAGCTAACTTGATAATTTAAATTTATCAGCATCCCCCAATTAACATAGACCTCCCAAATGCCGGCCTTGGTAGGCATTCCCTTCCTCTAATATCCTCTAATAAATGATGTTTCTCACGGTTGAATTCCCGATTCATCCCGATTTTTTTGTTGGGCAACCTAATTAATGAATGCTTGTGATAAATAGATGGTTCGTACCCTAACTTCGATTTCAGAGATAATTGCACTGAAACCCAATGGAGCCCATACCCCCCAAATATTAAACACACCCCAAAAAAAAACACGGTAAAAAGTAGAGCATGAAATAACATATTTGGGACCCGGGACTATGGAGGGTGTTTGATATTGGGGAGGATAGAATTATTTCCATTAAACCACCATTGTTGATGGTAAATTCTTCCAAGTATCATATTGTTAGTTATGTATCCCATTATATAAATTATATCCCTATAAAATCCCATCAATATGAGTTATATCGCCTGGATTAGACTCTATATTTCACGTGAATAATTAGACAATTAACTGTGATGAATACCCGCCATTTAATCCCATTAAGTCCCATTAAATCACCATTAAATCTCATGAAATCCCTATAAAATCGCATGATATCCCCACTAAATCTCATCAAATCCCCGATTAAATCCCCTATAACATGCATTAAGTCCCATTAAATAACATGCATTAAATCCCATTAAGTCCCATTAAATCCCTATTAAAATCCTCATGAAAAATGCCCAAACATTTCCAATCGTTCCACTAGGAGCCTACCGAGCCCTCTCTGACGCAAACCTGGAGCCCCTCTGCTCCCAGCGGTTCGCCCGACCCGCAGAACCCGCGCGCGGCGAAAGGGGCGCGGAAGGTGCGCCTGAAGTCCCGCGGCAGAATCCATCCATTTCCTGAATAGGGAATACCTGAATATTAATGGATAAGATAATTAATGGATAATTAAATGGATAAGAATATACCATAATATACCCATCTATTAGAAAATGGATCAATAGTCTTATCCATTTTCTAAATGGGATAATTAATGGATAGGAATATACCTGAATTGTTTCATTTTTAACTTTTTTCGGGACTCTGCCAATATTAGGGATAAGAATATGGGACACTGGTAAATTATGACTTGGACCCCGAAAAAGCTTTTTTTTAGTGGTTTCACTAATCTTCTAACCCATATCTGCCAGGGCCTATGTTAATTTATTGGAAGGTATGGCCCGAAATACTAGTTATAAGTCAGTAAGTCACCCCATTTATGGAATGATTAGCCTATTTATACCCATACTAATTGGTTTCGCTTTAACTGTAGGGTTTGTGGCAAATAGAATGACACTTCATTGGGGATATAAAGCAACTTCTTCTTGTGGGCTTCACCCTGTAGAAACAAGATTTTATGCAGCTGGGTCAAACTTGGATACGAAAATCGGTCCCAACTGACAGCCATTAAAGGAACGCTTGTACCCAAGCATAGCTTTGGAGCGGTTTGAGTAAGTCATTTGGTATTATTCTATGTGTCCCATTGTTTGCTGGCTACGTACCCATATAATTTAATCCCGTTTCGGTGGGATGTTCCATCGTTTCAATCACCATCTTTTCCGTTGATCCAGGAATCTATTGAACTCGTTGAATCTTGAAAGCCAATAGTTTGAATGTTACTTCGACTCGAGTATATATATATAATAATATATATATATATAATAATATATATATATATACGTGCATATATTCACGTATGTATGTGTATATGTATATGTATCTGTATATGTATTATAATATATATATATATATGTATGTATGTATACACTCACTTCTTTTTCTTTTCTTTCTTTGCGTTTTTGTATCTCCATATCTACAGAGAGCTTGTGCAGGTGCCCAGTGGCCCAACCCAGCGCTTGGCCAACACCATGCAGGTGGCTGAGGCGTTGAACCGGGCCGGTTGGCCCGTTGAACCGTTGAACCGGGCCGTGAAAATTTCAACGGGTGGCCTGATATCCCAAGAAAATCATTGGGAAATCCTTGGAGATCTCGTGAAACATCTTGGGATACAGTGGATAGTTGCGAAATCCGAATCACCAGTTGAGGGACGTGGTAAACATCCTTTCATTTCAAAGGGATTTCCACATCTGTGTAAATGTTTACAGGAGGGTATCTAATGGGATAATATGGGATATTGGGATAGTTAATGAATATGCATATGTTGATATATATATATATATAATTTTGGGATGTAAATAGATATATATATATATCTGGTTTTAGTGGGAAAATACGTGGTTTTGATGGGCTCTGAGATATTTCATTGGGCTATGTCACCGGATACTAATGGGATATTTCGAATAAGTGGGCAAGCTCATTGGATATTTCAGTTTCAAATGTTATTGTATTAATGGGGTATTAATGGAATAGCTTATGGCATATTCAATGATATTGGCTATATATATGTATGTATGTATGTCGCTGGACATATCTTTCATAGAATATCCAAGGATAAATTTAATGATATGTATGTATGTATATATTTATGGGATAAACAATATGATATGGATAAGGGGATATCATATGGGACATAAGACCTACAACATGATTTACTCTGGGTGTAATGGGATATTTCATGGGATATCAAATAGGATATTTTACCGTATAGAAAAACACATGTAACCGCTATGGTATTTGGGTCTGAGAATCAGGCATATCCTCAAAATATCCATTTTTGGGAGATGGTGATGTTCCAAGGATTGGTTGAAAATAGGGTGCCCAGAAAAAGTGATTTCATCTCTTTCCCTATCAAATAGTTGGGTTCATTTCCAGATTTGGGTTGGGAATTCGCACAGTTGTATATATTTGAGTGAATTGTCATAGTAAGGCGACTCATCCATGTCAGTTGTTTCAGATTGATGAATTGTTATTGTGTTTCCCCAAGTTCTGCCCACACACACCCCAAGCTGGATAGCTACCAAGAAAGCTACCAGGCATGGAGGCACGCACCGGGGCAACCGGCTCTTAAGGGCTTCAGCTACTCACACGCACCCCCCCCACTCTGCAGCTCAGGCATGCAGAGTGTAGTGTATGCAACCTGGCAGAGGCCGTTGGGCTTGAGCCACCGCACCAACTGTTAGGCGCCTCGCCAAACTTCAAAAACCAAACTTCTCGCTGATGAACTGCATCGGCCCCCCGCTTTCTGAGACGCCTCGCGTCCCCCGCTTTTTGAGGCAAAGACTCGCCCTCCAACTTCTTTGTCGAACAGGCCCTGCACACCGCAGATCTCCCAGCTTCACCACACCTGCAAGAAGCATTCCCAGCGGGCATCAAAGCCGCGCAATGGCCACATTTGGGCTCATAACCTGTGTTTCCCCAAGTTCTGCCCACACACACCCCAAGCTGGATAGCTACCAAGAAAGCTACCAGGCATGGAGGCACGCACCGGGGCAACCGGCTCTTAAGGGCTTCAGCTACTCACACGCAGTTATAATTCGGCCAGATATGTGGAGAATCAGCCCCCTAAACCATGAAAAACCAGCCCTAATTTTGGCGACAAAACCTGGACCACCACTAGGCTGCAACACCCGCATCAAAAAAGGTAAAACATCAGTGAAAACACACATGTTCTAAACTGGTAAACAGCAAAACCATAGATCACAATCATATTGTTTGGCTGATTGATGTAAACCATAGAAACTTGTAGTCTAAATTAATATTCTGGTCATCAAAGATGGCTGGAACATCCTTTTTTTTTAATCCTAAACTGACTGATTTCCCCGGCCAACGAAAGCTGCATGTTTGATGTGGATGTCCCAGCTATGGATTCACTAGAAGGATTTCCATGAAATTGGATGGATGACCAAAAAATCAATATATACCGTACCCTCTGGTTGTTTAACAGTTCGCCATGGGAAATGGTTCATTTATAGATGGTTTACACCTATTAAAAATGGGTGGATCTTTCCATGGCTATGTTAAATAACCAGATGGTATTATTTTTCCGGCGAAGTATAGATCGCCATATTTTTCGATGGGACTGTTTTTCCATGTTTTTCCCATGATTCCTGGCAACATTTTCGAGGCAATGGATGCCTTTTGGAACTGCTTCGAGGCAAGGTAGATCGCCATGGTTGATATTGGTTGATTAGGGGCTCCCCCAATAGTCATCATTCATAATCTAACACTTACCCTCTGGTAAACAGCCACATAGCTATAGAAAAATCACCATTTCTAATGGTTAAATCCACTATTTCTATGGCCATGTTCAAGAGCAAACTGTAGCAGTCATTACCAGGCCGGGTACATGGTATCCCCATGAAAGTCACATTTCTGTTTTTTTGGTTCACAGAAATCCGATGGGTGGATGGATGTTCTGGCGAATCACAGGGGTTTGGGGAGGGATCAAAAATCTGGAGAAATCTGGTGAAAAGTCACCAGGGATTTCTCCAGGAAAACCGAGATTTTAGGAGATCTTAGGGAGGGTAAAAGTCATGGCTTTCCGCTAGGTCAACAGTTACAATCCGACCGAAATAGGTGATTTTGAGGATCAACTGTAGCGACCAATCTGTTTCAGAAGTTTCAGCTGGATGATAGACCTAGAACTGGGGCATTTTGTTGGCTATTTGTCTTTTGCAGGATACGGTACTTTTTGGATCTTTTTGGACTCGTTTTAGCATTTGATTGGTTTCTACAGTGAACGTTTTTACCAAAGATTGGGTAGTTCGATTCAGCAGGAATCTTGTCGCAAGAGTATTGGGCCATACAGCAGTGCTGGGTTGTAGAATCTCTGGGTCTGGCACGGTCATCACAGATGCAAAACTGGAATGGAACCCTGGAACCTGAACGTTTTATGCTGTTGGGTCGCAAATCTGGGCTAGTTTTCGATGGATCTTCATGTGGAAGGACTTGACAGTGGCACATCACCAAGCTCCTCCATGGTGCCAACTCCTCGCTCCGAGGCGTTACCTGCAAAGGCCGCTGAAAAGCAGAAGTTGGTTGGCTGCACGGTGCTTCGACCGCATGCCGGTGGAAAAATGACCCCTTTGGATCCACTTTCGCCACAGGGCAGATTGGTTTTCCACAGCTCTGCCTGACAGAATCTTGTGGCTCAGGCACATGCACGGACAAGCACCTATGATTTATTCATGCGGGGTCATAGCGTGCGGAATCTCGGTGCTGGAATGGTTTTTCGGATGGACCTTGGACATTGGACAGGGCCCCAGGGATAGCAGGAACCTGATAGTAACTGTAGAACGATGTCGAAGAATCAGGGTTTCCTGTAATGTAATTACATCGTTTCCTGTAATCATCAATCCATATCAATCCCTTGAGTTTTACATACTGTATTCTGTCTAATAATATGTCTCTTTACCATCCGTGAGATGTTCCTCCCCAAGACGCAAAAACCCTGGATGGTCCCATGATTGTTTGGAAGATCCAGATATCACCGTTGAAAAACCGCAGTTCAACAATTTACTGTACTACACACTGCAAAAAAGAAAAAGGTCCAGGTCAGCGAAAAGAAAAGAACAGAAAGTTTATCCAGAAAGTTACATCTATGTACGTCTGTAGGATAAACACCTGGAAAAAAGATCAACACCTATTTAAAAAATATTCAAAAACCCGTAAAAAAATGCTGTTTTCCCACCATTTTTCAATCGGTCCAACTTTTTCGCTCAGGTGGTGACCCTCTGTGCCGATCTCGCCAGGGGGCCCGGCCTTAGTGGCCGATGAATTGAGCTACGGATAGTTCCCAATAGTTACAGAATAGTTACAGCTACAGTTGGTGATTCGGATTCAACCACAGCACCTTTCCACCGTTTCCCCTGCACCGAACAACACCTTTCCACCACCACAGCGGCTCAGTTTTTTTCGCTGTGATCCACATCAGGTCTTGTTGCGTGAAGGCGGTCAGAGACACGTGAGCGAGATGAAGATGGACAGGTCTAGCCTGGATCTTGGGATGGCCGGGATTTCAGGGAAAGTTGGGATTTTCATGGCGATGTCCCCAAAGATTTCACCAATAGTCATAATAGGTGAGCGATTCCAGCAGGAAACTTTTTTTCGGAATTCGCGAAAAAAACATGTGGATTTACTCTTAAACATGAAGCTTTCACCATGTTTCACCAACAAAGATGGTGATTTTCTATCATGTGGTTGGGAAACTCCTACTAGCTCCTTGGCTCCCCATTTAATAGGGAATATGGATAGCCCTAGCTCCTCAGCTCCCTCCTAACCACTGGATTTTCGGCTTTTCGGTTTTGTCCCAAGCGTCGTTGGGCATGCGAGGGATCAGTTGATTCGTATCCCTTGCACACATTCTGCACAATTCGCAAAAAATTAATCCAAAAAAACTAACTGCAGGGAGAGAAGTAAGTGGATGCATACCTGATCATCTTCGATCGCTGCTCGAAGGGAACATCAAGATGATTCGGTGCAGCAGGAAGTGAAGAAGCCCTTTTCGGCAAGACAATTTGCCGATTTAGATTTCTACTGCTGCCACTGCTAGTATTGAAGAAATTAAAGAGGATCAAGGGGATCTCCTGACCAAAGTGCAAACGCGGGCGGCATGAAAACCCTTTGGCAGTACTTGAGTTTCCTAAAGCCGCCAAGGAGCGAGCTTTAGGGATAATATCCGCAGGAAAAACTTGGTGACCTGTGAACCTACGAATCCAGGTTATTGCTTTGGCCCAAACTTGCATCTGCTCTCCTAACCACTGGATAGTTTTCTTCAAGAAAAATGGGGGAATTTTGATCACTCGCCAGATAGCGACCTCTCTGGCCATAATTTCGATAGTGGGGGAGCTCTTTGGCGTCATAGATTGGGATATACTCATTTACATAGCACATATTGATGCATATTGGGTAATTATATGGTAATTATATGGTAATTATACATATTGGTAATTATATTGTAATTATCACTGTGTATCACTATTGGGTAACCATTACCATTATATGCATCACTATTGGGATATCACATGGATTACCATATATGATTTGGGATATATCACTTTATAAATGGTAATCATTTATCAAGCACTACGGTACATTAACACAGAATAACACAGAAACATTTACCCAAATCTAGCGGAAAATTGGTGTGGGGTGCTGCTCAGCAGCTACTTTGAGTGAAATCTATGGACTGAGTAAGACCCCAACAATATAGAAACATAAGTTCCTACTAAAATACTGACTATATGATCACTTTCCTCTTGAAATGGGGACTACTGTACTATATTAAATACTATATACCCATTTCATCTCATCTATTTTGTTTTTGGCCGACCCGTTTCATATCGTTTTTCATCGCATTTTGGGTTCTTCAATCCCAGATATAACTGGGGATGCTCTATCCAACAGGGTTACTAACTAAAGTTACCCTCTGGTAAACATACAAAAAGCTATTGAACATGGCCATTTATAGTGGAATTACCCATTTTCAGAATGGTGGATCTTTCCATAGTTTTTTGTATGTTTACCAGGCCGGGTAACTAAAGTTGTGAACCATTGGATGGAACATTGGTTAACTAATGGGGAAAGTTATGAACCAACAGGGTTACTAATTGTTATAACTGGGGATGTTACGTAACTATGGAAAATCACAATTCTTAATGGGTAATTCCACTATAAATGGCCATGTTCAATAGCTTTTTGTATGTTTACCAGAGGGTAACTAAATCTATGAACCATTTTACAACCGGTTTCTGCAAATTACTAGGTGGGATACATAACTTTAGTTAGTAGAAATTGTAATAGTTTCTATCCACAGTTCTGCAAATTGAAGCTGACTTACAATCCACGACTACTCGCTGGGATGATCATTGAAGCCAGTTGAAGCTGCTGATCTCTTGGAAAGCAGGGACCAGAGTCATAACAAGCCTCATGGCAGCCCCTGAATTATCATGTCTTCTTGGTTGGTTATTTTCAAGTACTGTACCCCATTAAAATAGTCTGATTTTTGCATATTTTTGCTGATTCAATGCAATTTGAAGCATCTTTTCTGACTTTCTGATCCAATCGTTTCGCATTTCCAGAACTTTTCCTAGGATTTATCCCACGTTTCAGGAGCTTCAATCATCTTACCCTCTGGTAAACGTTTACAGAAAACTATGGAAAGATCCACCATTCTGAAAATGGGTCAATCCACTATTTCTATGGGAAAATCACCATTTTCAATAGCTTTTTGTATGTTTACCAGAGGGTAGAGGCTGTATATGTGTATTTTCCCAAGAATTCTGGAGGTTTCTCAATTTTTTCTGCCAATTTTCTTCAATAATCTTAAATCTCCATTTCTCATGGCCTCGGTTCAATCCCAGTTCTCTCCCGTTGGACCGCGACTCCGCAGGGGCCCGGAGTCGCGCCACTGGGCCACGCCCCTGGAGTCGCAGCGCGCGCGCTTGGCCAGCAGTGCGCTGGTGAGTCAGCTGAGACGACATAAGAAGGCCAGGAGTGGCCCAGGTTTTTATTTTTGTTCTGTCATGGGAGAACTATTAAGCTTAATCATGGGGGATTATATATGGTTATTGATGGTTATTAATGGTTAATATAATCTATAATCAACTATTCAATGAATAGGTAAATCAACTATAAACATAACTGGTTGGTGGTTTGGAACATGGCTTTGATTTTTCCATTCAGTTTGGAATAATCATCCCATTTGACTTTCATATTTTTCAGAGGGGTTGAAACCAACAAAACAAGTATGGGTTTTTCAATGTTGCCATAGTCATGCGGGTAATAGCTGGATGGTTTAGACATGTTTAGAATGTAAAATCTGTTGTTCAAATCATGATTTATGACTTATGTTGTTTTTTTTCGACATGGAGGTTTCCATAGTCATGGGAGCAGTTTTCACAACCGTGTTTGTTGATGAGTTTTGATGATTATACAGGATTATACTACCCTTCGTATATTAGGTTTTTCAATGGCCCAGATCTACGTATAGATATGTACTGTCACTATGAACATGCATATCCAAGGGATATCTAAAATAGCTTGGTTGATATAGGAACTTCATCATAGACCTTATATTAGCTTATATTAGAGGGTTTCCAAAGTCATGGGGGGAATAGCTTTTTTTTTTAATAATTCCAAATCCGTTGTTAATTATGATTATTTATGATTTATAAGCATTTCGCCAACAAAATGAGGACTGTTATGACTAGAACCAGGAATAAGGATCTTGACATATGGGGATGGGTTAAGTGGGGACGAATCATCCATTCACCAGCTATTTTAGGGCCAGGGTACCATCCGGGTGCCAGGGTTTTGACGAAAATAGCCAAAGGTTTTTGTTCGGATTTTTATCCACATTTTTCGGATATTTCATCATTCTGCGAATATCTCCCAGTTGTGGTTTTTGCATCGCAGGGGTTCTGCTCAAAATTCCTGGTTGATGACTTGTACTAACCAATATTAATTGGGGATTATCACATGAGCTGGGAAATTGAGATGATTGGGATGATGACCCTCTGAGAATTTCACCACGGGCTATGGAAAATCACCACTAAACTAGCCAATCATCGAAGTACATGGGCAATTATCATCAATGATCTATAGCTATGTTGCCAGAGGGTATGAGTATTTTTATGATGATTATCCCAATTGTGGTAGAATCATCATACATATATCTGGGTAAATTATAACGACCTCACTATTCTCCCGAACCCTGGAATCATGATTTATTTTAGGGAAATCATCCCCTTTTATGGCCCAACATTTCAGGTTAGTGAAATATGGTTTCATTTACCCAGATGATATCATATAGCTGGTAAACTAGCATAAACTAGGCAGAACTATTGACAATTGCCAATTTATAGATGTTTTACCTATTCAAAATGTTGATTTTCCATTGCCATTTCAGGTTAGTGAAATATAGATATATCCCAATTATAAACATTAATTAAGCCTAATTGGGATGATGTGGGATGATCATGTATATAGTGTAAACATTTTTTTAATGCGTATTTATCCCAAAAAAGGGATGATATTGTAGATCAACCATGATGACATACAGATAAACTCAGAAATGGTAGGTAGTTGATAATCCATTCATGACCCATATATATATATACATACATACAATGGTACATTCCATATTGCAATTGGGCTTTGAATGGGGACATATCATTGGGCTATAGAACCATTAAGCGTTTTACGAAATTTGACCGATTTGTGCGTTAGAACATGGCTATGGATCAATCGCCAAAATAAATCGCAGTTTTAGGGGGATGGACATCCATTCTTCAGAAATTCTTCAGAAGTTGCTCCAAGCGACTCTTAGTATTTGGGTAATCAGAATCACCATAAAATGCCACGAAATCCCATATATTTCCCATGTACTTCCGAGATTCCCAACACATGTTCCCAGCATAAAATCACCTCAACAATTCAGAACGAGATTTTCTGCACGAGATTCCGACTCGAGATTTTCCCAACACTCATAGAATTGGATGATGGGAAAATTTACAGGAAAGCCCATTAATTTGATGGTAAAAACCCATGGGTTTCCGGTTAAGTTTTTCCCCAACAAACCAATCCATGGATATGGAAAAACCCACCATTTTTTCATGGGAAAAGTCTCCAGATCTCGTCCAGATCTTCAGGCCTTGGGTGCCTTTCTGCATTTGGGTGATGCCTTGGCGGCCGAGACGCTGTGCTTGGCCGGCTTCGAGGCTGGGTGCTCTCCAGTACTTCGACCATCAACGGTTGGTGGTTTGATGATTACCCGGCCTGGTAAACATACAAAAAGCTATGGTATAGATGGCCCATAGAAATAGATGATTTACCGAACTTAAAAATGGTGGTTTTCCATAGCTATGTTAGTTTACCAGAGGGTAATGGGATGATAGATGGTATACCAATGGGATGTTTACCACCTATATATCCGATATATACATGGGATGATCATGGTAACCACTAACTGGTTGGTGGTTTGGAACATGACTTTTATTTTCCCCAATAGCTGGGATGATGATCCAATCTGACGAACTCATATTTTTCAGAGGGATTCAAACCACCAACTAGCTAAACATTGGGTGACTTTCAGGGTCAACAAGTTAATTTACTGGAGGGGAATTGTAACTGTTGGAATGGAAGAACTTCAAATTTGGCTTCGAATTGTGATTCAACCACTGAATAGAGAAATTAGAAGGCAAATGGATTTTGCCTGTTAAGTGGTTCATTGTCATTAAGTGGTTCATTGTCATTTGGTCTATAATATATATATATATATTTATAATATATATTATTATTCAATAACACTGAATCAAATCAAATGGTATATGAATACATCTTAAATGCTGCCTCAACCATTCCATTTCTTCAGCGCCATGGCACAGCCCGCAGGCAGTGGTGCTGGACCACGAAGAGGGCCCTGGAAATTTGTCCAACGCCATCGGCTTGGTTCATGCAGCCGCCAGTGCGGGGACGCACACCTTGCTAAGGGCACCTTGGTGGGATGGGAAGCTGTGACAAAACTATGTTTTTTGTGAAACAAAAACCATGTTTACCAGCAAAATCAGGGATTTCAAGGGATTTCACTTATGCTGCATGTTGCTTTTTTAAGCGCATCATGTTTTTTTTTTTAAATAAGCGGCAATCATCAGGATTTAGCCAAGCAAAATGAGGTGCGATAGGATATGGTCAGATATGGTGATTTATGCTATGTAAGTTGGTTTATAACCTCTAACTATATATGTAATATATATATATATGACATTATATATGTATATGGAAGTGTCTGGCAATAGGGATGCCCATAAACTGATATAGTTTTAATGGGGAAATGATGCTTAAGAAAAGCATGAAATTTGGGGCATCCTATTTTCAGACAAAGCCATATATCTACCACACACTCTAGGTAATCCACCAATAAACCAACTTAGCTGACAACCACCTGCTTGTGGGGTGTTGATTGGGCAGACTTTTTTGGATGGTACATGTGGATTTCATATGATTTGATATGGTACATGTACAAATATACACATGCTATTTGTAACAATACAATGTATGTATATATATACATATATATATATATGGTTGGTGGTTTCAAACATTTTTTATTTTCCATTTCATATATGGGATATATAATCCTTCCCATTGACGAACTCCATCATTTTTCAAGATGGGCACATTGCACCACCAACCAGTAATATGTTTGATATATACCAGTTTTTATTTTTCCATATATTGGGAATAATCATCCCAACTGACTGATATATATATGTTTGATATATACAAAACATGCGTACAATATGATATAATACCAGTAATATGTTTGATATATAATCCCAGTATTTGTTATCTACCAATACTATGGTTGGTGGTTTGGAACATTTTTTATTTTTCCATATCCATATATTGGGAATATTCATCCCAACTGACTAATATTTTTCAGAGGGGTTGAAACCACCAACCAGAATACAATATATGTGTCACAGTACAAAGCGAAGAGTTGTGTGTGTTTTTTTTTTTAAATATCCCGGTGATCCCAAAAAGAGATTGCTGCTCATCCAGAGGACAGTGACTGAACGTTGCCGTTTCAGTGACTGAAAACGGTGAAAAACTCGTGGTGTTTTCAACCGGTAGTTAGCCTCTCGTAATTTGTTACATAACCACTTAGAGAACCTCAGAATATCTCAGATACCCTCTGGTAATTTGTTACATAGCGAACTGAAAAATTGCCCATTTAGAAATCGTTGATTTACCGAACTTAAAGATGGTGATTTTCCAGTTCGCGAACTGGTAGTTTACCAGAGGGTAACTCATAGATCTCATAGATCTCATAGATCTCATAGATCTCATAGCCATACTACGGTGGATGGAAGAAATCCTGCACCAGTTCATAGGTGGTTTATCCCATTATTTACAGGCTTTCTACCATCCCAGGTGGTGCAGGATTTCTTCCATCCACAGTATGATAATTGCCAGCCCATCACCCGAAACATTTCCATAGCGCCATCCTACCCGCCATTCGCCATGAACGAGGTACCTAGCCACGACTTCCCGTGCGCAGGGGGTGGTCTTCGGGTCGTGGGCCATCGGTTTTGGGTGCCCCTTTTTTTTCGGGAGATCATGGTTGGATAAGATGTGTATGTGCCCATTATTCTAGCCATGGATATCTGTGGATATATACCATCTGGTTATTTAACATAGCCATGGAAAATCCCTTAAAAATGGAGGTTTAAAGGGAAAAACATCTATAAATGGGCCATTTTCCATGGCTATGTTAAATAACCAGATGGTAACTAATTATCCATGAAGTCTCGGATACTACCATGGTTATACAACCCAAACCTACCGATTCATGGATAGCAATGAAGGGATATAAGCAAAACTATGAGGGAACATACCGACCATTGCAGTTTCAATGGGAAAACAATGATCAACCATGACATTTTGAGATGCCATACTCTGGGCCATTTTTTAAGGGGGGTGATGGGTAGTATTGTGAATTGTTTCTTCCAAACATCTCAAGAAAGTCAATTCCCAATTTCCATCATTCCATCAATCACCTGACCTCCCAAATTGGTATATTCATCAGGGTAAATTATAACGACCTCACTGCGACCGAGCCCTGGAATCATGGTCAATAAGGGAAATCATCCCCAAATGCCATTAATTCAGATTAGTGAAATATTCTAATTTACCCAGATTCAACGAATTTCCCAAGTTTTGCTAAGTCTTGAAGGCGCCCCAAAAACATCGACTTCCAGGCCATGGCCATCCCAAGGTACCTCCGACGCGCCTTGCAGTTGGGTCTGGAAGGCTTGATTCTGCCCATGGCCGAAAGTGCTGCCCAGGCGCCGATTTCTGGGCCGATTTTTGGGGCAGTGGATCCAGTTGTGGATCATTTAGCCTCTGGTTATTTGTTACATAGCCATGGTTAAGCCATGGTCCTAATCGAAATAGATGGTTTACCGGTTTACCTATTAAACAGAGTGATTTTCCATGGCTATGTTAAATAACCAGATGGTAAATCAAGAACATATAGGGAAAATTTACCCATGGGTTTTTATGAGGGATATAATCTGATATACTGGGAATATTATGGGATATACTGGGGCAACTTGAAATGAGAATTGGTTACGTTTGAAACGGGGATAATTTTTCAACCGGGGAACTTGACCACCAAAACATGCAAATATGTCATGGTATACCCTCTGGTAATTTGTTACATAGCTATTGAAAATGGCCATAGAAATAGTGGATTTTCCCATTAAAGATGGTGGATCTTTCCATAGTTTTCTGTATGTTTACCAGAGGGTAGCACTGATGTGATATCTGGGTGTGTCTGAGAATGGGGTACGCTGTGACACCGTACACCCCAACTGGTTGGCCTGTTGCGAACATGCTGGTGATGGACCAATGATGGGGATGGATGGGGATGGATGTCCGAAGAAAGACATGGTGAGTCATTTGGTTTACCATGTTTACCCTCTGGTAATTTGTTACATAGCTGTGGGTAATTTTTAACACCATAGAAACACATGATTTTGGCCAATAAAACCTCCGTTGATGGTTGGGATTTTCCAGTTCGCTATGTTAGTCATTTCCTTAGCTATACCATAGCTATGTACAGTGGGTTTCATCGTTTTCCCAATGGCCATGGCCATCCCAAAGGCGGAGGTTCGGTCTCGCGATGACGTGAAAACCAACCAATATGATGAAGCCATCGATGGGCATTTGAATCATTTCAGTTGGACATCCAGAATTTTCAGAACGAGACCCTCTGGTTATGTCAACAGAAATAGCTATTGAAGCCATAGCCCAGTCGATTTATAGTGGATGAATTCCCATAGAAATAGCATGGTGGATCTTTCCAGTTCGCGAACTGTGGCTACGTTTACCAGGTCGGGTAAACCTCCATTTTCCTATGGGTTTTCCTATGTTTTCCCATTTTCCTATGTTTTCCTATGGGTTTTCCTACTGCGACTGGAAGTCCCCACTTGGGATCACGGCAGTTTATCTATCCGAAGACATAGTTCCATCGGATAGATCGAAGCCCCCTTTGGGGATAGGAACGTCTCATCATCGATTCTGTGAGTTCCAGATCCCCCAAGACCAATGGTGTACGCCTTGGAAAAACGCAGATTTCTATGTTCCAACAAAGATTTGTTTGTGGGAACAAGACCATGCCACCAAGCCACCATTTGTAGATCATTTTCACAAAACCATGGCTCTTCCACATCTTTCTGTTTGTCTACCCGAAGGGCCTGGTCTTCCTGAGGTCGAAGACTTCATCGCAGCGGTGCGGAAGTCCTATCCTTCGCCCGAAAATCCCAGGGATGTTCTGCCGTCCTGAAATTATGGTTAAAAATGGTTAATATAATATATATATATAATATGGTTTACCATCAGTGATGATTAATGGTGATTAACTATCTGAACCATTAGTGTTATGTCAATATCTATTTATGGTGATAAATGAATGGTTATAAATAATGGTTATAGATGGTTAATGATTATTATGTCATCTATTAACAACTATGGTTAGTAATCATTAATGGTTGACAAAGGTGATTAATGGTTAAAAATGGGTTAATAATGGTGATTAGTGGTGATTAATGGTAATGTGGGTAAAACAATCTTAACCCACACATGACTGGGAATGGTAAACATACCACCTATAAAAAAGGTGATGACTGGGGAATGGTCTATGGCATTGTTTTACCCACATTAATATCATAGAACACCATAATATAATGTCAACACCAGATTAATAAATCATGGTTTATGAAAATTAGGGGGTACTCCTCCAATAGTCATTTCATCTGATACTTTTTTATGGTAGCCTCCCAATGAAACAGCCGTTTGGGGTTTATCAATCCAGGGTTGACATTATATTGCATATATTATACGATTATATATATATAGACAATATGATATTGAGCAGCAAAGCATGTGGGTTGGATTCCTGAGCCCTTCAAGTTTTTAATCTTCAAGCATTGCATTGGAAATCCTCAGTTTGGATCCATTTGTATGTTAGTTTCCTGTGAAAAAATGGTGATTTCCTACTACCAGGTTCAACTGCCAGAGAGCAAGCAGTTTTTGCGGTAGTTTCATCAGGTAAGATCCTTCACTTCATTGCAAAAAAATGTTTTCATTGGTGAATCAGTTAATCAATGTTAAACGCATGCTTATCACGGGGAACCACTCTAACTAAAATTGACTTACGAAGAAATCTCTAAAAGGGAATTAACATTTTTGCGGTTGAACTATGTCAAAGTCATATGTTTTGAACTTTGTGTTCACTTATCATTGGATTGGTTTAAGGGAAAATCTACAGGGAACCATGGTTTTTACCATTAAATATGGGGTTTCCTGTAAATTTTCCCGTAAACCAATCTAATGAACTTAACTTCAAAAGAGATGGTTCAATTTCAAAACATGCTATTTTTTTTCCGAATACACATCCATGAGAAGGATGACTATGTTTTTGAAAAACGCATCCATTGAAAAACCTTCAATTATTGGTTAGCCTCTGGTAATCTTACTGGTGCTAAACGCAGGGAATTTTCGGGAATGATCCACTGGCTAACTATCAATAATAATCTCAGCAACCCCTATTCCCATCCATTCCCTACGTAAAACATCGTAAAACGCACCAGTAAGTTATATATGGGATGAAATACCCTCTGGTTATGTCAAAATAGCTATCGAAAATTGCCATTGATGGTTAATTTCCCTAGTAAAAATGGTGATTTCCCATAGTTTTCTGTATGTTTCCTATTGAGAATGGCACATAGAAATCGTTGACCGATGATCCAAGACGTCCAAGGTCAAGCCTGCGGGGAGCAGGTGGGGACGACCGGGACCTTGCTCCGGATGTCGTGTTGGAACCGGTTCTGTCATGGGAGAACTATTAAGCAACTAATCATGGGGGATTATATATGGTTATTGATGGTTATTAATGGTTAAAATCTATAATCAACTATTTTGAATAGGTAAATCAACTATAATCATAACCGCTTGGTGGTTTGGAACATGAATTTTATTTTCCATATATTGGGAATGTCATCATCCCAACTGACTCATATGTTTCAGAGGGGTTGAAACCACCAACCAGATAAGATGACTTGGATTAATGACGATTTTACGGGATAATACTGGGGGATTATAAAAATGTAATCTTGCTGGGATTAGTAGCAATAGGACAGGAAAAATGATAATCAATCGTAAACATGATAAGAATTAATCACAGAATACAAAAAAAACAATGATCTGATAACAGTTATAGTAATTAACACTATAACAATAATCATCAATGATACTCTATGACATCAATAGAACTAACGAAACAATAATCAATAGTAATACTTGTAACTTAACAATCAATAGTAATCAATAAAGATTGGTACACTTCCATTAAACACCCACCAAAAAAATCGCGCAAGTTGCTCCGAAATGGTCCCAGGGTCTCTGGCAGGAGGACACGCCTCAGTCGTGCGTAGTGTCGCACCTACTGCAGCGCAGTTCTTGCGGAAGAGTCGCTCGGCAAAGGAAATTGGTTGCAAACATGGAAAACATTATATACACTGCACACGTGTATATTGTATGTACATAATGTGTGTATACATATATATATAAATTATATGCACAATATATATATATATATGCACAATATATATATATATACACATACACACACACATACATACATACATACATACATACATACATACATATATATATATATATATGTATGTATGTATGTGATACACCGCAGAAGCTTAAGCAATTTCTGTCATCCCATATATCAGTTTTCAGAAATTGTACATGCTTTTTCGGTAAGCGATGGGACCTTCCCCAATTTGTTGATATCCTTTTCATGAACCTTGAGTTTTCGAGATTGCTCATGTATAGATATACATATCAACATGTGATATCATATGTATACAGTACATAATAGGTATATATACATCTAATGATAGGTACATCTACGGTGTCTTTGAAAACGGGTGATTTTCGCTTCGCTGTTTTCTCGAGGGACGATGGGGATGATGTCACCGGACGACTTGAGGACGACTTTGGATCCAATACGTATGATTGGAATGGTACTATATATATAGGGACTTTATAGTGTAATGGGACTTTATAGTGATTCAATGGGATCCATCAACTTTTTAGTGGGACTTTATAGTGTAAACTATTGCAGCAGCCTCATATTTAATGGTATTCAATGGGATTTATAATGATTTAATGGGACTTTATAGTGATTCAACGGGATATTAATGGAATATACCCTCCGGTAATTTAACAGTTTGCTATTGAGAATGGCCATAGAAATGGTTGATTTACCTATAAAAAATGGTGATGTTCCATAGCTATGTTAAATTACCAGAGAGTATTTTTTTTGCTTAATTGGATTAATCATATTTAAGAAACATTGGATCAATCATTTTAATCATATGGTCAATCATGAGCACTTTAGACATTAATAATAAACCATCCCCCAAATCACCGTAGATAAGTGGTGTAAACCGTTCCCAAATAGGTGGTTTATGACATTGTTTTACCCATATTAGACATTTTCCATCCGTCGCCTAGTTTGACATTTTCATATCCAACATATGATTAATCCATTTTAATCAATGACCATTTTCGCAGTTTTAGTGAGGAAGTGGTGGCATTTCCGTATGGACGCGACATGTTTTCTCTCCCCAGGAGAGGAGCTGCTACTGAAGGCAGTTCAGGTGTGGGTCGACCGGAAACGTTGTCGTTTGCAAGGGCCCTCGAACAACGGGAAATCCCCTACAAATCATGGGAACATAGAAAAATATATCAATGGATTGGTTTAGTCGGGAAAATCTTAAGCGGAAACCCATGGTTGTTTTTACCATCAACTATGTCGGACTTTCCGGTTAAAATTGTTCTATCATCCAATTCTGTGAATATCAAACATTTTTTATTTTCCATAATATAGGGGATACTCCTTCCCATTGACTTTCATATTTTTCAAGATTGAAACCACCAACCAGTAGAAAAATATCGGAAAATCATAGGACACTCTGAAAAAATATGGGAATCATCTCTACAAATGGAGGTTTTGTCAAAAACGCCGGGAGAATCATCGAAAATCATGCTGTAAATGCTGGCGTTGAAGAATTGCCAAGTTTGATGACACCGGAGACTACTGGGGCCCGGGGTTTAACATGGAGCTTTCTTAGAGTTGATAGATGTAATTATATGTGGTTAAAGTTGGATTATATCTTGGCGATTTTTGGATTTTTGGTGGATATATCGCTAGAGGTGACATCAAACCACTTTTTTTATTGGGTACTGCAAGTATTGGCCAGGCAAAATGGATGGTTTCAGATCCCAAAAATGTCCAATGGTGATCCAGGGAACTTGGGCCTATAGCCTTTCAGTCATGGGGGATCCCCAGTCGGCACCATGGTTGTTTCAATACCAAGTCATGGTTTGACTGGACGGATTTCTGGTGTATCCCTATGACTTAGCAAACCTTCATAACTTCTCTCCAAAAGATCTTTCTTGTACTCTGAAGCCTGTGGATTCTTATGGCTACACTGCTACACAGCTGACATCGTGAGACCCCGATGTCCGTGACGTCAATGGACTGCCCAAGAGCCAAACTTTTTAGGTGAGATTTTTTTAAACATTGATCCAGCCACAGTCTTCTAGACAAAGGCTGGATAAGTGTAAATCTACGATTCAGTCTTTGGACATAATAATCATCATAGTAATACTACGTATATAAGTCTATAATATTATAAGCGCGCAACAAAATTGAGATCATACTTATAGTGATAATCTTTGTTTTTTATCATTACTACCATTACCATTGTTATATATTAGTATTGTTATGTATACCATCTCATGTTATTCTCATTGCTATCTTCATCCAGCCAAAAATCGATGTTTCCCAGGTGGAGTCGGAAATTGGCTTGGCGCATGTCAGAGACATGGTCAAGGTGGAAGGCAGAGCGATCTGCCAATCGATGGATGAATGGTCACGGTTGAGGCTTCCAATATCTTACACTGATGTGTTTTTTCGTTACTTATATATATATATACTGTATATATATATATATGTATGGAATGTATACGAAACCATTTGGATTTGCAACATGTTACAAAATGTTGCAAGACCACTTGCAGATGGAGTTGATTTATCAGCTGCGATGCTGGACAATCAGAAATGGTATGGTAAAGCAAGCAATCAAGACATCTCCATCACCAATTTGATACAAACAACCGAGGAAAACGAGGTGTCTAAGTCGTTGAATTTTGGCATTGACAAATCTATAGGAGTCAAAGATTTGGGGTCAGAAGACATTCCGATGGATCCACAAATCGCTGGTCAATCCAGTTGGGGAAGACTAGCTGATCAAAATAATTTTGCCCAGCAACCAAGGCTTTCACCGAAGTTGGGAACCTGGCGAAGTTACTGGATTTTAAATGATACGGTGGATGGAAGAAATCCGTTCATCACCAGTTAATAGGTGGTAAACATCCCATGATTTTGTTTGGGTTTCAACCATCCGTTTGGTGATGCAGGATTTCGCAACCATGCACAGTATGATTCCAGATTCCATAGTTTTCATGATTTTTGTGAGCGGATTTCAAGCTTTCTTTTTGGGGAAGAATTCAACCCAGCCAAGCATGAAGGGGCCATAAGGGGCGCCTCAGCCATGTTTGTTGGTTTATGTTACCCCATCAAACCAGTTTGATACATTCATGACAAATCCAACACTTGGACTAGTTATAGTTCAACATAGTTCAACGTACCATCTCATAGCATATTCGTATCACCGAAAAAACATCCCCCTCTGCTTGGCCTTCAACATCCCCTGTGTTGTTGTTGTTTAAATTGGCCAAGAAATCCTTGAAATTCCCACGATTTTCTGCTGGTTAAGTCACCCTCCCAAAATTTCCCAGGCCTCGACATGATCTTCTTCGCCCCCGTGGAACTGGCTGCCTCTGCTCCGCGGGGACAGGAAGCTGGGCTGCTGCTGGCGCTGCAAACGGCTGAGGCGAGGCATCGGGGAGCAGGGTGAAGAAATGCCCTTGTAACTTCTCAAAAAAACATCTTAAAGTGTACCATATGGGTATGGATCAATACCTATTAATTCCATTTTTAGTGGGATGAACATCCATTTACCAGAAATTTTGGGCTTCACTAGGTACCAGGGTTTTGACCCATCCCCATATTAGAACATGTTGGAAGATCTACTTTATTGCATTTTACAATATCTGATAACATCTTAGAACCTCGTTTAACATCTTATAACTGTGTATAGATGTACTTATAATGTGTCATAAAGCACTTAATTACTAACCAGTCAACTAGTTCAAGAAACTTTACTTTTGGTATGGCTTTGAAAAAACCTAAAATGTAAAAACTTGGTGACTGAGACTGAGGTATGGCTAACCCTGGATTCATTAAACCCTGGCTGATTAAGCATCGGAGGCTATCCCCCAACTAGTGATGCCCTTGGCTCAAACAAACATGATACCCCGCTGAATGTAGATACAGCACAGAGGTTTACTTATCCAGGGTTGACATTATGTTGGATGGCTGACTATTGATTTGTATTGGTTCAACCTCCCAAATCAAGGTCATTTGGATTTACGGAGCTGGAATCTCAAAGACCATCTTTTTTTCATGCTCCAACTTTCCGTTACTTTTATTGGTTATTTAACATAACCATGGTATAGATGGCCCATAGAAATAGATGGTTTACCTATTAAAAATGGCTGGATCTTTCCATGTCTATGTTAAATAACCAGATTAGACCCTTTATTGGTCTAGGTCTAAATCTTCAAACCAAAAATAATTTGGAGTTGAGGTAGTGAATGTACTGGCGACATGGGCCTTTGAAGCGGTTTGAAGCATGACCGGCGTTGGTTGTCCTCGTAGGCAGAAGTGAAGAGGGCAAAGAAGCTGCTGGGAGGCTGTCCGGTAATTTACCCTCTGGTTATGTCAAAATAGCTATTGAAAATGGTGATTTATAGTGGATTTTCCCATTGAAAATGGTGATTTTCCATAGCTATGTTAGTTTACCAGAGGGTACTCCCAAATCATCCAAAATTCAAAAGTTTTATCATCAGTTGTGCCACAGCAATTCATGAACCCACATGTTGATAAAATTTGGGTGGGATGCTGCACCAGGCTGCATCCAAATCATCCAAGTCCCGACAGTCCCGATAATCAAACATGGCAAGGTGGAAAATCCCTTATAATAGATGTTTTAATGGGCCATTGCCACGTTTGATTTCCGGAGGGTATATATTTTTTTTAAACGATTGTGTTTCCTCCTGTCTTACCAGTGAGCAGTGAGCTGATTTAACGAGTTGGCACATCTCCGCATGGTTACTGCTTGGTTGGCGAATGGGATTCTGCACGATTGTGTTGATTCATATCCGAATGATCATTTGATGTTGCCCAAACATCAACAAACACCAAGAAACATCAACAAACATCAATCTACATCCAGACTTTTCATGACCTTTCAATACATTCGCCAATCACAACACAGCCTGACAAACCATCTCATCCCAAAGCGATTTTTTTTGCCGTCGAGGCATGTTGGTGCCCGGCCGCTCCGTGGAGACGATGTTCGCCGCGGGCTACGACTTGGTTTGCACCACCAGCGACGTGATCCTGCTGCGAGCCACGGCGGAGAACATCGCCACTGGGAGAAGATACTGAAAACGAAGAACACGGGGGTTAAACAGACATGGGGGGTTCGGACCAAGCAGACAAATTTTGTTATATATATATAATATATATATATGGGGATGGGTCAAAACCCTGGTACCTAGTGAAGCCCAAAATTTCTGGTAAATGGATGTTCATCCCACTAAAAATGGAATTAATAGGTATTGACCCATAGCCATAAAACATTATATATAGATGTTTATATGGGATATACATCGAAACGTGATATCATATAGGCTACAGCTTTTCGGGGATTTCGCTGTGTCACTTGGAAGCCCAGCGTGATATCACGTTGCCGGTTCCTGTCGTGACATAGCCCAGAACATGAAGATCCATTGGAATTGGGTGTACATCATTTTCAGACAAAGCCATAAACATCATATCAGGTTGATGATATCTCCCATCATATCCCCATTCATCATTAGATCACCATTTGAATCTCTATCACAAACATTATATTATTATCCCATTATATACCATTCATATCCACTAACTATATCCCATTGCAGTATATGCCCATTCTGCTGATTATATCTCATTTATTCCCATCATTTTTCCCAGTATTGTCAGGGCGAGAGAGAGAGATATAAAAATATATTTGTATATCCATTGTATCCAGTTTCATTGTCATTAGAAAGTGGCGCACGTGTTATACTATACTTATCATGATATATATATATATATTATACACCATTAGTAACTAGGATATATATATATATACGGTCCCAAATATATCCCTAAACCTTTCCCTTCAACTCACACATATCATATTCTTGATCAGTTATATCACACTTCTATCATAGAATCAACATTATAGATCCAATTAAATCCCATTAAATCCAATGACATCCTCCACTGAGTTCATCAACCCCCATTTTTCACCCCCATAGTTGAATATAAACAATAGATGTTAAACTCATAGTTAAGATAGTTAATAAATGATAACTATGAAATTGCCATGTCCACCATTAAATGCAGAGATAGGAGAGAATCATAGATATATCCACCATGAAATCCTAGTAATCATCCCATTCGTTATCCCAATACATCCCCATAGATTTCAATAAATCCCCATAAATCTCCAATAAATCCAATTTCAATAAATCTCAAGAAGTTTCAATAAATCACCAATCAATCCCAATCAATCCCAATCAATCCCAATCAATCCCAATAAACCACCATAAATCCCCATAACTCCCATGTCAAATCCATGTCTTTTCCCACCATCTTCCCATCGCCTCAAGGTGCGCGAGGCCAAGCCTTTTGCCACGGGACCCACAGCGGGTCAGCTGCAGTGGATCTCCTCGGCACGAGAGGTGCAGAATGGGCCGGATGGGCCGATGGGATGGGCTCCGAAAGGAGGAAATCATGGTAATAGCTAGTGGTTATTAACCTTGGTAATCATCAATGATTGATGATTCTTGGTTACTAGTGATTATTGATAATCATCACCATTAGTAACCATTAATTGTTTCATCAATTGATAATAACCCCTAGTAACCATTGATAACCATCAATCATTAATGGTTGGTGGTGACTGGAACCATAGAATTTTATGACTTTCCATATTAATTGGGAATAATCATCATCCCAACTGACTTTCATATTTTTCGGAGGGGTTGAAACCACCAACCAGTGGACAAAATGAGGAATTTTCCATGGAAAATTCCATTTGGAAATTCCGAAACTTTGGAAAAACCCTGATGTTTTTTTGGAAAGGATGGATGATTCATGATTTTCTTGGAGTGTTTTTTGGGAACACTGGAGTTTTTTTTTTTGAATGTTGAATCCGAAATTCAATCAGAGAATTCCTTAAGCTCTAGCCATTTCTGGGGATGAACCTGTGGTTTCACTGGCACCATGGTTTATAACCATAGTTATAGGGGGTTGCATCACAAATGCCATGGTATGGTTATATTTATCAGAAATTATGACCATAGTTGTAGGCTTATTACCCTTATCTTACCCATCTTGCAATGGTTTATAGCCTCTTGTAACTTCAACTGCACCCCCAACAATTACCCTCTGGTAAACTAACATAGCTATTGAAAATGGCCAGTTATAGTGGATTTACCCATTAAAAATGGTGATTTTCCATAGTTTTTTGTATGTTTACCAGAGGGTACTGGGCGTTGCCCAGGCAAAGTTCGCGAAGGACGAAGAGACGCTCGTCATGAGACTGAAGAAATCTCCACAGGCGCTGGCACGAAATGTCCTCCATGTCCAAACGAGGTTTTCTGGAATATTCAATGGATGTGTCAATAAAATTCAATGAACAGGATGGATATATATATATAATATGATTATGTATATATATATACAATAACAATGATACTATATCTATTAGATTCTATTGGCATTCCTAAAAACATTTTATCAATGTGTATATATATATACCATCTGGGAATTTAACATAGCCATGGAAAATGGCCCATTTATAGATGATTTTCCCATTAAAACATTAAAACTTCCATTTATAAGGGTTTTTCCATGGCTATGTTAAATAACCAGATGGTACTATATTGGCATTCAGTGTTTGATTTCCCCAACCCGTGCTGTCCTCCAGGCCCGTGCCCTGGCCGTGATGTCACGCCTCGGCAGCGCCTTGGCCGCGGAGTTAGTGGCAGAGAAGGGCTTTGAGGCGCGCGGATTTGGGGCGTTGGGTGGTGGGAGTGGCGAAGGGTGGCAAAACCTAGGGAAAACACGGGGAAAACATGGGGAAAAGCTGGATAAAATTGAGGTGAAGATGTGAAGATATGGGATGTGACATGAAGAAAACTTGGATTTGTTGACATGTGATTCTTAAGAGAACACCTTGACACCTTGATTTTTTAGGCAGAGCAAATCTGAGTTGTTGGAAAACACTTCGATTTTTGTTAGGGAATCAATGTTCCAAACAAGATCAGGTTGTGGGGAAATCAACATATTTTAAAATTAGAACGCAGTCACTTGTTTCTTTTAGGAAGTTCACAATGGTGTTTAAAGATTTCATATCTGAAAGGCAAACAGTCAAACTTAGGAATATTGATACAATAGTCCAGCAAAACTTAAATGTACTATAAATACTTCTGCCAACATCTTGGGAATGAACAATTCATGCCTTTTGTGCCGTCGTCATACCCGCCATTTGAGTGGTGATCATCCACAATCAACCCAGGAGTAATCCATGAGTCATATCTTTTCTGTGATAACTGTAGCATGTATCGTATGATTGCAAAGCAAGGTAAAAAAAACATTCGACTCAGTAGATACTAGAAAATATCCACGATCAACATCACAAATGTGTGATATCTAAGATATCATCTCATTCATACACTCTACAGATATTCATATCATACCCTCTGGTAATTTAACAGTTTGCTAGTGAAAATGGCCATAGAAATATTGAGTTTTCCCATAAAAAAAAATGGTGGATCTTTCCATAGTTTTCTGTACACGTTTACCAGGTCGGGTATTCCAACTATAAATCACATTCAATGACTATAAATCACAACTATAAATCACAACTATGGGTATATCCTCTGGTAAATCACAATATACCCTCTGGTAAACTAACATAACTATGGAAAATCACCATTTTTAATGGGAAAACTCACTATTTCTATGGCCATTTTCAATAGCAAACTCCTTTCCCTCGGAACCCAATCTGCTGCAGGTGGTGATTTTGGACCACGCCAAGGGCGCCGAAGATCTGCTGGGCGCCATGGCGGTGATCCACGCGACGGTCCGCTGCGGGGCGCATGCGCTGCTGCGGCTGCCGGTGCCACCGGGGGTACGGTGTGGAGGGTACTTTGATAAGGGAACCATAGTGAACTCAACCACTATGGTTGTTTATGCCTTATAAAAGTTGGTTGTTTATGCCACTAGTGAACTCCACTCCATATGTTTATAGGATTTATATAAATCTTATAAGTTGATTGTTTATGCCACTAGAGTTATACTGTATATCCACTTAGTGAACACTGGAACTGCACTTCCAGAGCCAGGGAAATGATATTCTACCAGGTTCTACCACCATTTAAGCCCATTGAATTGATGGTGTTAATGGGAAAATCATCTATTAAATGGGGGATTAAGCGTGATATTCCCATTTGTATTGCCATTAACGCCACGTTTTTTTTTGGGGTGGAGTTTCAATTTTTGATCACCAGGCAGGGTGTCATTTCGAGAGTTGTCTTCTCCCCATGAATGTGGTAAACTCGATAATCAACTATCCCCATCTATCCCTAATTCATGGGTCTTATCACATTTATATTTACCATCTGGTTATTTAACATAGCCATGGAAAATCACCATTTTTAATAAGTAAACCATCTACAAATGGGCCATTTTCCATGGCGAACTGTTAAATAACCACAGGGTATATTCTTTCTTCATATTTCTATCGATGGCTCCAGTTGATGGGTTGGTCCTTTCTTACCCCAATAGATAGACCTATCCCCAATAGTGCCGAGACGACCATCCGTTATCGTCATGTGACTCACCATGAGTTATATCGTAGATTATTATTTTGTTGAAGTACCATGAAACTTCTAGCATGCTGATTTACTTTTTCTATTTTATATCTATATACTTCTATGATGAAAGTTCCCTCTATGTCATTCAAGCTGTGATTCACTGCTATGTTGCAATGTTACATCTTATTCATTGGATATGATGAGCAAACATACTGGATGATGATTACTATATGGGTGTGTTTGAACATGGGATATACCCCGACAGTGAATTTCTCGAAATAGGGAGCACGAGGCTTTTTTTAAACTGTTGGAAAACTGGTGGTGTTCCCATCATTTTCAGACACACCCAGGTGGGATTGTGCTTTGGTCATGACTACATGTGCCGTCAAAAAATGGGACTTTACGCCCATACTTCGGGTCATCCCATGGAAAAGCTATTCATATGTCCAGTGCAAGGAGTCTTCACAAAATGCTGCTGGGATGAGTGCCCCAAACAATTTCCCAGCTTGATGGCGTAAGCCTATCCAGGTTGATATGGGAATATTGGTGATATCCTATGATATTCATGATAATCCTATGATAATCCTATAACCATTGGTTGGTACGCATTGTTATACGCCATTTATCATCTAATTATGGCTATGACAGATTCACTTCGAGGCCATGATGGATGGTGATCTCCCCATGATCTGGGGTAGCCGACCTGGTAAACATACAGAAAACTATGGAAAGATCCACCATTTTTAATGGGTAATTCCACTATAAATCACCATTTTCAATAGCAAATTGTTAGTTTACCAGAGGGTATATCATAATCATAGATGGGGCAATCTAAGATTATCATCTCTAGTTATCGTTTGCTACAGATCGGCTGCCAAAAAAAATCATTTGCGAACTTCCACTTGCTAAATTAAAACACCCATTGCTACAATATCATGGGTATTGTCATGGCTCTTATCATTCAATTATCTTCCCATTTGTACGGCTGAATAGTGTTTTACTGGGGAAATCTGTTCAGAAAACTAGATGGGGGAATCTGATACAATAATGATCATTACTATATCATTACTGTATTACTGCTACTATATCTCTATACTATCATTACTGCATTACTGCTACTATATCTCTATACTATATCGTTGTCATTTTTTCTTACCATCTTATGTCCATATCAGTACTATATTATACTATACCACATTAACTATCATGATAGGGCAATATAGTCATATGGTAAATTGCTTTTATACCAGTAACTACTACACTTGGAAACAAGCAAAATATTCATGTATATATATACGTATATAATATATATGTAACATACCATATATTATAGTATTCCACATACAATTTAATTTACCATACTATGATTACTGTACTGTATTCTATCTCATTACTGTACTAGAAATCATTATTGTACATGATATTTCATTACTATACATTATATATTGTATATAATTGAATATAAGGCAACATTATTACTATATCATATATCACTACTGTACTATATATCATTACCATAGTATACATTACATGATACATAATATATATATATATATACATTATATTGGAAAGTACGGGCCTGGAATTTACGACTCATCCGCGCAATCGGAAGGCCTTCAGTCTGGGCCACTTGAGACGAGCATTGCACGTGGGTGTGGAAGGCCTTAGCTTGGTCGTAACCACGGGGCTTTTATCGGGTCACGGCGAACATCATCGAACTAATGGGAATAAAATGATAGTGTATAGTGGGATGAAAAACCATAGCTATGGAACATGGTGGATTTATCCTCTGGTATTCCAAGAGCTATGGAAAAGCAGCATCTTTAGATATTTTGAAGAGGTCAATCATATTAAATCATCCACTTTCACCGGCTGTCCGTGGCTATGTGAGTCACCAGAGGGTAAACCTTGATGCCGCATGTGGCGCCTGGTAAATAGCTTGGTGACTGGTGGGACAAGAAACCCAAAAGGTGATATTAGCTGACAACAATGGGGACGTTTCTTCAACTCATGGATATACATTGTGGCCAATATATAATTTTGAAATAAAAGTTTTGTAAACTGCAAGATGAATGGTAGTTTTGGGTATTTTTGTTTGCTAGAATGATGAAGGAACAAAATGAGGGAATCAGGTTTTGGATCAAACTTGGCTGAGTTACCATCTGGTTATGACTAACAGTTCGCCATGGAAAGATCCACCATGCTATAAAAAGAACGGTGTGTACAATCTATTTCGATTAGGGCCATCTATCCCATGGCGAACTGTGAATGTCATAACCAGGCCGGGTAGATTTTGAAGATGTTCAGAACCATTTTGAAGATGTTTCATTTTGAAGGGTAGATTTCCCATGGCGAACTATGAATGTCATAACCATGTGAAACGGATCAGAAATGAAACCCCTCAGACCCGACTTCGGATCCACTCCGGAAATATTATGATTTATATATAATCCTCCTCGGAAAAACCAGCATTTCAAGCACAATTTCAACATATTTCAACCACCTCAGCGTATTTCACCGTGATCATGGCAGCTTTTCGCAGCATTCAGGCGTGATTTTCCCTGTGCACAGCTTGGAGGACGCTCACGCCATGGTGGAGCTGTGCCTTTATCCATCCAGGCTGAGAGTTGCCAAAATATATGGAGTTGTTTGTGTCTGAGTTGTCCTAAGCTGCTGTTTCTGGTCATTTATATTGATTTATGGACTGTATACATGAGATTCCTGGTGTTGGTTTCGGATGTTTTTTTCTTACCTGCAATATGTTAATGAGGATGGTGATTCCTATTGCTTTACCTGGTTTGACAACGCTCTCAGCGATGTCCACACCCAAGCAGCTACAGACGGTACAGAAGTGCGAATGCATCGATTTGTTGTACCCATATTACCATATAGGTGACATTCCCGATTGTGTGCTTGTGGTACATAAGTGTATATTCATATTTTATCCCATAATCTTATCCCGTACAGGTAGGTAGCTGTAATTCCTGGTTTTCATCGGTCAGTGCCTCGCTTAGGCCTACGTTTTTACTTGCTTAGGACTACGTCGGTGATATATATATATATGGCTACAGTCTCAATAGAAAGATATATCGATGTATTTGAACATGATTTCAGGAGGCTTGTACATGTGTATTAGAGATGATCATCAGGTTGCTGCTGCACCGTGCATGTATGTGTCGTAACATCTTTTGGTAATCCCTGCGCAGGCAGGCTTATCCGAGGTTCATCTCGAAGTTTATTGGCAAAGGTCCTGTTTATTCTTTCTCCAATGCATCTAAGTCTTGGCCCCCCTGGCCCCAGAGTGTTGACAGGAGAGGATCATAAAATGTTGTATCCTTTCCCGGTCCCCAGTCCCCGTCCCCTGTCCTCCCCTAAAAGAATTAACCTTTTATAGGTCTGTGTCCCATGGAGTCCAATGTGTTCGATGTCGTGTCTCTTACCTCTACTTGTTCCCACTGTCCCCCGGTCCCCTGCCCACCCTAAAAAAGTAACCCTAAAGGTCTGTATCCAATGGAGTCAACTCTGAAGGTTGAAGTCCTCATCTCAAAATGTAGTCCTAAGTGAGTGAAAAAGTCGTCCTAAGTGATCCTTTGACCTTCATTTCTGTCAAACATTCTCAAATTGGTTCATATACCCAGAAACATCCATGACCGAACACAAAACGAGCTTCGTCCAGGCATTTTCGCAGCTGGAAAAATGATCTTGAAATCTACTGTAAGTTCCATCCTCAAGCTTTTAGAGTTTCAATGGTTCAAACTTCCACACTCAAACTTTCCAAATACTTCTATCGTATTGTATACAGTATAATATACAGTATAATATACAGTATAATTAACAGTACACACACATATATATAATTATATATATATATATACAAATATATATATATATATGCATACATACATATACATACAGTATACATACATATAGTTACATATAATAATATATATATATATACGTAGATGTTTCCTTCAGTTCCAGGTCCTCTCCAGTTCCGCCAGGAATCTGCCTGAAGAGACAAAGCTGGTCGAGGCACGGATGAAGAACCAGCCCTTCCGGCGCATGGACTTCAGCTTCGTCGCTGGGACGTGACGGGAGATGATATGAGATGATGGGAAGGTCAAATCGATAATCATCCCAGTGGTCGGTTACATAATATATTTCTTCTCGGGCGCGCTCCCCCTGCAGTTTGCTGGGCTCGGCGGATATATATATATATATATATTATTTAATTATATATATATATATCATTATATACATATATATATATATATTACATATATACAATGTGTGTATAATTGTATGTATGTAAATATATATATATATAAACATATATATATATATACATACGTTGCAATGAAGTTATGCAGTGGTTTGGAACAATGATGAAGTGAACATGCTATGATATGCTGCTAGACTTTTTGTTGATACAAGTCATTCATATAGAGTACATTTTAGCATATTTGCAGTGATATGTTTGATAATGTATCTACTGCAGCAACAGCTTCCAAAGTATCTACCAACCACAATCATATGGTCAAAAAATGTATATATATACACACCAAACTCTATCCAGTTCTTGTTGCCAGTGTTTCACCTATCCCTGAAATTACTTTAATATATGTCTATAAAAGTTTTTTTTTTTTTTTTAAATATGACCTATCCTATGTCTAACAATCCTATGGATTCTTCATCCAACAAAAAACCCATGGCATAGTGTTTTTTTTGATATGACCTATCCCTGATATTACAAATGGATTGTTCATCCTTTACCCTCCAGTAAATTAACATAGACCCTGGTAGATAGGGGTTGGAAGATGAGTTTCCTCTATAAAACTAGGCTATTTTCAGGGTCCAACTGTGAATTTACCAGAGGGTAACTGGAAACCACTGCTTTTTTACCATGAAATATAGGGGTAAACACCATGAAATCCTATGGATTCTTCATCCAACAAAAAAACAAAAAAAAACCCATGGGCATTTCACCCATGGCAAAGTCCACCGAGGCACCGAGCTTAGTGGAGTTCTGGGGTCAGCGCGTCGCGGAGTTCTCGCGGCGCCAAGCCGAGTCGCTGCTGATCGCTGCGCAGGCGTCAGACGATGGGGCGAAGATGGCGTGGCAGGTCAGGTGGCCTTAGTTTACCACCTATAAATGGGATATATACATGGGATATATGGGATGATATAATGGGATAGTCTTGATTAATGGTCATATTAATGGTCAATAGTCTTGATGGTTACTAGTTGGGCTTAATAATAGCCTTGATTGATGGTTATTAACCCCAATTTACCACCAATTAATGGTCAATCATCACAATTAGTAACCATTAATTGGTAATAACTAGTGGTTATTAACCTTGGTAATCATCAATTATTGATTATTCTTGGTTACTAGTGATTATTGATAATCATCACCGTTAGTAACCATTAATAATCATCAATTGATAATAACCCCTAGTAACCATTGATAACCATCAATCATTAATGGTTGGTGGTTTCAAACATGAATTTTATTCTCCATTTCATATATGGGCTATATAATCCTTCCCATTGACGAACTCATATTTTTCAAGATGGTTAAAACCAACAACCAGAGTATATCAATATTGGGACTCCCGTGGCATATGAAATATGAAATATGAAGATTATATAATGATTATGATTGTGTTATATAAACTATATAATAATGATTTACAAACAGATTCATGTGGGTAAAACAATGGAAAATAAACCACCCATGACTGGGAATGGTGAACATACCACCAATTTATGGTGATTATTGGGGGATGGTTTATGGCATTGTTTTACCCACATTACTGTATATGTTATATCAATAGTTTTGTGATGATTATGTTATATTATATAACGTCATATTATACTCTTATTGTTTTGACCAGCAACATGGAAGGGTGGAGAATGGATCAACATGATGAGATTTTCGATCAACATCTGTGCGACTTCCAATGGTTCGACCTGAGCAATGCTCAAAACCCCTCTTGATCGATTCATTGATGATTATATTGATTAGTTCTTTTTTATGCTACGTCATTAAGAACCCTGTCTATGTTGGGGGTTTCGAACAACTTGTTATTGGAATACTATCATAAGCTTGGTGATGTAATACCAGTTGTAAGAGTGTACTAGTGTAATACTACAAAAATTACCATATATGAACTGGTTGGTGGTTTGGAACATGAATTTTATTTTCCATACGGGAATCATAATTCCAACGGACTTTCATATTTTTCAGAGGGGTAGGTCAACCACCAACCAGTGAACTATCATAGAATTGGATGATGGGAAAATTTACACCGGAAAAGCCTATATTTGATGGTAAAAACCATGGGTTTCCTGTAGATTTTCCCTTAAACCAATCCAATGAAACTACTATTGGTGATTTTAACTAACCAGTTCTTGAAGGGACCACATCTTCGCGACGACTCGACGCTGGTTCCAGGTGGATAGTAGCGGCGCTGCTGCATGCATTGAAGACATTGTGAAGGTGGACTGGCCAGGTGGTTTCCAATAGAAAAGCCATGGCCATGGCGGTTTCAACATCCTGACACTGAGATTTACCCTCTGGTTATGTCAAAATAGCTATTGAAAATGACCATTTATAGTGGATTTTCCCATTAGAAATGGTGATTTTCCATAGTTATGTGGCTGTTTACCAGAGGGTAAAATTCACAGCGTTTTGCAATCTCCTGAGTTTCCGATTAATAATCAATCATACAAGGAGCATGATTAGCCCATCGACAATGCCGAAAATATTGACGCTGTTTTTGACGCTGTTTTGTTTGCACGGTGTACCCCCGGTGTTTTACATTTAAAAAGCTGGTAGTTACAGATCTTAATCCGCTGAAATATGGCATTTCATAGGTTTTAATATGTTTTAATCCATCCCAATTTAGCAATATCCACAGTATTGCTATATCAGTTCCCTCACCACAATACAACATGATGTCTCCCCAATTTTTGTCCGAGGCACAACGACAGAAAAATAAGTAGCACCGGAAACCACAGCAAAATACCTTAAAATGTGCATTATATGGAACGCTTATAAATATCATAATTCCGCAAGCAAAATCGAGAAATTTCCCATCGCTAGCGTCAAAGGATTTCTAGCCATCCTGATGTCTACATTGTGTAAACACCTGATTGATTACGGTATATTGAGCCTGACAGATATAATCCAAGAATCTAAAGAGAAGCTGGAAAACCACCCTGAATCATTGCTTAGATCCCTCATGAATTTTCTTGTTCAACAATAATAAGTCGCATGTTTTTAGTGCTGAAATCAGCATTTTTCATTTTTGCTGGTTCACCATGGCACATCATGCAGCATTTCAGCTGTTTTTCCACTACGCCGCTTGCGGCAGGTGGAAGGTCTTGACATGATCTTCATCGACGCCTCAAACGGCCTCGCAGCAAACGAAGTCGAGGCCATCCAGAAAGCGGTCAAGGGCAAGAAGCAGCTGGGCTGCAGCACCATGGTTGGGATATTCTTTGGAGATAGGTTATGTAATGGTGGTAGATTATGATGTAAATTTCTATTATAATTACACCATGGTTGGGATATTCTTTGGAGATAGGTTATGTAATGGTGGTAGATTATGATGTAAATTTCTATTATAATTAATTGATTACATACACTTACAATATTACATAGTATTTCATACATATACTTCTGTTATGATATATTGTAACCTGGATGACCATTCGTAGAAAAAAGTACCCCAGGATTTCGTACTAGATTTCATCACGACTCTTCCATGGCTAGCATCAAATCCACGCCTGTAGTGTTCACACCGTCATTGGCTGTTCGAATCGTATGACTTTTTTTTTCTACATGTGGATGACTAGGAATATAATGGTATTCCTACATTTAATATTACCACCATTATTAATTCATGGTATTTCTACAATAATACTCATATAATTAAATGGCTGTTCTTTCGCCCTTCATTTCCGAAAGCTTATGACAAACGAAGAGATCTGAGAATGGTGGATGTTGCTGCGGTCAGTGATCCACATTTTTTCAAAGCACAGGAACACGCCCGCAATTCATGGGTAATTGACAGGTACCCTCTGGTAATTTGTTGCAGTTTGCTATTGAAAATGGTGATTTATCGTGGATATACCCATTAATAGCATGGTGGATCTTTCCAGTTCGTTATGTGGCTGTTTACCAGGTCGGGTAAGATAGGGTAAGTGGGTGCTCTAACATGCTCTGCTGGTGAACATGGGCGGTGCGGCGAGAGGGTCCGATAAATTCCAATTCCTCAAGTGAGTTAGCCCGGTGCGGGCTAGATTAGCTAAGTTGGTGCACATGACTCCAAAAAGCAGGCTTTATTGGCAATTATAGCTATACTCAATTGAGGGTATACACTATAATTTACACTATAATTTATAATTGATGTGTCCCACCGTGTAATAACAGCACCATTATGACATGCTTAACAGAGTCATCTCGGCAAGTTGCATGGCATTCCATAGTTGCGTCTCGAACTCCATATTTTTCCCATCATAGATTGATTTCATTTGATTTCACCAATTTTTGAGTCCATGTTGCTTGCTTAATTTGGTGTACTGCGGCCATTTGCACCGTGAACGAACTGCTTGTTGTCATACCACATTTTCCCATGATTTGCTACACTCTCGTTACACCGCAATCCACATCTTGGAAAATAGACTTGAACATTTCTGGGATAAAATCAGATGAAATCAGATAAAATCCCCATTTCTTGGTTTCAGATGGTTTCAGATGGTATCAAAACAGCTGCCCCGAGGCTGCTGGGTGGACTGCTTCCCGGTCGCAAGGCAGAGGAACTCTTCCGAGGAGGCACCGGTTTGGATGTGCCGTTTATTTTTCGGAAAAACGGACCAGGGATAGTGGTAGATTAAGCAACAAAAATGGTGGGTTGAAGTATGTTATATAATTTTCTATACTAGGTTTGACAATGATTGAACTATTGTCAAACCCTATATGTTTGAGCAACTATCAACAAACATGTAGTAATCAATATGTTATATATCGATACATTGAATCATCAAAAATATGGGTATTTTCCGACTGGATGGGTAGGGATATAGCCTTTCAAACATGGTGCAACTTGATCCAAGATAATATGAAATTAACTATATGACTGTGGGCAAAGTTGCTAAGTACAAGTGGGGATGTCTTAGCTGAACCAACAAAATAAATAAATAAATAAATAAATAAATATATATTTCCAGGGTATGCAAGGCCATGATAAGCACCTTTTGTCGCTATTGACTCATACCCACTGGCAAAACCGAGAATCCTCAGAAAAATAGATGGATAGTTCATCTCCAGGATGGTTGGTATCAGCACATTAGAACACAGAGATCTATGGGATCCTATGGGAGGGAGGGCAATGATATGTCCGGTCGGTCAACTCAAAACGCTCCGGCGCTTCCCATTGTGACGACCGAATTCATGAATTTTCACCAGTGTTTATCGATTGTTTTGTTTATCTGGTAATCAAACATGGCAATTCTATGCTATGTTTGATTACCGGAGGGTATCTATATATGAGTGTTTTTTTTTTTTGGAATCCCCTTTCGTCATTGCTTCGCCGGGTAGGCTATCAGTTGGTCTGTGCCGCTTCTGATCACGGGCTGCTAGCAGAAGGCGCCGGAATTGGCCAGTTTGCCAGTTCGGAAAGTTTGATCATGAAATGTGTTCAAGACTTCTCAATTTTTGATGAAACAAAGTCTTATCCCTGCTATACAGGTGTTGTTTTTTGCCGGGTATCTTCAGGTTTAGCCATGTAGGTATCCACGGTATCCACATTTTGCCGTCGACTTTTTGTCCTCCAACTCCGATCTGTGATCGCAGGTGCCAAAGCATGCATCGCTGAACGCCCCAAGTGAAGCTGGTGATTTTGCGGTGAGATCGATAGCCAGACGTATGGGCTGGGCGCCCCGGCTGAATGCTTAAATAAGTGGCTTGTGGTCATGGTAGAAATGGAGAAAAAGATAGATCAAGATAGATAAAACATAGTAAATATGAACTTTCGGATACTAACTCCAAGGATCTTGCTGGGGGAGCACCAATGCGCGCAAAACCCCACAGGACCATTTGCTTGAACAGAACAAGCTGAAGGGAGCTGTCCAGGGAACCTGTGAAAATCGCAGTGTCCATGGCAGCGCATGTGGATTGAAGGGTGTCCCAAGAAAGATGGTGTTGTGATAGTTCCAAACATATACTTTCAACATCTTTCAACATCTTTCAACCATAGGGACGATGATCACCAATGACTCATATTTTTGGGATAGCTTGAAACTGCCAATCAGATTCAGAGCGTCGTTTTGATTGTTTCGACATAACTTCTTCAATCCGCCTCGAATGATTCTTCGCCCGTCACTTGGGAGGCTGAATATCACCAAGGGCAAAAAGTCAATAAGTCATTGCGCACACACCCGTAATGTAAAAACCATAAATATATGGATCGGTTTATCATTATATTCGCAATATTAAATGTGGATCAGTTTTATATTATAACTTATAACCATAATATCCACCATACTCTAAGATGTAGTATTAATTACAGTATATCTATGTTTTTTTATCCACTGGTGGCTAAGTGCTGCTGTTACCATTTCCAGCTGCCTATCCCTCGCTGGTGTTGGCTCATCTAGGATTACTGCGCAAGCCGGGTAGGTTTCACAAGAAGGACAGCATGAAACTGACAAGTCACCAAATGGCCACCTTGCATGATTTTGCTTTAATGTTTCAAGACCATTTGGATTTTCAGATTTCAGGTGCGCTTGCTTTCGCGATGCCACTATTGTCATCGAGAAAGTGATAGAATCTGATAGCCAAGTTTTGGGGATAGTACCACACGGACCCGCCCCCGTTCTCAGAAGATTTTGATGAATTGCCCAATCAAAGTTTTCTGGGGATGAAGTACTTCAGCCAGATCAATGACCATAAACATACCAAAACACTACGAATCCCCATTGTGGGTCCAACCCCCAACCCCCCCCGCGGCCCCCAAGCTTAACCACCTCAGCTTCGCACGTGGCGTTGGACGTTGCGGTCCCATGTGGGCGCCCCACAGCCACGTCGCGGTCCCCGTTGGGGTCCCCGCTGGGGTCCCGTTATGCACCAGCTGTCCGAGAACTCCTGCAGGACGTGCGACCTGGAAAATCAGCATTAAAAGAATTTAGGTAAATCATCATGGTAGAAAAAACATGAAAAAAACAAGTTCATCATCTATTTCTATGGGTCATTTTCCATACGGATGGTTGCGAAATCCACCGGTTGAGGGATGTGATTTATCCATCCCATGACTTTTTTTAACAGGGGTTCATGTTTCAACCATCCAAGGTGACATCCACAGTATGTTAAGTAACCAGAGGGTAGTTTGGAAAGATGGTGAAGGGTGGCTGCACCATTGGTGAAACATTGGTTGCTGTACTGTGATTGAATTCGGAAAGATGTTCTGAAGTCATGGGGGTCCCCAGTCGTCACCATGGTTGTTTCAATACAAAGTCATGGTCTAATTTGGATGATTTTCAGGTACCCCCAATTCTAGGAAACCTCCATTTAACCACTAAAGGTATGTATAAGGATGGTGATTCGAAGAAGAAACATGATGATTTCACAATTGAACCACCTTTGCCACCTGTGAGGTCGGTGGTGATTTCAGCGGGTACACTGGCGGAGGGTAGGATGATGGGCCATTGGGGTTCCATTTGAAGATATTTTTACCATTTGATGGAGGATATGGAGGAATATGATCATATCACCATGGTGCATATTATTACCATCGTGAGCATTATTTTCCCATGATTCCCATATTAGAAATGGCCTTATATATGATAGGTACCTCCAATTTAGGATCCTGAAATTACGATATTATAATATCTCAACAAATTATTATAACCATTATGATATTACCATTATGATATTCCCACTATTACCATATTATAATATCTCAACGTATCTCAACTTAAAAACAGTTGGATGATCCTGGTACATCCAGTTGGTGACCGATCGCAGGAAGCAGCCAGCGAGCACGGGAAGGAAGACTTCGAAGATCGGACGCTTTTCGTCGGCGGGTGGGATGAGCTTCTCCAAAGCTAAGACTACGGAGAGTTAGTAGCGGTACTAAATGGCATCAGTCACATTTCTTAATACATATCAGTAAGCATTAACCATCTGTTTTTTGTATCAGTAGGTGTACATGAATGTTATATGTGTAACACTATGATACACCATGTAACATATCAGAAATTCAGCTTTGAGATCAGCACCCCAAGGTCGGCAGGGTCTCCTCTCCACCAAATTGACATAGATATGGAGAAGCCACCAGAAATTGGGAGATAGTGTAAGCTTCCTACACAACAAAAACCATGCCGTTTTCCATATTTGAGCTTTGTTGTTTTACCGCATGGTGAAGACACCATCATCAGTTGATCGCATCCCTAAGGAGTCCAGAGCTGCTGCGGCCGCGTTGCTGTCCGCGAGCGCTACAGTTCTGAGAAGAGATCGGAGGCCGACTTTGGACCGATGGGGGTCACTGGAAACATGGAAGATGGTTTCAGCACTAGAAATGCCCTCTGGTAAACTAACAGTTTGCTATTGACAATTGCCATTTATAGTGGATTTTCCCATTAAAAATGGTGGATCTTTCCATAGTTCTGTTAGTTTACCAGAGGGTAATGGATTCATTCAACTTTTGAAGCAAAAAACAATATGGGAATTGGGGCACTCACTGGAAGTGGTTTTTTTCAACCACACAAAATCTCCTCATATTGGCCGAACATTGAGCCAGGGGATTCCGAAGCATCGAACTGGGCAAATTTCATCACGACCGAAGCCTGTTCGACCGAAACCCTGAGAATCAACAAAGTGGCCACAACAAACATAACTATTAAAAATGGCCATTCAACATAATCCCTCAATTTTCAAATCAACTATAAATGGCCATTTTCAATAGTTATGTTAGTTAATAAGGGAAATCATCCCCTTTTATGGCCCAACTTAATTCAGGTTTGTGAATTATTATTTCATTTGCCCAGGAATCTAAGAGAGAGTTGCGTTTCCAAGATTTTAGAAGAATGATGTCCGACTGCTTTTGGTATGGCAGATCCACTGGGATTGGCTCGACTGTTGTTGTTATGATATATAATATTGTTCTTATTAATCCCCCGAACTTAGATTACTTAATAACAATAATTACACCAGTAATCACATAGAATCACTGTCATTATTGTTATTATAGTAAAATCTAGAGACTACCAGCGATCTATCCCTTATCATCGCTATCGTTCCATCACTCCTTGCAAAAGGCTGAAGTCTTCCCGCCTACGATGTCGGGCCAGTAGTGGCTTGCATTTGTGGGATACCGAATCAGCGAACCAACCAAAATCAGTGAAAATCATCTGCAAATGGATGTACTTGGGGTAATGTCCACCAAGAAAAATAAGGTGTCACCTACAAGACCTGTGAATTGCAGGGATTCATGTGTTCCAGTAGAACACTATGAGATATGCAGATGGGGTCATGATTGTACCCATAGTTGGGAGGTACCACTTGATACCAAACATGCTCAACCAATTATCGGTTGTTAGTTGGGAGGTTATACAAACAGGAGTTTATTGGGGATAGTCCCATTTCATGGAGATGCCTATGAACCAAGAAGTATACGTGGAATAGGGGTACCCTCTGGTAATTTGTTACAGTTTGCTATTGAAAATTGTGATTTATAGTGGATTTACCCATTAAAAATGGTGGATCTTTCCATGGTATTTTGTATGTTTACCAGGTCGGGTAATTTGCATGGCTCAGCGGCAGAATTCAGATAGAGTAGACATTCCTTTACGTGTGATGTTTGAAATGGGACAGCCATGACCACTCCGAAGTGCGAAGTTGACAAGTTTTCCAACTTTTCCTTTGAAAGTTTGGCTTCATACTGCCTAAAACGGTGGTTTCCTAAAATGGTGGTACCCCTAAATCATCCATTTAAATAGGGATTTTCCATTACAAACCATCTATTTTGCGGTGCCCTCATTTTCAGGAACCCCCCCTTTCCTTGGGTTCTGTGACTTGACTCATCCACAAATTTCATCACATTTCCGGCGTGTTGTTCCTGGTTTTTCTACATGTTTTCTGGTCACACAGCCATGTCCCAGAAAGGTCAAATCCATGTCATGTCCCAGACGTCTTCTCAATCCCTATCATTTCATTTGGTAATTCTTCTCATGAAATGGGTATGGATCAATACCTATACATACAATTTTTAGTGGGATGAACATCCATTTACCAGCTATTTTGATGTTCACCATGGGTATAGGGTTTTGACCCATCCCCAAATTTCCCATTGCTGTTGAGTACAACCATCCCATCCCATGAAAGCCGAGATTTCACCCTCCTATCTTGACATATTCCATTCTATCGCATAAGATATATCCCATTGTATTCCCACAAAATCCTTGGTTTTATCGCATTATAACCCTGAAATATAGCTGCATAACTTTGCTGGTGAATGTCAACCCCAGATTAATAACCCCAGATTGCATTTGAGTAGCAAATCATCACTTTTTGGGGTTACCCTCCCTAAGGAATCAACCAGGGTTTCCAATCAAACCCAGATATTTATTTATCAATCTTTATCAAATAGATTTATTACTCTGGGGTTGACATCATATAAACATATATATATGCATAATTATATATACGCACATAAATATAAATATATATATATATATGTGCGTATATTGTATGTATTAAATACCTATACAGTATATATATATATATAAAGCTATATATATATAGCTTTATATATATATAATGTATATATATAGTGTATATATATATATATATATGTAAACATACATGATAAATCTCATGAAATCTCTATGACTGAGGTTTGGGTGCCGTGTACAATGCGGCGGAGGTGGAGGAGTTCTTTGGGCAGCGACCCTTTCTGGTGCTTGGAAGGCGTGGGCCGCATAGGGATTCAGGGACACAACCCCGCTCTATGTTTGCGGTTCCAGGTAAAGGCACCCAAAAAAAAACAGGAAGGTGGTAAAATCATGTAAAATCCGATCCTAGAATCATGGAATAATGGTAAATGTTTTGCTGTTTTGCAGCTATGTTTGTTGGATATGCCCGGTTAGGTCATCATCTCACGGGTATGAAGATCCAAGTAGTGGTGGTGCTGGCAGTCATCAGCAGGTTAGGTGAAAGGCATGAGTGGCGTAGAATCAGATCTCCAAATTTTCAGAAAGGAACATAGAAATTTGGCTATTTGGAATCTGAATATTGAAAATTACTATGCCAAAAATTTTGTCTATGAGTCCATTATAGAAAATTACTCATAGATAAAACTCGGGGAATTGGAATTTGGCTATTTGGCTATGGGTCAAAACCATTCAAAAGCTATAATGAAGGTAAAACAATCATAAACCATCCCCCAGTCATCACAATTTTTATAGGTGGTATGTTCACCATTCCCAGTCATGGATGGTTTATGACTGTTTTACCACATTCAAACAACATTTCTTGGGATGAACAGCCACTACTAGTGGTCTTGAAGTTTTGAGGTCTGGAAATCTCATGGCACTCATTCCGAGGCTTTTGAAGGTGCTAACTGGTGTGTCCAAGTGTGCTTTCTTGGCCTTCAGCAAGGCAGGGATTCCAGCTGAAGTAGGAACATTTTCGAAAACCCTGCCTGAATCTCTACTGGATCTTTAGGAGTCTGTTCTTTTGGTCGATCTTTGGGAATTTGTAAAGCTGTGAGAATTGTGGCGATCATGTTGACGATTGTGACATGATCATTTATGTGGTATGCAGACGCGCAACGTCTGCAGACTACCCAAGTGGGTCTTGGTCAAGTCATTGCACGCTCCAGAACAGTTTTCCTGTGCTTTGATTTTTGACCCATTCCCCAATGTTGGGGCAAGAACATGTTTGGGCAAAGTCCAGCCCCTGCAGCGCCAGGATGCTGAAAGTGAACGGCGCCTGGCGTGCCGTGTGCGAGAACTTTTTACGGAGCTGGGGCCGACCTACATCAAGTTAGGCTGCGGGTGGAATGGGTGAAGGTCACTTCACCTGTAGAATTGCAGTTTGTTCGACTCATTCGGCAAGTTGCTCCCACAACTGCACTGTTTGGTGATGTTCACAGGTGTGAAGGCCCCAAAATGAACACAACAGATCACAACAGTTACATAATTCACGTAATGGATGTGTTTGAAAATCGGGCCCCTGAGGTCTTGAGGTCTTTATGTTGGGAGAATGGTGATTCCTGGGATTCCGGCGATGATGATCTCCCTAGCCTCAGCGGTCTCGTCAGGGCAAGCCCTAAGTGTCCGACCCGATGTGCTGCCAGAAGCCTTTCTTCATGAGTTCCGAGAATTTCAGGACTGGCCCCGGCTGCGAAGTCTTGCTGCAATAGGACCTATGCATTCATCTTGGATGTGCTCAGACACATATCTTTTGGGATATAGGAAAGACAGCGTTGTGTTTTTTTTTTGGGCCTCATAAACACATCATGACATGTCTGTGTTGTTGTTGTTGTTGGTTGTTGTTGGTTGTTGTTGGTTGTTGGTTGTTGGTTGTTGGTTGTTGGTTGTTGGTTGTTGGTTGTTGGTTGTTGGTTGTTGTTGTTGTTGTTGGTTGTTGGTTGTTGTTGTTGTTGTTGTTGGTATCGGACGTCAACCTGCTCCTCACAGATGTGAAGTAGTTAAGACGCCTTTGTTGCCCAGCAGCGGAGCGGCCACTCCACTTCTGTGTATACTTTTTGTAATCTCTTTCGCGAGATCAAATCGCACAGCTTGAAGCTTCAAGCCTTTAGGTCTGTCTCGATGCCAAGGGAATGTCTATCTCTAGGTGAAAACGAGACCTTTGAAGCAGGACAGTGTGACGCCCTTTGACAACGAAGAAGCAGTGAAACTAGCTGCTTGGACGAAGATGTGGTGCAATTTGTGTTTTTCAACAAAGCCTCTGATTTTTGATCACTCGCAGTACTAATCTCTGATTTTGTGTACCACATTGGGTACCCACATTTTTTTCAGCCGAAAAATCTCCAGGAACTGTGCCTCATGGCCGCCTTGGGCACCTGGGATAATCGCGCCCGAAAAACATGCCCCATGGGATTCTCCGTTGATGGCTACTCCCCCCGAGGAAGCAGCTAAGTGATGCTAAGTGATGCGTGAAAATCCCATGAAAACCCCATAAAAACCATCCGAAAATCTGTCGGAAATCAGGTGCTCCGTGAGTTGAACTGTTCACAGCTCTCCGAGCTCTTCAGCGACTTCAGCGCACAGCCCGTGGCGGCGGCGTCACTGGGACAGGTGGAACGGGTGGAACGGGTGCCCACGGGTCGCCGCGACCGGTGGGACCGTTGAAAGGAACCAAGATTCATAGCAAAGTCAGGGAAAACCCCCGGAAAACCGGAAAATGACTATTTTTTGATATTTTTTGTTGTTTGTTGTTGATTTTTGTTGTGTTTCTTCACTGATATTGATGTGTTTTTGGATGTTGGAAGGTAATTGGAAGGTAAGACTTGTAACTAGACAGTTTGTAGGATGACCATTGCTTTTAACCATGCTCTTGTTTTAGATGTTTTAGCCCAAGTTTTTTGCTGATATGCTATATCATTATCGTCTTTTCCTCTAAAGAAATACTGAAACAACTTCAGTGTCACTTGTGATCTCTCACTTTTGCTGCGTTTGCAGGTCGACTCCCAACTTTGGTGGTTAGTCCCCATTGTGGCTGGCGTCTGAAAAAAATCGTTGTGAAGTCACGAGGACGCCACCCGAGATAAGAGTTTTTTGCAGTAAGGCAATCATCGCCACATGACTTTATTTCGCTGAATTATCATGATTCAGCCAGAGTTTTTGAACTGTTTTACCTATGAAAAATGATAAAGATGTTTATTTTAATCATTGTCCATAACTTTATCCAATTACCAGAGGGTATCATTCATATTCATTCACAATCCAACCACTGGAATTCTTTCATTAATGATTATGGTTTCAGAAATCACTTTTTCCATGATTGGACTACATTGGATTGGTTGGAGAAATAAATTATTGGTTGCAACATTAATTACCCTCTGGTAATTTAACATAGTGATGGAACATGGTCCATAGAAATAGATGGTTTACCTATTAAAAATGGTGGATTTTCTATAGCTGCGTGAAATAGCCAGAGGCTAATTACCCTCTGGTAAACATGGTAAACGTTTACATAACAATGGAAAGATCCACCATTTTCATGGGAAAAATTCACGAACTAAATGGTGGATCTTTCCATAGAAATCCGGCCTGGACAGGTCTACAAGGCTCGGCTGAAGAACGGCCAGAGTGTGGCAGTGAAGGCACGGCCCATGGCGTTTTCCATGGCATTTTTTTTGGATCAACAAAATGGCAATGACATGTAATTACTGGTACTGGATATATCTGGATATCACTGGTAGATTGTTGTTGTTACTGGTAGCTTGCGGTTTTGAATGTTGTTTACCTTGTTTATGGCTACAATAGAGGGGGCGCTTTTAAAAATTCGGGAATCTGAAAGCCGGAAAGCCATCAAGTTATATATCAAAATGGGATTCATGATGGTTGATGAAGAAAAATATACCCTCTGGTAATTTGTTACAGTTTGCTATTGAAAATGGCCCAGTCGAAATAGTTGATCTACCTATTATAAATGGTGGATCTTTCCATAGCTATGTTAGTTTACCAGAGGGCAGCAATCAATTTGAAGCTGTTCATCCTGGTAGTAATTTGATTGATTTGTTCAGTCTTTTCGGGATCATACATGCGTGAAATTGTTCGTAAAGGTTCATTGCTGGTTGACTATTTGCTTTGGTTGATATTTCTGACGAAGGAATGTGTATCATGTCCTGCCCTCCTCCCCCCAAAAAATGACGGATATCATAGGGTGTGTGGAGAGCGATGGGTATGGTGGTGGCGAGGATGAAGATCAGATTTCCATGACGATGATCATTATGTTTACTACCATTTGTATTGTTATTAGTTGTAATGTTTATATTTATTTGATGTCATTGTGTTTTACTATTATTTTTTCAAATCATTGATCACCATTATCACTCATCTTACCATTATTATTATGCCATATTGTGCTGTTTACGTGTAATTATACTATTCATAGAATTGGATGATGGGAAAATTTACAGGAAAGCCCCATATTTCATGGTAAAAACAATGGTTTCCTGTAGATTTTCCCTTAAACCAACCCAATGAACTATTACTAGTTTGTGAAGTGATCCTGCTGCTGCTGCAGGTGCAGCGGCCCAATCTCGCAGAGAATGTCGCCTTAGACCTGGTTCTTGCCAGGTCAGCTGAAGGGAGCGAATGGGACAACGCCGCAACACTGTGGGATGTGGATCTATCATCCAGCGCTGCACTTATTTTGGTGGTTTTCCCAAGATTTTCAGGCTGAGTTTCTATGATCAAGCGGGAGTGGGGTCACATGATAGCACTGAATTGAACTTTCCAAGGGCCGCTTGCCCATGGCGAAACCGAAGACACAAGCCGCTTCTGTGGTAAGCCCTACTTTGAAGGGACTCACTTGGGGGCAGCTGGCTACATGTATCCAGACGCCTTAGTCAAGAATCATGAGTAATACAGTAATAAAGAGATATCATTGCTTACAAATGGCTTTGTCTTATCACCATGTTCCCCATGAAAAAAATGCTATTTGTTTTTGCATCCACTATTTTCAGACGAACCCAAATGGCTATGGTAAATTCTTCCATCAACTCTGGAACTATGTCGACTCCAGGATCGAGCTGTTGATTTACTGGCAGGAAATGCAACCCGAAATACCAGTTATAAGTCAGCAAATCATCCTATTGATGGAATGACTAACCTATTTATACCATCTTATAACCATATGGGTATGGATCAATACCTATTAATACCATTTTTAGTGGGATGAACATCCATTTACCAGCTATTTTGATGTTCACCAGGGGTACAAGGTTTTGACACACTGCCATATAAAATGGATACGGTACATCTTATTACAACCTTTCTTTCTTTTTACCGTAACCATCCACTTGCCACGACTTGACACCAGGCAAGTGGCCAAGTCTTTGGTTTACTTCGAGGAGTTCCTTCCAGGCGGATGGATATTGACGGATCACGGCCCTCCAAGATACCCCCAACAAAAACCGGTGACCCTCTGGTAAACATACAGAAAACTATGGAAAGATCCACCATTTTCTAGCTGGGAATTCATCCACTATTTCGACTGGGCCATTTTCAAGTTCGCAAACTGTAACAAATTACCAGGCCGGGTAAAGTCTGTTGAACTATTCAAATTGTCTTGTAAAACAGCTATGAAGGATATGAATTATCTTTTGAATACATGTTGTCGGGTCTAAGGAGATGCAACAAACTAAGGTTTAGTTTAGTTCTTTGCCTGGAATCTAAGGCCCTAAGACCAACAAACATCGGGATCTACATTCAACAGACATGTGATATAACCCCTAAGTTGAATGATATTAGATGAAGATTGCAACATCATTTGCCATATCCTATCTCCAGGCGTTCAAGGCAACGACTTGGTGGGTTTCGTGGATGCCTTTGGCCAACGACTTTTTGAAGAGTTGGACTACGTCCCTTGTCGCTGTCCGGAATTGTGGAATTCACCCATGACACAGTCATGACGCATGAAGATTTAGTGACCAGAAAATGGGGAAATAGCCTGAACTAATCCATAAAAGTCGTTAAAACGGCTAAGGGTGCAGTCAGCGTTTCGCCTGAAAGAAAAGAACATATGTGATATATCCTGCAGTGTCCTTTTTTTGCAGGGTAAGGTTCGTCATCCCGACTGGAACACCGGGGGAGGCAAGCTGTGGTCACCTCGCGTGCTAAGGAGATGGAAGTGAAGCGGCTTGGCCGAACATTTGGGAAGCATTGGGAGGTGGATTTCTGTGATAAAACGTCGTGTTCATCAAATATTCTCAGCGAGACAATTTACACAAAAATCGATAGTATACATTGGTATAATTAGATTATACACCATACATAATGTACAGTTATTATCAACAGTACTGTAGGATACTATCATATACTATAATATATATCCATTTTAAACATTATACATATATATATATATATACATTGTAGGATGTATGATACAATTCTGGTGTTGATCATCTTTTTTTTCAGTGGGATCCAACGTATCTCAAGCCACCAGGATCAGGGGTGCATGTTGGAATTCTTTGCCAGCCATGATGATCAAAACATTGGAAAATTGGTGGAAAATTGTGACATATTGCGGCTCACCATACACTGAATTTGCATGATTTTTTGCGATTTTGCAGGCGAGTAAAGGCAGCTGATTCCACAGCCCCATTGCACACAAGAGTTTTACCCTGAAACGAAACCATCACGGAAGTGGAATATGATCTTGGAAGATGATTTTGCTAGTAGAAGCAAGGAATTTCCACTTCCATTGTTGTTTCAACAACTTGAGTATAGTATAGTATCTTGGCAACCCTCTCCGCCGGAAGGAATGCACAGCGCTTTCGGGAGCTCTACGGAGACCAAGAGAAGTTGAAGGCCCGATTTGGCACAAGATGTGTATCTAAGTAAATTTCAGCTTTGGTTGGGAAGGAACCTAGAATTCAACTCTTATTCTTGTCCTTCTACACTTATTCACATTTGATGGTTTCGTGAAATAGGGGATCCCCAAGTCACCATGGGTTTCAATACTAAGTCATGGCCGTTTATGACTTGCATGATTTGGGGATACCTCCAGTTTAGGAACCCTCCATATATCATTATATAGCATATATCATCAACATATATCATTGGCAATATAACATTCACATATTAATCAGTAACATATATGATTTTTACTATCAACATTCATTATCATCACTAATTATCATTATTTTTCAATCCCAATATACGATAATTAATGATGATAATTATAGCCATATAGCAATCAATCCCAATCTTCTTCACTCCGCTCCTCGCGCTTTAGGTGCCGACGATGTATCCCAGTCTGGCCACGGGGAAAGTCATTGCGCCTCTGTGGAGACGATGGAATTCTGCGAAATCTGGGATGTAAAGTTAGCATAGCATCCCAATGGTGGATCTCTTCCACAGGGAGGAACAACAAAAAATTGGACCATACCCTCTGGTTATGTCTAACGTAGCTATTGAAAATGACCACTAATAGTGGATTTTCCCATTAAACATGGTGATTTTCAATAGCTATGTTAAATTACCAGAGGGTAGATTCTGTTCATACCAAAATCGTCATACTCAGATCAGTGCTGATTAGAAGGTAGTCAAAGCAACTGTGCCATATAGTCATAGCAACTGTGCCAATATCATATAACCCATACAAAAACAGAGTAGTCATGTAGTCATCAGCATGACTGACATCTCAGTGGTTGGAGATGAGCAGGTTGATCCCATGATATCCCATGAAAATTTGGAGCCAACAGGGATGTAATCATCAGACATCAGAAATATCGTGGATAATCCCTGGGATTCCTGGGATATCATGATATATCATGGAGATATCCAGTGAAATATGTACCCGGCCTGGTAAACTAACAAAAAGCTATTGGAAATTGCCATAGAAAAATGATGATTTTCCCATGAAAATAGCATGATGGATCTTTCCATAGCTACGTAAACGTTTACCAGAGGGTAATCATCAAAAATCGGAATTGTACGCAAGGGTAAATAAGGACGTGAGTAAATCATAGTAAATCCAACTGGGTTTCCGGTATTTTCCTTTAAATTGTTTAAACTTACTTTCTGAGCCTGAAAATGAAACCAGCAAAGGAATGTGTGAATGTGACCCTAAAAGAGATGGAGCGTAATCCAAGCAAACAAAACGATTTGAACTACATAAATGTCCGCACGTATTTGGATATGGGTCAATACCTATAGATACATTTTTAGTGGGATGAACATCCATTTACCAGCTATTTTGGGGTTCACTAGGTACCATGGTTTTGACCCATCCCCATTTGACAAAAGATCATGTACTGTAGCCTTTTTCGATTCGGAATATGACCCACAAGCATTGTCTGGTTGGTGGTTTGGAACATGTTTTACCCTCTGGTAAACATACAGAAAGCTATGGAAAATCACCATTTTCAATGAGAAAATCCACTATAAATAGTCATTTTCAATAGCTATGTTAAATTACCAGAGGGTATTTTCCACAATAAATGGGATGTCATCCTTCCCATTGACTCATATTTTTCAAGATGGTTAAAACATGTTAAAACCACCAACCAGTATCTTATTAAGCATATTAAAGAACCGAAATGGCTGAAACTACCTGAATCCGTTGCGAAGGGCCTCAGCTGAAAGAAATGTTTCACACCCAGCAATAGATCTTCAAGCACCCCCCAAGATGGGAATGTAACATGATATATGATATAACTATGTTAATATAACTCCATCAACAAACATTGAGACCTGCGTGGATTTGCATTTGTATGGGATTGTATGGGTACCCTCTGGTAAACTAACATAACTATGGAAAATCACCATTTTTAATGGGAAAATCCACTATAAATCACCATTTTCAATAGCTATTTTGACATAACCAGAGGGTATATGCCGTACAGACACCTGCGTGCAGCAACAGTGGGACATTCCTAAGAAAAGTGCTGTCATTATCACCGGAACAAAACTGGCAACATCATCCTTCCGGAACAACCAGCAATTTTTCGTCGAAGATCCCATGGATCAAAAAAAACCAACGTTGATTTTGGAACACCGCACTCCATGATTTCCACTTTTCGATTTTTTTTTCAGATTTTTTTCAGATTTTTGTCCCACTGTGATTTCATGATATTTCATGGCTTTTTTTGACGTGTCCATTCACCCCAGCTACCAACCACCATAGGATGCTGTCAGGTCATGGAGTGGATTGATGGCGTCAAGTTGACTGACACCAATGCCATTCGCGGCCTAGGCAAAGTGGCGTAACGGTTGAGCGGCTTGCGTCTGGTTGGGATATCCCAAAAAATGGCCCCAGTTATAGTAACCCCTCCAAATCATAGAAATATGTCCAGAATGGTAGTTCGATGATGTTTTCTTCATAAAATTCAGGTCTCCAACTTTTCGATCTTGTTTCACTGGGGTTTAAGGGAAAATTGAAACCGGAAAGCCCCATAAAAAAATGGTAAAACAGGGATGCTAGGACTAGACAGGTTAAAGGTCAGGTGGGATGTTGCTTCGTTTTTTCTTCACGTTATAGTTTGAAATGTTTGACTGTTTCTTTTTGATTATCTTGCTAAATGTGTTGTTGAGGTTGTTGTGATAATGTTTGGATTGAATGAAGGGGATAATTGTTGAGGTGGTCAGAGTTTCTATGTGTAGGTTCAGGTTCAAACTCTACCAAGCTGTTGTTCAAAGATGTCGAATGATTTGCTTCAAATTCATGTATTGGTTGAGGTTAGGCGCTGTGGTTCCTGTTTGGTTTTGCATATCAAGCATCCTTCAATACCAAAGCCAGTTTGGCACAAATTGACTGAACCGATGTATTGTCCCTTTCCTTCGTGATTTTTCCTCACCTCCCTCAACCTTGTCATTTCGTTCTGTAGCATCTCATTCTCTTCCTTCATCCTCTGCTTTACTTGTAAGACCTTGTAATCGTGCTCGGTGTTGTGATATTCAAGAAGACGCTTTAGGTAAAGATGATGGTTGTGAGTTGGCATCCTTGCCGTGTTGCTGTCGTTGTGGTAGTAGTGGTCATAACTACTATACACTTTTTTTCTTCTGTCTGGCATTTCGGGCGTTCCGCTCCTGTAGTTGGCACTTTTGTTTGAATGGACGGTTTGTCTTCTGTTGATGTCCTTGCGGACGTTTTCGTAGATGTCAGTTTTGTTGAGTTCCGTTTTCTGTTCCTTGATGTTCATTTTTATATATAATACTTTATAAAATTTTTGATGCTAAAGATTTCAATTTCTCTCTCGTCGCTTTGTTCTTTTCCTCTTTGGCTTTGTTGTAGGTGTCTCTGGCGGACATCGCACTTTGTAGTTCTTCCTTTATTTGTTTTACAAGGTCGCTTTTGAATGCTTCTGGGTCAAAAGGTGGTTTCGCCCTTGACGGTCTTACCCTTTTGGGTTTTGGGACTGCCGTTGCTGGTTGCGGTTTCTCTTGAACTGGTGTTTCAATTATTTCTTCTGGTTTCTCCTCTTCCTTCGGTGCTTCTTCCTGTATTGGTTCTGGTATTGTTTCTTCCTTTGGTTCTTCATTATCAATCTCTTTTACGACTACCTCTGTCATATATTAATATTATAGATAATTTTTTATACTTTCAAAATCTCGTGCCTCAAATACGGTTTGTTCAATCCTTCCAGTTTGAAGGTTCTGTTTCCGACGTCGTCGTATTCTATCTTGACGATTTTGTAGGATTGATTGCTCCACTTTGAGTTATACTCCTTCCTCTCGGTGTAGTTGTCTTTTTTCTTCTCAAAAACCTTGACCATATCATTCACTTTGACCTCTGGATATTTGCGAGTGTTCTTTTCCCTCCTTGTCAAATTCACCCTGACGTCCATATGGTTCTTGTCGTCGTGGGCATCCTTGGGTTTCATTTTGGTTGATGAATGGACGGTGTCGTTGTATTTATCTAACGCTTTGGACAACATCACAGTCCAACTACCACGATTAAACCTAAGTCTATCGTGTATCATATTTTTCATTGTCCTTATGAAACGCTCCACAACATTAGCGTGTGTTAGGGTGACGACGTGAGTGATGCCTTCTTTCTCAAAAAAGTCTTTTACCCCTGCTTGGAAGGCACGGTCATTATCGCTATAAACGGACATCGGAAAACCCATTTTGTTGAAACTCTCTTTCATCGCCGACAATGTGATTGGTCCAGATTTTTCTTTCATAGGGTGCTGAAGATGTCAATGACCACCAACCCGTATCTCGGCTCACCGTTCTTGATGGGAATTTTCGTCTCTGGTTCTTTGGTAAGGGGTTTCACATCCATTATGTCAATCTGATATTCAAACCTTGCGACGGGTGCGGTGTAGGAGTTTGAACCCCTGTATTTTCTAATCTGTTTGTTGGGCTGTTTCCTCATAAAGTTTTTCACATCCACCCTGTTGATGGTCTGGTCTTGTTCCTTTGCTTTCTTGAGGGTCTCATTGATTGAACCGAAACCCGTTTCCAGATTGTAATAGACATTGCTTATGATGTCATCTCTTGATAGTCTCCTTGCCATATATTATAATATTAGATTTTTAAAAATATCAACAGTAAAAAAAATACTTAAAGAAAAAATGCCTATATATAGTAAGACTAAATAAGATGACTAAATTTGACTGTGGATGTCGTATTATGACAGATGTTATAACCCTGAACGGAAGAAACCAACCTAATTGGGACTACTTGCTCAAAACCTTTGTGAATGTGTGTGGCAAGTGCTACAGGAAGCAAATAAAATTCCAATATATGGAAAACAAACTTATGGAAATGGAAAAGCAACGAATGGAAATGTTTATGGAAAATGAGGATGAAGAACACGACACATACTTTGACCTGACAGAGTTGAAGGAACATCTCAAAACCCTCCCACCCAATGAAAGACACAAAGTGAAGGATTTTGAGAGGTTAAGAAACCTCGCCAATGGACAAGACCCCAATGAAGGAATGAGTGAAATTGATATGGTTGTAAAGGAACTGGAAGAAGAGGAAAGGGAAAACAAAAACCAACCCGAACCCGAAAACTGAACGAACCCCCAAAAACTACTTAAAAAAAATGACTATATATAGTAAGAGGATGCTATTTACATATAAAAACTGCGGATGTTGTAAGAAAGAAATGACTGACATTAAGGTTTTATTGAAGAACATTTTTCCGGCTGGAATTTGTGATGAGATATGTAATTACAACCTTCACTGTTCTAAATGTAAGGACTTGAATGATAAGGAGCGCAGATACATAAATTTCAATTATCATATTGACTATTTTAATGATAAAGAACTAACAAGAGTTGAAAAACAAATATATTTCTTTAAAACAAGGATGGATAAATCACCTATCTATTTGTCTAATACTAATCGGACAAACACTCGGCAAATGAAAAGAGAAATTGATGTTTTAATGGATACATCCAAACTCAAGCAAGAATTCAAACACAACAAACTGTTCTTAATGGCGATTAAGTCTTTTGTAAAAAGGGAGTGGAAAACTACCTATCACTTCCTTAAACACTTTCACGACCTTACATATATGAAGTATTGTAAGAACAAACGGGAGTGGTGGTTTCCTCAAAATGATTGGACTTATACATTAAAAAATAGGGATTTTCAGGTAAAAGACATTTTGGAAATCTTCTTGCGTGAATACCTTGAAGAACTGTTCAAGGGTTATGAAAAATACTGTAATCTAACGGAAATACAAGAGCACCTACAAAAAGTGATAAATACTTAAAGATAAAATAACTATATATAGTAAGAGAAAATGAGTAGAGCAAAAATTGAGGTTATAGATACAGGGAATATTGGTATATATGCTGACTTTGGTAGTGAAAGTGAAGATGAACACGAATGTGATAGACAAGCAATAGAAAAAGAAGATGAAGAGGTTAGAAACTTTGTAAGATGTCATCCTATGCCTTCACCAGATGATGAGGAAGGAGACAAATTTTGGAAGAAAGTAATTAACATATTGAAAAACGACCAAGGAATAAATGCTATGATAATATATTCGTTTGTAAATTTTGACATTATGAAAAAGATGTATGAAAACCTCACTGATAAAAAGGTCATCGTTGATTGATGTGGTAAGGAACTTAACCGTGATGGAAAATGGGATGCTATGGCAATAAATCAAACTCTATTAGCATTAGCAATAGATGAACTGAATGATACAGACAAACCTATCACAAGTCAAGTCAGGATAATTGAACACTGGTGGGATGGAATAGGAAACTGGAAAGCATAAATGAACAAGACATCAAAATTACTTGAAGAAAAATTACCTATATATATATATATTAAGTGAAGAATGCCAATGACTGGAGTTAGTGAAGAGGAACTGAAAAGAGATAGAGAAAGATTAACGAATTTCATAAAAGAAAATCCTTATCCTGATTATAAATTTATAGAATATGACCTACAGTACTACTTAAGCAAGAACAATCTTTAGAGCAATACGCAGAGTATGGAGAGATAAACCACGACCTTATGAAAGAAATTTATGAAAACATATTTGATAAAGATTTAATCAAACAACACGGTGAGAGGATACACCACAGAGGAGGAAAGACAGCATTACAGCAAAACTATTATACACTATTGTCAGTGTTGGGATACTTGATTGACCAACGAGGACTTGATAGAGACACAATCATTTTAGTGTTCTACAACATCAAAACGATTGTTTCTCAATGTTGGGATGGCATAGGTAGTGGTGATGAAAAGTGGAGACAATAAACCTAACGATTAGTTCATAATATCTTAATAAAATATATTATGAAGTAATCCACCCTAAAAACCCCTTAAAGACATAACCCCTTAAAATTGTAGAGGTATAATGACTGACAAAAAGCAGTGTTCTAAATGTAAAGTCTTTCGTTAGACTACTACAAAAATGAATGTAAGCAGTGTAATAAATGTTTAGAAAACAAACGCAGATACAGGGAACAGCACAAAGAAACTTTAAAACAATATGCTCAACAATACTACGAAAGGAAAAAGGAAGAATTAAGTGATAAAAAGAAAGAAACGCCGGAATGTCCAATTTGTAAATGTGAAGTAAGAAAATATACAATGAAACGACACGAAGAAAGCATCAAGCATCAAATGAACATTAATGGACACTATCTCATACAGTAAAAACCACAACAACCTCAACATACCCTACCCTCATCCAAACCAAACATTAATCAAACAACTCCGACGAAACATTTAGCAAGATTAACAGAAAGAAACAGTCAAACATTTAGATTTACAACATTGAACAACAACATAACAGCCTCCCACCTGACCTCCAACCTGTCTTGTCCCAGTTCCCCTGTTTTACCATTTTTTCCCATGATCTTCATGGGAAAATCGATGGTTTCCGGTTAAGATCTTCCCAAACAAACCAATCCAGTGATATAGTTGGTAGATGGTTTATCCCATTATAAATATATCATAATCCCATTAGTTGCATATATTTGCATGTATTTGCATTACTATATCTATTTTTATCCCATTATAATCCCATTATAATCGCATTATTTGTATGATTCTGCCATGGAAAATGATGATTTTGCGGAGTAGCCCCATCGATGGCTTCAGGTTTGGAACCCCTGGACTACATCTCTGTGGGCATCGAGTGCGCCATGCGGCAACTGTCACTGGGAATGAATATTCTGTCCTTGGCTTACTGCTGCGTTTTACGTAGGGAATGGATGGGAATCGGGGTTGCTGGGATTATAAAACTTGGTAGTTAGCCAGTGGATCATTCCCGAAAATTCCCTACGTAAAACGCACCAGTAAGTTGGGATCCCCGAGAACACGATGCTTTCACCAAGAGAAACCATGATCAATGTCACCATCCGCACAGAGACTATCGATCACAGGGGCTGGGTGACGAGCACAAGAATGGACGAAGCACGGAAGGTAAACCCAACAATCATACTTGTAGGGATAAAAAAGGTAAATCCCGGAACTATTTTGAGATTATGGGGATTCAATCGACATTGAATAGAAATGATATAAGAAGATATAAGAAGTAAACCTAATATATAACAACATTTTTGAGTTTTGCTTTTTGATGCCCACCATGTCTTGCATGTTTTTTTTTGCAAGCGACGGATGTATGATGTTCACCTTGGTATTTTTTCAAGTGATGGCCGGCCACGAACGAAAACACGCAGTGGTTTTGGAAACCGCTGGGCCTTGGCGTATCTACAAGATATGTTGAGGTTTCTTCTTTTGCCATACAAATACTGGTTGGGTAATTACCAATGGGATGATAGATGGTATACCAATGGGATGTTTACCACCTATAAATGGGATATATACATGGGATGATCATGGTAACCACTCACTGGTTGGTGGTGACTGGAACATGACTTTTATTTTCCCCAATAGTTGGGATGATGATCCAATCTGACGAACTCCATCATTTTTCAGAGGGGTAGGTCAACCACCAACCAGCAAATACATCTCAGAATCATCACTTTTTTACCACAGTCATAGAATTGGATGATGGGAAAATTTACACCGGAAAGCCCTAGCCTATATTTGATGGTAAAAACGCATGGGTTTCCGGTGTAGATTTTCCCCAACAAACCAATCCATTGACACAGAAGTTTCCACTGTTGTCCACCGAATCATCACTGGCTACCCTCTGGTAATCAACAGTTTGCTATTGAAAATGGCCCATTGACATAGTGGATTTTCCCATTGAACATGGTGATTTTCCATAGTTTTCTGTATGTTTACCAGAGGGTATGTTCCTGAAAATTTGGAGATCTGATTCTAATTGATTCTATGCCACTCATACCTAACAAATACATCTCAGAATCATCACTTTTTTACCACAGTTTTTTCCACTGTTCACCGAATCATCACTGGGCCCCCGGGCTATCTGAATCCTCCAGGTTGGAGCATGGCTTTTTCCACGCCGATCCTCATCCTGGGAACTTCTTCGTCACCGGAAAGGTGGGAGAGATAATTTCTGTGATGAGTTTGATGTTTGAAATGGGATAGCCTATGGAATAATATGGAATAATTATATGGATTATTAATGGGATGATTAATGGGATAATTAACAGTGGGATATTGAAACCAAGAGTGCAGCAATAGTTAATTAATTAATGGAATACCCCCTGGTAAATTAACAGTTGGACCCTGAAAATCACCAATGTTTAATGGAAACTCGTCTTCCAACCCCAATGACTGCCAGGGTCTATGTTAATATACCAGAGGGTAATATGGAATCATATGGAATCATATGGAATAATATGGAATAATATACCCAGAAATGACCCAGAAATGATGATACTCAGTTGGGAATACCTTGCAAATTTCATTTGGAAAACAAGGACAATGATGAGAAAAACACGGTGATGGACCCGTAGGTTTTCCCAAGAATTTCAGGTAGTTGAGATGCTCCCTAGGAAGCCAATTAACTAGTTTCGCCAGTTGTAATTGGGATACTACAGCTAAATACCCCAGCTTTTGGATACTTGATATACCGATATACCAATATTTTTCACAGTCTAAATGGGAGTAACCCTACATTGTGGGACCGCAAAAATTCCCACGGAAGCGCTGAATCATCCATGAAGGTCCGATTAGTCAGCCACGTCTCCTGGGTTTCAAGAGTACATCCATGTACATCCATACCTCTAATGATTTGGCCAAATGTTTCAATGATCTTCCCATTGTTTTGCTCTGAATCTGGTTTTTTGCTGAACAAAATCCCATAGATCTAAACCAATCTACATTAAATCCCGACAAATCCAGTAAGTCCTGAACCTGTTTGGTCCAGCGCTTTGGCTGGGGCCTTTCTTTAACTGAACAGCCCGAAGGGCCACCAGCCCCTAACCTTTCGGCGCCGTCTCAGGGTGAGCTCTGCGTTTTGGATTTCGGGATGATGAGCGAAATGCCCAAGGAGGCACGCTTGGCAGCGGCTGGGCTGCACATTTTTTTAAAAACCAGGTTTTAAAGCTAGGCAACTTGTGGATCGGAGTTCGTTTTAGAGGCATCCAGTGCGGCTAAGTCGGCTAAGTCGGACTGTGATTCCTCTTTTGCGATGCTGTCCGAAACGTTCGAAACGCTCGAAACCCAGGGGTGCAGAAAGACTTCACAGCATTTCACAACTAGTGTTCTTATTCTTCCTCAGAAAACATCACTAGATTGCACTAAATGTTCGATCCAGAAGCCAACCATAGATTCCGAAAGCAGCAGATGCTGGGATTTTGGCTCTATCATGTTTGAGGTGATCCAACATATCGTGCATGTGGTGAACAGAGCCTTGACAAACAGACTTCTGTGGCAGTTGCTCGGGCGGGTCGTTTGTGAGCTTGGTAGACCTTGGAGCGCCATGCACCCGCAAAATAGGAATCAAGTAGGAACAACACTTGTATGCGATTCTATACTTTTTGTAGACAGTCGACGCTAGGAATATAATTCTTGGAATTAATACACTATTCCCACCATGTATACCACGATCAGCTCTACCTTGACGGGTGGGGAAAGTAGTTCTTGGATTTTTTCTGCCTCAGGAGATTACGCCGGCATGGCGCAAGATTACAACCACCTGGGCTTCATTTCGGAGGTGCCACGCGGTGTTCAAGGGATGTCAACACGCCTTCCCGGGCAACGCGACGGTGATTCTCAGAGATTCCAGGTTCATCCTTTTTCTAAGTGTAAACATCTGTAAACATCTGTAGTCTGTAGACATTTGTAGACATTTGTAGACACTGAACCAATACTGGTTGGTGGTTTGGAAATGTCTGGAACATGAATTTTATTGTCCATTTCATAGATGGGATACATTTTTCAAGATGGTTATATATAAAACCACCAACCAGATAACCATATACTGTATATACTAATCATAATATTATCATAATAGTGAGTTTTCCCATGAAAATGGCATGGTGGATATCTTTCCCACGTTTAAAATGCTATGTTTTCACCACAAAAAAGATCTGTAGACAAATCCTTCATCCAGCAGCGTCTCGTGCGGCGTGGCGCAGGAGATTGATCCGCGGCCCATGGTCCCCAAGATCCAGGCGTATTTCGAACCCCGGATGTCTACCAAAGCGGCAGTGCCTCGATCGATCTATGGAGCTGTGGAATGATGAGGGATCCGCGGGATCCGAGAGATAGATCAAAGTTAAAGATCATTGCAGGGAGGTGGGAAATTTTGATGAACAGATTTTTTTGGAGTCAAACGCTTAAAAGTTCGCTGGAAATTGCTGGTTCAACACAGGATTTTTGTCAATTGCCAAGCAAAGAAGCACGGAAAAGACTGGGTCACAAGTGAATATGATGCATATGTAACCATGCATATGTAACCTATAAAAACGAGGACATTTCCTCCAACCTTGTGTTCATTTAAAGGAAAGTCCCAGCAAAGCCAAGGGACCGGAGTTGGAGAGCTCCAAATAGGATGATACTAAACATATACTAAACATTAATCAATGCTTTCTCCCGTTCATATTATAAAAAACACCCCCCGTTCACGACGAAACCATGGTGGATGGTTTTAGGAATTTCCAGATTTTTGATGGGAAAACGTGGACATCCCATAAATCCCATAAATCCCATAAATCTCCATAAAAAACCAGGTGGAAATTCCATAAATCCCAAAAATCCCATGAATTTTTGGATTATGGGGTGTTTAATTAATGAACGATGGGATTGTAACATGAATTTCAGGTAGCTACGGTAGCACGAAACATTCTGGGCGAACAGAAAAACCACCAGAGGCTGGCTGTTTTAAAAACCTCAAAGAACTGGGCCACCAGCATTGTTGGATTATGAAAAAAACAGAAAAATGAATATAAATGGTACATTAAATGGTACATTAAATGGTGATAGACCATCCAAAAGCTATGGATGTTTTTTTTTCTCGGGTGGTTTTAGATGCTCAACATCCTGTGCATTGTTGCGAAATCCTGCACCAGTTTGTAGATGGTTTCTTCCATTATCATTATAATCTCATTGTTCAATATTTTTCACAGTGTTTCATAGGAGTCCCAATAGTTACGGGCCTGGTGCAGGATTTTTCAACCATCCATAGTATGATCAAACACAGAAACACAGCATCCAAATGCCATCCATCTGGTGGTCGCCTTGGCTTTTAGGCAGTGAGTTTCAAGACCATCATCGATGGCTTGGAAGAGGTGATTTTTAAGCACCTTGGAAGCCTTAAAGAAGGCGATGGGGGACATGCGTGTCAGCCATAGATATGGTGATATGGCCGTTATTTTTGTTGGGAAATGAGCCATTTTTTGAACCATTGGTTCCACCAAATATCAGAGGTTCCCTGGATTTTCGGAGTTCAGGATGCAACCGAGGATGGTTTTTTGGTTCATTCTTTTCTCACGCTTGGCGCTTGGCGCATGTTTTTGTTGGCGCGACCACTTCCAGAGGAGGCTATGAGAAATCACGTAGCTTGATGCAGTATCCACAGGGAGGATATTTTCCGGAATCATTTACCCTCTGGTTATGTCAAAATAGCTATTGAAAATGGTGATTTATAGTGGATTTTCCCATTGAAAATGGTGGATCTTTCCATAGCTTTCTGTATGTTTACCAGGCCGGGTATTCGCACAGGGATTTCCATTGATGCAGCGAAGTGCTTCCATTCAGATGGGATGTCAAACACATCTATGGCTGGGAGAATTTAGGAGACTTCGGCAGCTTCGGAAATGATCATTTTTTGGGAGACATTTTGACATACCCGGCCTGGTAAACTAACATAACTATGGAAAGATCCACCATTTTTTGTGGGAAAACTCACTATTGCGACTGGGCCATTTTCAATAGAAAACTGTTAACAAATTACCAGAGGGTAAATTTTGACCAATCAATGAAGCCCAACCCAGGAATTATCCCTTTTCCGTGCCGCCATTCTATGCTTTGGTCGTACGAAGCCTGGCTGTGAAAAACAAATTCAGCGCCCAGCGAGAAAAAAAACACCAACCACCAGCTGCTGGATATTGCTGGGTTATGCTGGGTTGTTAGTGATACAGATAGGAATGTGTAGTTTGATAACCTACCATTTTGATCTATTTTGCATGATATCAAATAACGTCAAATTATATCATCATATTTATTTGGGGGGATGAACATCCACAAATCCCAGCTATTTTGGTGTGCAGAGAATGAAGCGGATTTGCCACTGGATTTTGACCCGGTTGCATCCAGTTGCCAAATGGGACATCAAAACGGTGTGCTGGGGGCCTGCCTGCGTATCTAAGGTTGACCATGACATGCTATGATCATCCATGATCAACATCCTTAAAAACACAGATCAACTTGGATCAACTTGGGATAGTTTAATGATCAAGGACAAAGTCTAAGTGATCAATTCTGACTTTTTCAACACATATATATATACAGTATATACAGTATATACAGTACTGGGATAGTTTCCTGATTTCATATATTTCATCTTTTTGCCATGGCACTTTTTTTTTTTTCGTTTACCAGCTGAAGTCCTGATCACTGGATCCCATGACATCCTCCAAGGAAGCCTGGTGACGCTGGAGGGCTTGGCACTGTCCATTGATCCCAAGCCGCTTGGCGAACGACCGGTGACCGGTGACTTTGGTGTGACGGGACGTCAGAAATATGACAGGAACGTAGTAAAACATGGGTAAAAACATGGGTAACAACATGGGTTTACATGAAATGGGTAAGTAAAATCTGAGTCATAAATAGTCATAAATCATATTGAATATTATTGAATCATAGCCGAATCATACCGGAGTCTCTCTTGAATCAAGGTGGAGTTGCTCCAAGCTATAAGTGAATCATAGCCACAAGAGGCCGAAACGAATCATAAATTTTAATACCTCAAAAATTCGCCAGTTGAGCCGCTCGCTTCCCAGTTGAGCATCTGGAAGTTTATCACATCACCATCCTTGGAGAGATTGGTTGACCCCCGGGGCGTTGACCTGGGGTCATTGAATTTGTAGGCGACTTTTCATGACAGTAATATAATGTCTAGCCGTATGTGCTATATATATATATATATTCACTAGCTACGTAGTATGATGCCGGTATCTTTTTGGTCACATTTCTAGGTAGATAAATGGTATATTAATGATGAATATATATATATATATTATTAATATTAATTATTCCTAGAAATAGTAGCATTTCTAGGTAGATTAAAAAATCGGACTGTATTAATGATTAAATATATGTTCATTAATGATACGTAGCTTTTTTTTACCCCCAGGTATCGCGTCTTGGCTGCGGCGTATCCTTACCTGGCGAAGCGCGTCTTGTTGGACTCGGAGCTACGATCCAGTCGCCTGGCTTGGAAAATCTGGGGAAATGGAAAGGTTCTTGGAAAGCATTTTATGTGTTTTTTTTCACCATTTTTATCATACAAATCATGAATCAATGATTGATCATGAGGGGAATAGATGATGAACCATAAATCATGAGGAAGAGTCATCCCCAAAAAAACGGGCATTATGTCAGCTGAAGCATGCTGAAATATGCTGAAAGAAGTCTCTTTTCAGGTTTTGTTTGGAACAAGTCTGAACGATCCTTTAATTAACGTTCATGGTAGGCTCACCAAATCATCTGTCAGTCAGGGAAAGTGGTTGCGGGCTGATTTCTGCTATTTGCCATGTATACATTCAACTTATTCAACTTGATGTCGCAAGTCGGGAGCCAGTCTCAACCTTTGGGCCATCCTGTATTAACCAAATCAAGTCAACATCACCATCAACAACCGTGAGTTCCTAAGGATAAGACACAGCTGAGGACAGGACATCCACGATATTTTTCTGGTGGTTTGTCCCTGAAAATGCTGGGAAAAACCCAAAAACATCCAGAGGTTTTAGAGCAAACATGTCATGTTCTCCATTGAAATATCCTCTGGTTATTTGTTACATAGCCATGGAAAATGATGGCCCTAATCGAAATAGATGGTTTACCGAACTTAGAAATGGTGGATCTTTCCATGGCTATGTCTGTCAGTCATAACCAGATGCAAACCATTGGCTAACCATGCTATTTTCAGGGAAAACAGGTGACATCCTCCATGGACTCATGCCATATTTCTGGAGAGTCTGCCTCACCAATTCCCCAGGACACCGGATTGACCGGTGCCACCGTTGGCTCCAGGTCTCTTCGAGCTCCTGATCAACACGGCGACGGCGAAGCCGGATGCGCGACGCTTCCGCTGGGATCGTGCCATCGACTTGTGCCTGGGCCAGCTATTCCATGCGGTCGATGTATTTTGGTAACCTTACATACCCTCTGGTAATTTGAGCTATTCCAGTCGATGTATTTTGGTCACCTTACAATACCCTCTGGTAATTTGTTAACAGATGTTAACAGTTTGCTATTGAAAAGCGCCATCTATAGTTGATTTACCTATTCAAAATGGTGGATCTTTCCATCGTTTTCTGTATGTTTACCAGAGGGGAACGATTTCCTCCAACTTTGATACTTTTTGTTTAGCGAAGGGACGTAGAAATGAGCAAGAAAACGGATGCAGACACAATCATCCGAAGGATCCGAGGCCCAGAATATGCTATTTGGTTTGGATGAAAATTGATATAAACATCACAACCACTACCATCTGTCAATTTGACATGGCTGGGTGGAAAATCTCAACTTTGAATGATGAAAATATGGGATACTCTCATATCACACACTACATGCACATTATGAAATTGGGTGTTTTTTCATCAGATTAAATTGGTGGAGGAAATTACATACACATATATATATATATATACCCTGTCAAATGAGAATAAAACCACATAAAACCACTACAACAAATCCACAGACCACCTGATATGAATCCTCGTTTCAACCAGCCATGGAAAATACAAACGTTTCAAAGAATGAAACCAGCATGAGCAGTGTTCGAACCCCGTGTTGCTTGATGATATGGGATTGTATTACCCTTTGGTAAACTAACATAACTATGGAAAATCACCATTTTTAATGGGTAAATCAACTATAAATCACCATTTTCGATAGCTTTTTGTATGTTTACCAGAGGGTACCCCAAAATATCGAGAGGATCATCGGATCACATGTTTTTCAATTCCCCTTTAGCCAATCAGTGAATCATTTTTTGGAGTTGTTCTAACAAAAATATCACATCACTAGCTCCCCAAAAACCGTTGGTTTTTCCCATGTTTCCCCCAGAAACCATCGAAGCCATCCCTTGGATGAAACCTTGAGCGAGCGCTCGGAACGCTCCAGGCTCCGGGAGTCCTCCAAGAGCAGCGTGGCAGTGCCGGGATCCACACGGAGCGCCCTTTTTTTTCTGCAGAAATGGGGGGTTTCCATTAATATCCATTAATTTTATAATGGGGGGTTTCCATGATTTTGCATTATATCCATTAATATCCATTTTGATGTTTGCATTATATCCATTACCCCCTGGTAAATTTAACAGTTAATGGGATTATGAATGGGATAATTAACAGTGGGATATTGAAACTAAGAGTACAGTGATAGTTAATTAATTAATGGAATACCCCCTGGTAAATTAACATAGACCCTGAAAATCAGCAATTTTTAATGGAAACCAGTCTTCCAACCCCGATGACTGCCAGGGTCTATGTTAATTTACCAGAGGGTAATATCCCATTCATTTTTTTTTTTTACCTAGCCATATGTGAGGTTGATGTCTGCAAAAAATATCCACCATTCATATCCCATTCAAAATTGATGTACCATTTGGAGGTTTCCTGAAATGGAGGTACCCCAATAGCTGGATGGTTGAATAATGGAAAATCCATCTATAAATGGATGAGAACTTGGGGTACCCCCAGGACTTAGGAAACCTCCAAATGAAGATGTAAATTCTAATCTGCATCTGCAGAATGTAATCCTAATCTGATTAAATCTATGTCGACATGTCGCATTATAGCACACTTTTTTTTGTTCGCAATGGACATCAAGAACATATATAAGAACCAATGACCCTAACATGCATTTTATATCATTTTATAAACGACCATCTGTGTATAGAATGGCAGGCAAGTGCGGTGGCGTTCTCGGCTAAGCATGGGGGGATTTTTTCAGAGGACATCACGTCTCCAGCTGTCGCACTCTCTGCAAGCCTCCAGGACTCCAGAGGGCACGGCCGATGACATGGGACCTTACCTGGATTTGGCCTCTTCCCTCATTGAGGCCCTGGGGTTTTCATGACCTGCACTTTTCATGGCCGAAAACACATTCCAATACGATTTGATACAACTAGATTTGGTTTGTCAATCTTGAATAGGATTTCTTGGTTGGTGGTTTGGAACCATGCAATTTTATGACTTTCCATATATTGGGAATTTCATCATCCCAACTGACGAACTCATATTTTTCCGAGGGGTAGGTCAACCACCAACCAGATTTGTTTTGATACGCCGTGCTTCGGACAGTCGCAAGGCACGTCTTTTCGCATGGCACGTAGTTCGCAGCTGTTGGCATAGTCTGTTGAGCGTTGGAAACATCGGAGCAATCCGAAGGAGACGTTTCCTGTTTGGATTTGTCCACTTAAATAGGGTCCCCCTTTGAAATCGACCTACATTTACACTTTGAAAAGTGCTAAAGTGCTAAAGTAATCCTTTTAAGCTTTTCCGTTCCCAGCAATTTGAGTTTTTATCAGATTTTGTCACTTTTGATTGCAGCAGCTGAACAGCGTCTTTAGCACATTTTCCAACCATTTTCCAAGCGCAGGATGCGGCCTTCCGTCAGACCTTGGTGGCAGAACTGGCCAGCACCGCGGCACCTTGGGTGAGCTATGGGGATGGTGACTATGACATGTGGGGTAAACGGTAAACACGACATGTTCCCTTTTGTGAATCTATGGTTAAGCATGGCAATACTATGGCAATACTATGGCACTATGACTGCCCTAAGATTTTTCGCTACAATGACATGCGAATCAATACATGCTACGTGTTCATCTTGGGTACAGTGATGGTCCGATTAAAGAAGTCAGAGCGGCTGAAAATGGTCGAAGTTCTGAAGATTTTCACCATTGACTACGGGACTTGGGACGCTTGGTCGTTCGTGACGCGTGAGACGCTTCAAACGTTGTGCCATTCAAAAAGCACACCCATCCACGACTCAATACGACTCCAAACTTCCTTGGTCATGTCCAAAGGTGGTTCAAAACAGATGGAGATGGAGTCAGAGCAATTAGCAGGTTTGCGGAGGAAGCAGGGTGGGTTACAGACCGTTTTTGTGGCATATTCGTGATCTGGTCATGGAGGTGAAATGTGTTGCAAACCAACCATACTAGTTTATGTAGGCATTTGGGCCTAAGTTGCACTTGGGTATTACATTTTTGCTGCTGTAAGATGCGCCCAAATGCATTATTGCAAAGACCGGCAGAGACTCGTTGGCGTGATGGCCAATTTTTATTCTACGATGCAACGAGTAGATTTCGGATGTATTTTATTTAGCAATGAACTGTTTCCTGTACACGGAAGTTTTTGAATTGCTGGATGGGTCCAGGGCAGGCGTCAACACAAGACCAGTCTGTGCAAGCTCTAATGATTCACTGATGTGAATTGAAGAAATGTTTCGGAACGCTACAATGGGCGGAACCTCAGTCAACTTTACGCCAGAAGATTCCAACTAGAATGGGTTGTATTTGCACAAGGGGTTGAGTTGTATTCACACTAGGCTAGGTGGCTATCGGGCATATGGGTTAAATCCAGAACTGTTTTTTTTTTCCTTTTTCTTCCATCCAAAACCGCTTTCCGGAAATGCCTCTCTTCCCCCACTTCCAGCTTTCCAACCGTTGCCCCGCTTCCAGTAAGTACACAGATTCCTCCCGTTGCCCCGCTTGCACCTTTCCTCCCATTGCCCCGCTTATCAACACTTCTGTCAACTGCCCCGCTTCCACTGTAGCCCCGCTAGTTTGTTCGACCAAAACTGGGAAAAAACACTTCAGAAAATGTGGTGCGGTATAGCATCAATCCAGAGTGGTTGTTGGTTCCAAATGAGAAGTACAGAATTTGCTAGGTCCAACTGATGACCTAAGTCAAGTTGTTTTGACATTTGAAACCACCTACCCGGCAGCTTGCATTCACTCTTCAAAGAAAGGGTGTCGACACGACCTCGTCAATGCCAAAAAAGCCCAGATCAGCCTTATCAAAACATTCTCCCCAGTGACGCCATTTAAAAAACAAACCACATCCCGAATACCAAATTATCTTTTGGACCAACATCGACTTGCTGGCTCGAATTCTTAGTCTACTAGAAAGGAAACCCTAATGGTTCATGTGGCAGACTGAATTGCAGCTGCCATTGTTGTTTGCCTTAGGTAACTTGACTGATGAGGAACTGCAAATCCACTCCCAGCCCCGCTTCCACTGTAGCCCCGCTAGTTCGTTCGACCAATGGAGTGATACTGGGATGACTAGAAGCCTCAATTTCAATATCACCTCCATTGGTCTGAGAAGTGAAAAGTGATACTGGGAGTGAACCCTCTCAGAGAACGAGGTAGTCACCTTTTGGTCCAAAGCCATGTCAATGTCGTCCATTGAGCTGTGCTCTAAGGATGTGATGATTGCTGACATCATTGGAGGCTGGGAATTGAATTCGCTGAGTCTGGGATCTTCCGTGACCGTCCGAGGGCTTTCCCGATCCCTGTCTTGGGACCAGTAAAATGGGATACTGGTCATTGATGGTATCCCATTGATCATTTTGATACTGGTCATTTCGAGGGATTCTCATCTTGATCAAAATGGATGGGATGAGAATTGCAATCAATGACTCATCAATGACCCAGAGGCCCAGCCTAGTTTGTAACAGCTATAGCTCTATGATTTCTGAAGATCGCCCTGTTTTTTTACGTCAGCTTGGTGGATTCAGATTTTTTCAGATGTTCCATTTGCGGGATGACCAACCAGAGTCAACATGACTTGTTGGTTCATCTCCCCTATGTTTGTTGGTTGATCTCTTGATATGCCCATTGTTTTCAAAAACCACAAAGGTTATATCCGAAGATTGCATCAGACCATATCGGACCTGCAACTTTTATGCATATCTATTCATTTAAATTGCGTAAACCTCATTTAATCCTATTGAAATGAAGCTTATTAAGTCGCTTAATAGATTATCCACTTTAAGAGACCACCATTTCGACACGTTTAAACCTTAAATTATTCATTGATCATTGGCTTATGTCCAATCTATCCATAATCATCGGTTTAATCCTACTGAATCTCAAACATGTTCCATATCTATCATTATCTATCCATATCAATTCATCATATTGATATTCTGCATCTAGCAACCGTATCTAATATGATATAGTATGTTTGATGTATCTACATCTAGCATAATTCACAATATCTCTATTGTATATATATATATATATTCCGCATATGTTCCATATATTTCCATGTACATTCCATATCTATTCATATCTCTCCATCATTTCTGGGTGATATTCGGCGAAGGTGCCATGAGCGGCTCGGATGTGCAGCAGCTGCAGAAGCTGCGCAAACGCTTGGGGCTTCAGCTGGACGACGAGGCGCGTTCTGAATTTATTACACAGGTGATGATCAGATAGATATGGCAAGTAATTAAATAATAGATGATATTAATATAGATTGGAATATGATATATCATTCCATTAAGTAAAATTAATTTATTCAATATTTCATATTCCAATAATAGATATGATAGTAAATGCCATATTCCAAGAACAATAGATAATGGCATTTTCCATACTCCAATAGATATGATAATAATTGCCATATTCCAATTATATGATCATATTCCAATAATTCAGATAATAATGCCATAATGATCTATAATATAGATAACTAACGACAATTATGATATTCTGATGGTGCGATGTTTTTATAATTCTTATGATATGTGCATACATGTAGGTAATTATTTAGATAATACCCAGGTGTACCATGTGATATATATATATATACATATACATATGTGTATAAGTATGCATACTATAGACGAGTGTGTTTGGTGTTTGATGAATATATGGTAGCCATCTCTTTCCTGTGACACCGTCGACGGGTGACCCTCAGTGATGATTGCTGATAGATGCTGATAGCAAAGTTGTTGGCATTATTTTATGTTGATATTTTTTGCATATCAACAGTACCCCCTGGTAAATTAATATAGACCCTGAACATAGTCTAGTGGTAGTTTACAGTTTTTTTCTTACTGTTATCATGAATGGTAGTTAATGAACACTCTTTATCTGATATAAGCTAGCCATATGTCGTGGTTTCAGTCATCCACACCTGCCGCGAGGCTCGCGTCTCGGATGTGCGAGAAACGGTCAATCTCATTGCAGAGAAGGTCGCGGCGACTTGGCGATCCTAGCAGCTTTGGGCAAGGAAGATGTTGGATATAACTTGGTCGAGTATGGTTTATTGGGGGGATAAAAGCTATACTTAATGGAAGTTAGTATACTTAACTATAACTTAATAAGTAACGTTAGTTATAAGGTTGGTAAAACAATGCCATAAACCATCCCCAATTTCACAATGAATAGGTGGTATAAACCATTCTCAGTCATGGGTGGTTTATTCGTGTTTTTCCCGCATTGTGGTTTAATGGCGGATATAAGCTATACTTAACGGATGTTAATGGGGTTGTAAACCAACTTTTTTTTTTCTGTTTGGAGGGACATGGATGTTTCCTAAGATATGGATACCCCTTAAACTAAGTTGGGATTTCCCATTGATCATAAGCAATAACTTGGAGGATTCTGGGTACTGTACCCCATGTTTGGAAATCTCCATATAATTTGGTTAACTAACTACATGGTTTATGGGGAATATAGCTAGTGTGGGAAACCCTTAAATGGTTAAACCATGTGAAAAACCTACCATGACTGGGGATGGTTTAATTTATAGCACCCATCAACATGGTGATAACTTGTTTGGGGATGGTTTATGGCATTGGGTGTTACCACAGTATAGTTACCGTAATGGATGATTTAATGGGTTTATACGCCACATGACAACATGTCTGGGGCTCAGTCGATGTTGCTTTCTGAATCGCCTTCCCAAAAAACCCACAAAAAACTTGGAGGCTCAGAGCGACAGAGAACTTTCAATCCCATTTTCAAGAGGTTTGGAGCAGTCATTACCCTCTGGTAAACATACAGAAAACTATGGAAAGATCCACCATTTTTAATGGGAAAACTCACTATTTCTATGGCCATTTTCAATAGCTATGTTAAATTACCAGAGGGTAAGATTCAATAATAACTTTTCAATAGTAAACCCCGCACAGACATTTTGTTTCATGTGTTCTGGAATAATTTGGTGCCCCGTCTATAGGGGAAGGTTTGTTGTTAGGCAGGTTGGACTGCATGTAAACTCCTTGAAACATGGATGGTGCCGATACCTAACGAAACAGAATCATATCGTATTAAGGAGTTTGTGTACTAATTGTGCCATGATAGTGTTGATCTTCATGATAACAGGTATAGGTTTGTTTGCCAATTTAGGGGAACAAAAACCCAATTTCAATGGATTATCACCATTTTCGCATCTATAAAAATGGCTATGAATGTAGGTATCCCTTATTTTAAGACAAACCCACATGTCATATATTGTCAGTTATATATCCCATTACATCACCATGATGTTCCATTAAATCATTATTTTCACTAGTTAAATCCCAGTAAATCCCACTTCTTTCTTCATGCTATGCTGAGGATCGCATTCCCAATGCTATGGATGCGGTGAATTTGGCCATGCAAGCAGCTGCAGGAGCGGAGTGCTTCCGAATATGGTTCCAGAGATATGACATGACATGAGGACAGGGATATGATATGATATGCATATACCATCTGGTTATTTGTTACATAGCTATGGAAAATCACCATTTTTAATAGGTAAACCCAGGTAAACCATCTATAAATGGGCCATTTTCCATGGCTATGTTAAATAACCAGAGGGTATATGCATGATACCATCTGGTTATTTAACAGTTTGCTATGGAAAGATCCACCATTTTTAATGGGAAAATCGACTATTTCTATGGTCATTTTCAATAGCTATGTTAAATTACCAGAGGGTGCATGAGCAGCTGCAGGAGCGGAGTCTCCGGAGCTCCGGGTTCCAGAGATATGACATAACATGAGGACAGGGATATGATACCCTCTGATAATTTAACATAGCTATTGAAAATGACTATTTATAGTGGATTTACCCATAAAAAATGGTGGATCTTTCCATAGTTATGTTAGTTTACCAGAGGGTATTATATGCATGATACGGTGGATAGAAGAAATCCTGCACCAGTTGAAAACGGTGGTTTATCCGTGTTTATCCCATTATTTGTTGGGTTTCAACAAGCCTTTTGGTGGTGCAGGATTTCGCAACCATCCACAGTATGTTAGATGTTATATGCTACTTTCGACACATTTTTCGGGTGGTTTATCCCATTTTGTGAGTTCATTTCAAATGATTTTTCTAGGTGGAATCCCATTTACTAGATGAATTTCAATAGATTTTTCCCAAATTTCAATAGAAGATTCATGGTGCTAGGGAAAAAAAACACGGGTTGGAACTCTCACGCCGCACAGGTGCAGTGCAAGCTTCCATGTTCCCCAGCGATCACCCAGGCGCGATGCAGCTTGCCCTTTGTTTAACTCAATAGGAATAGTGATTCAATAGTAATAGTTGTCATTTGTAGTTAATTTCAACTCAGTTGTAGTTAATAGTAATAGTTGATTATCATGAGTGTTTCGCATCGTAATAGTGATTATCAATCACTAGAAATAAATTTTGATTATCACGCAATAGTTGATACTCAAAAATCGTCTGTTGGTGGTTATCATTCATTTTGTGGGGATCTCTCAAAATGCAACCTGAAACAACCCTATCTGAACAATCAGTGGAGCTAGGATCTGACAAGCCGAGTTGAGTAGAATTGAGAATTTCGACAGCACATTTGGCCAGGCAAAAACGGGGATGCAGAGAAAGGTGTCTGGGCAACACGCTTTTGGTTGGGGATCCCCATGCAAGCTTCGCCACGCGTGATTGAAATTTGGGCTATATAAACCAGTTATGAAATGGTTAATCAATCTCCATTTAGCTATTTTTTGGCTAATGAAATGAGCATTTCAGTTGCCTAAATCACCATTTGTCATCCATTTAAATTCTCCATTTCCTGCCGGAAAACAAAGACACTGGAACCCATACACTTCATGAAGGGTCGGAGAAACTCAGGCGCCGAGAAAAATGCTGGGCCCAGCTTACCAGAAGTGGCCGGTGAATTCTTTGACCAACTGGGTAACTTGGCACGACTCGCCTGCGATGATTTCTTGGAAGTCGAGTTGTGGGAAAAATGAAGCAACGATAAAAGCAACATGTTTTTTAAGGGATAAATAGGGATCGAACCAACTGAAAATTCCAGATTTAACCAACAGTACGTGATTTATCATGGTATAACATCTGATATGTCAGCAACAAATACCAGCAGTATGATGTATTGCTTTGTCCAAAACCAGGGTACCCCAGAGTACCCTCAGAATCCACGGGTTTATCCTCGCGTTCCCTATCCAGGACTTGATCCAGTGCTGTGAGGTCGTTGGATTAGATCAAACCAGTTGGGGAATGATGTTTGGATCATAAGATGACCATACCCAATACCCTCTGGTTATGTCAAAATAGCTATTGAAAATGGTGATTTATAGTGGATTTTCCCATTAAAAATGGTGATTTTCAATAGCTATGTTAGTTTACCAGAGGGTAGATTCAATAGATCTTCCAAGAAATTCAGATCTAGATCTTCCCAGCCCATGACTCGCTGATCTTCCAATGGCCCCGTTTCTCAACAGCAGGTGAACGTGCAGCGGTGAGGACGCTGAAAGCCCTGGCCAATTGGATTGGCGAGGACGAAGGACAGCTCGATCACCCCAGATCTGTGACTGATGGCTCCAGCATACCATGAATCCATATGGGTGGTTGATCATTGCAATACTAAGATGATCATGATATATTTTGATAATTTTTGATACATATATATATATATATATACATATTATGTATATATATATATATCGATATGTTTCATTGGTTAAGTAGGCCAAGTAGGCAGAGAGCATGAGGTAGTTATATCAATGTGTTGTTATTGTTTGACGTTCAAACATTTACGTTTTGAATATAACTCATTTAAAAAACACGGTTGTGAATATTGTTCATGCTTTTTTTCCCATTGCTTCAAAAGATCATGATCATCCTTGTTTTTTTTCCCAACTTTTCAGACCTCAAACATTGCACCAGGAGACGCTTCAAGAGCCAATCCTTCGGCCAAGACATCACGCGGCTGAAGCCAATTTGTGCACTCGACACCTGGTGCAGAGCTGAAAACAATTGGATGATCATGTGGTCAACAATGAAACATGATGGTGGTATAATCTATATATACATATACATATACATATATGTATACATATGCATATACAAACATATACATATACATATACATATACATATAGATATACATATACATATACATATGATACATATAGATATAGATATACATATAGATATACATATACATATAGATATACATATACATATAGATATACATATACATAGATATAAATAGCTATACATAGATATAGACATAGACATATATATATATACGCATGTATATATATATATATTATACATATATATATATGGATGCTACCGCATCATATCCTCATCATATCGTATGTCCTATCGTATAGTGTCATACCACATGATGGCTCAATCCAAGCGTCTTCACCCCATCCAGGATGGAACGAAGGTCCCCAACGTCACGACGTAAAGTGCGGCGAGTAGTTTTACGGATGACTTGAATCATATTTGACGACAGTTGATTATACACAATTATATATACAATTATATACATAATATATATATATATATATGATTATACATAATCTATAATAATCTTACTGTTGATGATGTATACTTTTATTATCTTTTTTTGCTATGGATGCCTCTCAGCCGCCTCTATAATATTCGACGATGGTTGAATGTAATGGTTGTCTTTAAATGTCGTCTTTAACCACCTCAGCCATTCAGCCATCTGAACGAAACGCAGCTCTGCACTTACGCCGCGATGAATTTTTTGAAGTCCACCAGCACTGTGTAGTGCCGGGTGGTTGTCCAACAGATCGAGCCAAACATCTGAGATTTTCATCCGAAATGAGGCGAGGTTCCAATAGTTCCGGCAGGAAAAATGGTACCAACCTATATCAATCCGATGTTTTCCGATGTTTGGCATCATGATTTCCTCATGTTTCTGTTGAAGGCTGGCTCCTTTGGAGGGTGGCCAGCAAGGCAAATTGCTCGCCAGGGCTCCTACCATCAAATCCTCATCCAAAATATATCAAAATCACTGTCCAAAAATATCGATCGAATCCTCAAAGTCTTGTCAGAAAGAGGATGTTCATGGATGTTTCATTCCATCCCTAGGATTCATGGAGACTTTCATGGCTGCCCTGTGGCTCATGTCCCTGCGGAGCGATGGAGCTGCATTCTGGTCCGAAAAAGGAGATGCGCCACGTGGCTGTGGTGGGTTCGATGGTGACAACATTAGCGCGGTATGCGGTGAAGTCGGTAGTTCAAGATGCGCCAAGAATTGGTGTTTAAAATTTCTTCACTTCGAAAAATGAAATAATTACCCTCCGGTAATGAAAGGTGGCAATGGGTCCCTCCCCATTTTGTTGATCTTCCCAGCTGGAAAGCTGTCCCAGTTCAGGTGCACGGGGCTCACACTGGTCGATGAAAACTGGGGGTTTCCTAAGTCCACCGTGGTACACCATGGTACACCCATCATCCCAGTCATAAATCCTAGGAATTGCCATGAAAACATATGAAAACCATCCAGAGGTATTGGGCCCCATGACTCCCATGATTGGGGAACTGTTTCAAGCTGGGCCCTTTTGTGACATAGAAATACTGTAGAATCTGATACAATCTGTACATCTACCATGCTGGCTCAAGCTGATTCACCAAAATGCCATAGCTTGGAAAATGCTCGAAATGATCATGGGCTCATGTCGGTAGTAGCTTTGCACCGAAGCCCGAAACTCGAGATGTAGCCCATCCTTCTCAGAGTCGCACATTTTTTTTGGGTTCTGATGTGTCATTGGAACTGAAAAGTTCCCAGCATTTCAGCAGCATGCTGAGACTGGATCATGGGTCGCAGCCATGTTGATCCCACTGCTATGGAAATTGTGCGTGTGTGTGTGTGTGTGTGTTACCCAGGCCATCCCACACTTATATGTACATGAATACATTATATGTAGAGCTAGAATTATACACAAATATTCAGCGATCCGTAGATAATCATCTAACTATTGTATATGGATTTATGCTGATAATATATCATCATTTGATCATGATTGAGGACAACCATTAATACTAATCCATTTTGTCATAGATAGTTATTGGATCAGATTGGAACAACCTTCCCCCTGTGTCGCCTGTGTCGCCATGGCATCCCTGGTCGAGATTCTGCATTTGGCGCCCTTGGCATTGGCTGCGCTGTTGGTGCTGAGTTCGCTGTACGCGCTGGTTACCTGGTCCAAATGGGGCGAAAAATCAGGATTTTTGGTGGAATTAACATAGTGTAATAGCATAATATTCATGGGACACTTGGTGATTATTGGTGATTATGATCACATTTAAACAATTTTCTGGTAATTACCATGTTGCTATGACGATGGATATTTCTTGATTATTGGCGAAAGATTAATCTGTGGTACCCCATGGTATGGATATTAAGATCATGGTAGCATGTATTATTGGTAGTCTCTTCGGTAGTCGTCCATTTTTTTCGGCCATTGTATGTAGTATTGAAACCCATGCAACCTTCAAACGCTGGTTGGTGGCTCGTTGTAGTGTCATGCTTCTCATGTGTAGCGATGTTTTTGGGGCCCTGATTTGCCCACTGGTTTTTTTCTGCATCGAGTTTTTTTCCCTCTGTTATTGGAGTGTTTTTCCTTGATGAATTGTGGAACTCCGTACGTTTCACTGCAGACCAGGCAAGCTTCAAATCTGTTTCTGGGGCCCCACTATGATTGGATGTGATAATCGATACGTGTTGGCTCAACACTTGGGGATGATCATCTCAGCTGATAGAATTTTCAGGAATGTGGTGGGGCTTTTTTAACCAGATCAAGATGTTTTTCCTTCCAAAGATTCGAGGTGATGCTTTGGTATTCTCTTCCAATAAGAGGCAATCCAAGCATCCAATAAAATCCTCCAATATCTTCCAATCGTTTTTTTGATCAGCAACATCATCTGGTTGGTGGTTTGGAATATGTTTTATTTTTTCCATATTATACTGGAAATAATAATCCTAACTGACTCATATTTTTCAGAGGGGTTGAAACCACCAACCAGTCATGAAATGAAGTCATCCAATAAAAAGATCTTCCATCTTAAAATCATCAAATGAAATCAACTTCTTCCAATCAAATCTGCAGACAAAATCTTTTTGGTGACCTTTCCCAATATCAAATAAATTCAAATAACATTTCTTCCAATCAAATCGAATTCTTCCAATCACATCTTAAAATCGCCTCCAGCTTGAAATCATGAAACAAAATCACTGGAGTTCCACTCCTTTGACGAGCGAGGCAAAAGGTAGCCGCTGGGGAGCCTGCCTTGGCCTTTTGCTTTCGGCACTGCTGGTGCTGTGGCATTTTTTGAGGGGGCGGGGGAAAGGTTCCAAAGATGGCCGGAATTGTGTTTCTTTTGAATACATTTTAGATTCAACAGCGAGTTTGATTCTGTCAGTGGCTCTCAAGTTTTGGCGAGTGATTGGTGGTGTCGATCCTACCAGTAGTAAATTCTGGTGACAATTCGAATTCTGGGTGGTGAATTGCTGTATATAGGCTCAGGTGTCTTCGTTTGCTGCCATGTCGAAAAGAACTTGGAGCCTTGTTTAAGACACACCTGGAACAGTTGGAATAGATGTGGGCAAACCCTGGCTGCCATAAACAACTACCATGACTGGGGATGGTTTCCCATCAAAATCGTGAGTTTGGGGATGGTTTATAGCATTCAGTTTACCACAGTTTGGTTTTTCGACCAGCAGCGCCGTAGCCGATACATGTGGGTTGTGACATGGTCGCGATCATGTTCATGATCATAGTGTTGTTGTTGTTGTTGTTGTTGTTGTTGATGTATCACCATTGCAATGGCAATATTGTAGCTGTCATAGCTACTGTTGTCATTCTGATGAAGTATGATATATCATGATATGGATACGTTACATGGTAGTCAGGATATGATTTATAAACATCCCCAGTCATCACCATATGCTAAATAGGTGCTATAAAATCTATAAACCATTTCCAGTCATGGGTGGTAAAAATGGCATTGTTTTACCTACATTGACCATTGAATTCACTGCACATTGGTAGCTTGACGTCCTCGCTTCTCCAGGCAGTTCTGCATGACGCCGTGGCTGAAGGTCTGATCAGCGGCGTCATCGTCACTTGCGGGGAAGGAAGGTTTGGGTTGGAACTTCCCAGGGGAGTTGCGCAACGTCAATCATATTCATAATATATGTATATATATATATATACACATACACACATATATATATATAAACAGATATATTCGTTCATATGTGTATATATATATATATACATTGAGGTATATATATATATACAGCATCCAGAATATTATTGTTTAAAGTTTAAACAGTTAAGGGGTTGTGTATATTCATCAATAATATTGCACACAGACCCCCAAGTTTGCCCAAGACCAGAATTGAATAGCGTAATTACCAGGGAATTCTGTACGACGTCAAACAACGGGAAGGATTTTATGTTTAATTATGTTGCTAGGGTGTTAATCAGTTCATGTTGCTTCTACATATCAAATAACCAGAACATTTGATACAGTATTTCCAACAACTCGAGAACATAATTGTGAAGAGTCCCCAATTGGTGCTCCAAATACCCAACATGAGAAGGTGTTTGACCCCCAAATCCAGGCCGACCGAGAAGGTGTTTGGAGCAGGCAATGAGTATATCTTTGAGGTTGAGAATGTGTTCAACATAATATGGGGATACAATAACAGTATTTCCATGTATTTCCAACAAAACAGGGACCTACTTGAATTAAATAACATTCAATATAGTTACCCTCTGGTTATTTAACATAGCCATGGAAAATCACCATTTTTAATAGGTAAACCATCTATAAATGGACCATTTTCCATAGCTATGTAACAAATTACCAGAGGGTAAATGGGGACGCACCTGGAGATGCCAATTTACAGTATACGATAAAGTTTCATGGAGAAAAGCGATGGCTGTGCTGGGGGATGCCAGCCATCCACTTGCGGTAAATCAAAACATCCTCTGTGATGGTGAAATACTGTGATGTACCCTCTGGTTATTTGTTGCAATGGAAGCCATGGCCCATTTATGACAAAAATGATGACTTAGCTTTTTTTTGAAAAATGGTGATTTTCCAGTTACCAGAGAGCAATAGAATAACTATAAATGAACTAAAGAAAACATAAATAAATTAACTAGAAGTGTTTGGAGATGGGATTCTCGAGAAATGGGCTGCGGTACAGTACCGCAGTTGAAATTTTTAAATGGAATCTCATCATTAAGGACACATATATCATCCAATGATACACCTGGTTGGGTGTTTTAGGCACTCTCTTTATTTCCATCCGCACCTGAGATACATTATGATATACTACGATAATGATCCCATTTGACCACTTTTGTTGAGTGAAGTTGAACCCACGATGTTGATTTGATTATAACCAACAATGCGTTTTTCTTTTTGGAGCTGGATTCTCAGTGGTTTGAACCGATTGTTTGCCACGTTTATATTTACAGTAATAGTGATTAGGTATCAATGGCCATCATCATGGTATCAATGCAACCGGGCATCCAGCCACGCGCAAACATCCAACAGGCTGGGGTCACAGTGAATTTTTTGCTCTCCCCCAAAAAAACATTGCTTAAATATGCTGAAAAACTCCCTTAAACCATCATTTTTCATGGGATAAACCCTGATAACATGATATTGAAGTCATCATTTTTCTTGCATTGAAAGCATGTTCCCCTGCCGAGGCTGCTGCGATGTACTACAAATTTCGACGCATCGTGGAGGATGAGAACAACAAGACCCTGGCCATGGCGCGACAGATGAAGGCGCAACACGTTACGTGGCGAGCTGGAAACTCCCCCAATATGAGAATATGGAGCTTTATAGCTGGGAACATCATCTACAAAAGGTGGATCATAGAACAAAAAGTCATACCCGGCCTGGTAAACGTTTACAGAAAGCTATGGAAAGATCCACCATTTTTAATGGGAAAATCCACTATACATAGCCATTTTCAATAGCCATGTTAAATTACCAGAGGGTAACAAGTCTCTAATGCAGTTCTTTTTCTTCGGAATCCATGTTTTCCATCGCCATGGGTGATGATTTTCACCTGCAGTGGAATCATGCTATCCGATATGCCCAACGACTTCCAGGTGAGTCTCATGACGGAAGAGGAGGAGGCCCTACAGGCCACATCGAAGAAGAACTTCGGCTCGGCTTGGGATCGGAGGGGAAAACTCACCAATGGGACTTGGAAACAATCCATGAACCAAGGACAGCAACATGGCAAAACAGATGTGGAAGGTGTCCATGACAGTGAATACAGGGTAAGTTCAACATGTTCATCAAAGTTTCCCCGATATGAACCATATTAAATAAATCATATTAATTACTCCAGAATGATATATCCATGATGTAATATTATGTAACCAGAATATCCTCAATATTAAACAATATTAATATGTTCCACAATATCCTCAATATAAAACACATTCTCTCATTTTTATTGGCGTTTCTTGTTTTGATGAACATTTTGTCATCCTGTCCGGAAATTTTCATGGCGGCTGACGCCTCAGGATCTTTCTGACGCTCAGCGTCATGGGGGCCGTGTCATGCTGTTGTGCCGCTGCCAGCCCTTGGCTCGGCAGTTGATCTGGTTGATGCGGCCAGACCGATGACCTGTTGATGGGATGTGGATATGGTCTTGATGAACTAACATAGCTATGGAAAATGGCCCATTTATAGATGGTTTACCTATTAAAAATGGTGATTTTCTATAGCAAGCTGTTAAATTACCAGAGGGTATCCCATCTAATGAAATTGAGCGGTTCTACATGTATCCCTAAAATCCAATGTTTCGATGTTTCCAAATTGACTGAGAAATGATGGCCTCGTTGTCCTTCTTTTTGTTCCTTGAAAACATGGTCATCGCAGGTCACCTCGTGTCAGGTCATGAGAAGTTTCAAACTTTAGGACAACTCAAAGTCTGGCTGGTGGTTTCAATCTTATGGGTTTAATATTGGTTTAATATGGTTTTACATGGGTTTAATATGGGTTTTCTATGGTTTAACATGGGTTTTCTATGGTTTCACATGGGTTTAATATGGTTTAATGTGGCTTAATCATCAAAGAATGGCTTTGTGATCACTTCAACAATCGGATCACATGGATAAAACATGGTTTTACAAAAACACATGGTAATTTCCTGCGGAGCTTCCCCTTAGGCCAATCCATATAAATATATATCTGATTGGTGGTTTGGAACATTTTTTTATTTATAGTTGGGATGATGATCCAATCTGACGAACTCATATTTTTCATAGGGATTCAAACCACCAACCATATATATATATATATATATTTGAGGTACCGGGGCGGCTCAACCACCAACCAGAACTAGTTGGTTTTCGTCCAAAATAAAAGGGCTCAGGGCTCTCCAGGGCTCTCCTCTGCAGTCCCGGCGTAGCACAAGTCTTCGGGTAGCACTGCCGGGAGTCTGGTTGGATCGAAAATATCCAGCCGGCTGCTTATTTAACTGAACTAGACTAGTGAAAATGGCCCAGTTTGTTTTTTGATAAACATGAACTTGATATGAAAAACATGGCCCAGGGAAATATTTCACTGAACTAGTTGAATATTTAATTTGATAGTTGATATTTAACTGCACTAGTGAAAATGGTCCAGTTATATATGAATTATACATGATAAAAATATATAAAAATGATGATTTACCTTTAAAAAATGGTGATGTTCCAGTTCGCTTCGTTCAATCACCAGAGGGTACCAATGACATGGACCGTGGCTCAGCTCAACGGAAACACGCGACGAGACTCATGGAGGTTACTTCCACCTGCCATTTGGAAGTTCGCAACTCGACATTTTCAACAGTCCAAAAGGTGATTTAGAACATTTTAGTACTCAACACGCCAATTTTATCACCACAACATGACATATTTATATATATATATATATTATACATCATAAACCATAAAATAACTGTGGATATGAAATCAAGATGGTCTCGAGTTCATGGTGTCCCCATTTGTTGGGACAGATCACTTGAGTCACTCGGTGGTGAGAATTTGAGCCGACCAGAAGTCGCCTCCGCGACTTTGGTGATGTTGCGACGGCCTAGGGCCGCTGAATCCTATGGCAGGTGCGGTTCAACCGGACGTGCTAAGTCCACTTAGGAAGTGGTGTATTATTTGCATCCCACTTCCATACATTCCTGGGAAGAATCCAGGACTACAATTGGCTGATATTTCTAACATAACATATAGGGTTTTCATAGGGTTTTCTAACATAACAGGTTACCCCAAAGCGGTTTTCTCATCGACCAACAAGTTGGATGCCAGTTGCGACGAAGAGATGGATGCCTCTTCCACGACAACTGGGCTTTCCACAGTGGCTTGGCTTTGGGATCGTGAGAGGATCGTACACCGATGATCTAAATCCCAGTTTTCTTGGGTTTGTAATGGTTCATAAATGATGGTGATTAATGGTTAATAATTAATGGTTTTCTCAATTGTTCTTGGTTTTTCTGAATCTTTTCCTCACATGTTCCGATTTTTGGAGGTTTTCTTGGTGTTTTTTGACGTTTTTCAGACGGGCAGCTTCACCAGCTGAGGCATGAGCACGCTGATTTGGAAGCACAAGCGGCTCGGCTCAAATCCGAAGTGGGAAGGTTCATCTATAGATGACCGTTTCTATTGATTATTATATATGGTCATATATGTATACAAATATGACATGGTTAATATATGGGGTTGTATAGATTAGCTGTCAGTTTTTATTGCTGATTTATTCGATTCTAGCTGTGTTATCATTCCGTATCTACTTGTGAAATCTTCTAAATGTTCAAAAAACAGCTGAGTTTTGTATGAAACTTTATTAAACAGCTAGCTGGGGACACTTTTTTTTACAGCACAAAGGGGAGTTTTTTGATGATCACTGTGGATGGCTCCAGGATGGCTCTCCCCTCAATCTCTCCCCTCAAATGAGTTGGAACCAAACTGTTTCCCTCCATGGAAACCCGACCTGGGAAACACCATCTCGAAAAGCAATGAAAATAATAGGTAGATCAACTATTTCGACTGGGCCAATTTCAATAGCTATGTAAGAAATTACCAGAGAGTATCTCCATTTACTAACTGGGGACTTCCTGGCTTGCAGATAACTTGCTGCAACTTAGCTATCGGGGCACATCTTGCATGTGTCATTTGTACATCATTTCTGATGGCTTTTACTAGGGCCATGCCATCCGCGAGGATCGCATACCCGAAGCCACCAATTGGAGCGCGTGGGGCAGCTGTGGCTGGGTCCTTTTCGGTGTACCCAAAAAGGATCAAGTTTAGCGGCAGTGAGGCCTGACCTGATCATCCTGATGGCGCACGTACGAACTTGTTAATTTGGTTGGTGATTTGGAACATGAATACATGATTTTTATTATATATATATATATTGGGAGTTTCATCATCCCAACTGACGAACTCATATTTTTCAGAGGGGTAGGTATACCACCAACCAGATTTTGTCTATGCCATTTGAATCTGAATTGACAGTGGCTTCTTTTCGCCAAGTGCTTCACCAAATGTTTCAGCAAGCCGCAAGCCCATCACCCGGCGATTCCAAGGAGGTTTTTTGCAGTTGCTATGTAGGATTCATCATTGATTCATCCCTCACTCTTTGGCCCCATCATATTGCGGATGGTTGTGAAATCCAAACAGTTGGTAGATAATTTTTCCTATTCTAATCCCATAAAAAATACGATCATGCAACAATATAATCCCACTATTTTATCACCATTTTATTAAATCACCATGATAATGACCATATGGTAACTACCAGCTCTTATTTATCACATTTTATCACCCTGTTTCATAGGAATCCCATTAGTTACCCTGGTGATTCGGAGTTCGGCCTCCAGGAGGCAACTGCACGTCTTGGATGTTTGCTGTAGGAGCTGCTGATCCGGAGATCCGCCGTGTTTTGGAGATCCAACTTGCGAAGCTGCACATCTTGGGGGAAACATCTGAGATGGATTGAAGAATATGATTATAATATGAATAGATATATATATATATAACTATATACACATGAATATGTATATATATATATGGTCACCCCCCCCAGAACCGACCAAAGCAGCAACTTTCTGTACTTTCCTGCAACTTGGCTCACATCCTTTAAACTTGGTTAACACCCTTTCAACTTGTCTGCTCTTCAAGTTGTCTGTCCACCACTTAAAACCATAAACAGAAAAAAACAGTATAAACCTCCATGTAATGATAACATAAAAAAATACTTTGAGTCTCTTTGGGGAGGACCCCATGGAGAGAAATCAAAAACACATTGAGAAAACCGAAAAAAAATAACAATATTTGGAAACTCTTGGTGGGACCCCCCCATCCCCAAGACCTCTGGAATATTGGGTTTTCTCGATGCTTTTTTTGCTTTGTGCCAATCCCCCCCATCCCCAAGACCTCTGGAATATTGTTTTGTTTTTTTGTTTTCTCGATGCTTTGGTTGGTTTGTGCCAATCCCCCCCATCCCCAAGACCTTTAGAATATTTTTTTGTTGTTTTATTTTTTTTGTTTCGCGACAAAATCGAATTGTTTTATGTTCTCAATGCTTTTTCTCCCGTAGCCATTAGCAGCTCCCAAAGTTTGCCTCACTGGTCTTCTGTACTACAACATGGGCCTGGTGCGCTTTACTTTTCGTCGCGCTTCGCTACGAAAAGTCATGATGAAGCCGAGCCTCCTCAAGGGAGCTGGCTTTGTCTGCCAGACGGCAAAGCTACTTGGACACAGACAGTCTGGAAATAATAATTTCTAATCTTTGATCATCGTTCATGTCTGCTTAAGTCATTCCATCCTCCCACGCTCTCAGGTTTGAACTTGAATCACTGCAGCCGCTTTCGGAAGCCGAGTCAAATGAGTACCTGGGTATCCGAAACATCTGTATCAGAAACGTCTCGTGCAATGATTTCTCTGTTCACCCTCTCTGTGCTTCATGTTGCCAAACCATTCACCCGCCAGGGTATGAAGATGACTTCTGGGAGCTGCTTGTTCGCAGTTCTTTGCCTGCTCTACTTTCTCCAATGCATGCTGGTCTTCCACTTGTCACGAAAGCTAGCGTCAGCTAGCTGGAGTCTTCTTGCTTTAGCAAGTATTCCGGGGGCTGCTCAAGGACATCACGTGATTTTTCACGCGAAAGGCCCCCCCCCAACCCCACCACCATCACCATCATCAGCATCATCGTCATCATCGTCCTCGTCATCGTCATCGGTTTCGTCATCGTCATCGTCATTGGCATCGTTCTCGTCATCAGGATCATCATCATCATCATCATCACCATCATCATCTCCTCATCCTTATCATCCTCCTCCTCATCATCATCATCATCATCATCATCATCATCATCATCATCACCATGCTCATCATCATCATCATCATCATCATCATCATCATCATCACCATGAGCATCATCATCATCATCATCATCATCATCATCATCATCATCACCATGAGCATCATCATCACCATCAACATCATCATCACCATCATCATCATCATCATCTCCTCCTCATCATCATCATCATTATCATCATCATCGTCATCATCATCACCATCATCATCATCATCATCATCATCATCATCATCACCGTCATTGTCAGTGTCATTGTCTTTGCCATTGTCTATGGCCCAAACTTTATACAAATGGAACTCTTGCGCCATATGCTTTACCTGGCAGGGCAGCGAGCCTTCCAATGGATGCGATCTTGCGCCACGCTCAAGACCTTCTGATCCTGAGCTGATATTGAAGAAGCATTGCAGAACTAGGACGCTGAGTCTTGGATCGGCTTGTCCTATACTGTAGTTTGCTTTTCATTGGTTGTCCTTCGCTATGTGTAGCTGGCTATATTCCCAGGCTGCCATCGCCCTTCGCTCGGAGCAGCTTGCCATGCACTTGGAGGACTCCATCGTCTATGGTAGCCCTCTGCGAGGGTGCTTTTTTTTGGGTTGCATAGTTGTTTTTCCGTGGTATGGGTTGATCCTGTCGAGTGTGGTGTCGGGATGCTTTTAGCAACCTCTGTTTCTAGGATCTCGCATCGCAGCGAGCCAGAAAGGACTGCAAAACTGCTCATAAACTGACCAGCATAAGAATTTATTCTTTGTCAGCTGTGCATTTTTTAGCAGGCTGCGGTTCGAAGATCGCGGAAGAAGCAGCAAAGCAAAGTCGCAGCGGCCTGAGTGTTTCATCCGCCGGGGGTTCCCATTGGCACGACTCCATGCTGTTGAGGAGAAAAAGGACAAGGCGGGATTGTGCTCATCTGACATTCCGTCGGACTCGTTTTTCCTTATGAAGTTCGTGCAAGCCTTCTTGAATTTCCAGTCCCTTAGCAGCCTGGATGGTGCCAGGCAGACAGGGCCGCGTTCTACCGGCTGCTTGAGGTCAGAGTGTTTTCAATTCTTGTCAAAGGATTGTGTGCTTCGCAGCTTTGTCAGGTGGAGAAGCCGAACCTTCTGAAGAGTTTGACGGACCGCTTCCTCCTGCTGCAGGGTTTCAATTGTTTACCATTCCAAACGTGTAGCACATGTATGCATACACTGTGGCAGTCAATCGAAGGGGTGAAGTGTCAGGTGAAAACTTGAACCGGGACAGCAAAATTGACTGAAAAGATTGACTTTTGCAGCTCCAGGTTTCTATGAGATGATTCGATCCAACAACAGTTTGTTGCGATTCAACGAGTTGTCCACTGCAATCACTTACCACTGGACTGTATGGTTAAATGTCTGCCAGGAGACGTGGGAGCAATTTCAACTTCGGAGTTAGCATGCAGCATGCTGGTCTTCCACTTGTTGTTGTGAGTCGCGGGTCCTTCGGGCCTGTGGTGCTTAGGTCTGCGTGGGCCTTTCCCAGAGAATGTGGTGGCCGACAGAGGACCCAGGACACCACCGGGAACGCCGCCGATGTCCCCGCGTACACCCCCTGGACCTCCACCCGGCAGCCCTACACTCTTTGCTCCAATGACGCCAACGGAGCTATTGGCACACCTTCTTCCGCCGGGAACGCCCGAAGAGGCGTGACGGATTGCGGCTCTGACTTCAGCATCTGTAAAAAAAAAGGGCGGCCGCGTTGCTCGCAGCATCTTGCAACCTATTATCTTCCACATTGTTTCCACTAAAAGATGTCAAATCCCTTTACAGATTTTCTTAAGGGTTTTTTTGATAATTAATCTTTTTCAAAAGCAAATATTATCTGGACCCTTTCCCATCCATGGAACCTCTGGAAAACATCTTATGGTAAAACACAATACTTTAAGTTCATATTCAAAGTGACCTTCTCCGCACGATGCAACCGACATGAACATTTCAGAACTAGCATCTTCCAAGAGTGACTTTCTTGCAATGTCAAGCCTGTACATGTGCATTCATGTCGCAAATTCTGCTTCACCTTGTATGTCTCCACCGCAGCCTTCTCTAGCTATCTGCGATCCAACTGCTTCCCAATTTGACATGGCGAACATGAGCACAAACTTCGTCGACAGCTTCAACAGGGAGAATGGTGAGAAGGATGGGGTCATCACCTTTGACGAGGCAGTGGTCCATGTGAACGGTCTCAAACTCAATGGACCTTTGACCAAACCACTGAAGTCGGACCGTGCAGTAGGTGACGTGAATGTGGGCGACTTACGTCTCAGGGACATGGTCGACATAGGTGGCAAACTGGAACAATTCGCAGATGTGAACCTCAACGTCCCGTTGGACCCTACACAAACATTCTGGGACAACACCATCTACCGTCTATGTGTGCAGGCCAAATACTCAGAATTGCCACCGCCATTATGCCTGAAGTCCAAGCCAGTTGTCCCTTATAGCATGCAGATCATTGTTCTCCCGTCTACCATTGCACCTGATCAAGATCACAAGTACGTCAACATCGTCAAGCATGTCTACCTGCACAAAAACAAACTATGGTCCAAGGATCGCATGTCTCTCTGCCAAGGTTCTCCTTTGAAGTTTGATTGTGGCTGCCAGCCAAGATGTGGTTTGATGGCTCTCAACCACATGTTTGACAGGATGGGTGGCATGCAGGTGCGCATCTGGTACATCTCAGCTAAGTTTGAGAAGATTATAGAATGCAGTCAGCCACAGTCAGATTAACAATCATGGGGGATATTCATGTTATGATGGCATTGTGAAATATTTGCACCACCAAGAACTGAAGCAACTGTGACAAATTTGGTTCAGCGGTTCCTCGCACAAGGTTAGTTGATGCAGTGGTGGTCCTACCTATAAGATCAAATTGATGTAAAAATAATCGCCGACTAACTTTAGTCTATTGACTAAAATGTAAAAAACTTTTTTTTTGCGAAATTTAATCGGCAATTATTTTTACATCAATTTGATCTTATAGGTACAATACCGAATGGTGTTCGCTTGACGTCTGATGCCTGGTAACCTAGTAAGTAGCCCTCGGTGCAGTGACACCATTGAATGACATGGGCATGTAAAAAATAAGAACATGAAGAAGCATCATGCAGGTCTGTCAGAGTTTTGATATTCTCCTGGGTCTTCGGTTTAAGTTTGGATAAGTTCCAATGGGGATCGATGGTTGGGGCTACAATGCGTTTGTACAACAAGGGTTTCTCAGCAAGTGAAGTTGGTCCAAGTGTACAGCCGAGCACTCAGTCACTCAGTGGACGAGACGGACTACAACAAATTGCTTTGCATCGGTTGCCGCACTTGACAATGGACCAGCACGGATCCACAGAGACCCGTGGTCCGAAGGGCAAAAGGAACACATTCATTGCTTGTTGCCCAGGTTACCGTTAGCCAGAATGAAGAAGGATGACTAAGGATTTTGATGGTGATGATGATGATGGATGATGGATGATGGATGATGAATGATGGATGATGGATGATGGATATGATGAAGAACGCGCTGGGTAGGATAGCGCCGACTTGGCCATTTAGCGGGCAAAAGCGGGCTGGCGCATAGGAAAGGCGAGCTGGCAACTCTAAATCTCAAACGCTGGTTGTTTTCATGTTGTTCCTCATGCTCATGAAAGAGCAATTAACAAACAATGGCCTGGATCCATCCGCGCTGATCTGCATTTTTTCCATTTGATTAAACGACCATTGGCGCCATTGGCATTGTGGAATACTTTCTCTTTGTCTTATGGTTACACAATTCACTGAAATCATGTTCCTGCAATACTTACGTTTGACCTACACGAACTATGTTACTACAACACATACATGTTAATATACCATCAAAAAATATAAGGAAAACTTGTTGCAAAGTAATCGACCAAAAAAGTGTGTGCTTTTTTGTAAATATCAGTGGAAATGTTGTTTTAATCGGTTCTGGGGGGGGTTAGCATATATATATATATATACAAATAATATACATATATATATATACAAATATATATACATATATTTATATACATATACATATATACATATATATATATATACATATTTATATACATATACATATATATACATATATACATATATATATACATATACATATATATATACATATATATATATACATATGTATATACATATATACATATATATACATGTATATACATATATATATATACATGTATATACATATATATATATATATGTATATATATATACATATATAGACATTTATATATATATACATATATATATATATACATATATATATACATATATATATACCTATATATATACATATATATATACACATATATATATACACATACATACATAGATATACATATATATACATGTATATACATAAATATATATGCATATATATATATACATATATACACATATATATATATACATGTATATACATATATATACATGAATACACACATATATATTTATGCATATATATACATATATATATATACATGTATATACATATATATACATATATATATATACACATATATATATATATGCATATATATACATATATATATACACATATATTTATACATACGTATATATATTTATATGATATGAATATTATGAATATGATATTTAGCATTGAAATTGCAATGAATATGATTGACATGGTGACATGCCTCAGTAGTTCATGCAGCATACCATGAGCCAATCTCCGCCAGGCTATGAGGCAATGGGATCGATTGGTTTGAGGATTACTTTTGGGAACCATGACAACTTTTATCTTGTCTATAATTTTTCTACAATGGTTTATAAGACAACAAAAAACATACAATAAACAACTCATTGTATACATCATATTACATCTGATTAGCATTTATGACTCATGACTCATGACCACTACTAGCAAAAACCATCGAATATGTCACAGGGTTTCGGGTTTTCCATGGTTTTCCTGTGAATTTCCCCTTGAACAAACTCCATATGGACGGAATTTGGTCGATCTCAGTTTTTCGGTCTCAGGAGTTTATGTATCCTCCTGATTAGCGTGGCTGTCTTGTTAGCCACCACCACAGCCTGTGCGTTGACACCGCCTATGCTGATCTTGGTCTACTGGTGGGGGTCTCAGCGGCAGTCACTGGAGTAGCCAGTGGCGAAATTGACTCCTGATACTGTGGAAGAAACATGGTGATAAAAAGATGGTAGTTACGATATGGTGATTATCATGGTGATTATAGTGGGTATGTGTTACATTATCGTAATTTTTTTTGGTATCATAATGGGACACACCATATACCAACTGGTGATTCGGATTTCGCAACCACAGTAAGATGGAGTTTTTAACGTGTTTTATTTCGCATCTGGGTTGGTTGGTGAAAATCTGTGACTCTGCTATCATTGGGATGTCACAAAAACATTCCAGTGATCTTTGTCAAAGCACAGCAGAAACAACTTATGATCGCGGAGAAAACCGCTGCTTGATTATGAAAGATTCAAATCGACAAAGCCCAGAGATCTCTTTTGCATATCCCATAGGATCCATGTATGCTATATATATCATATGGTTAGCATATACCATCAATATACCCCAAATGTTAGCATATATACCAGCACCATGGATCCTATGGGTATGGGAATGACCCAACACTAAACAGTCCAGTTCTGATGCCATTGCAATTCTTGTCAGCCGAATGCTTGTTGGGATCCACCACCGCCAACAAAATCACGTGGTGGTCCCCTGATCGAATTGTCCATGTCTTAAAAGGAGATATACCCTCTGGTAAACGTTTACATAGCAGAAAATCAGCATTTTGAATAGGTAAATATGGTAAATTAACTCCAAATGGGTTATTTTCTATTTACACAACTGTAACAAATTATCAGAGGGTATGATCAACCCCCCCAATGGTTATTTCACTGGGAACCTCTGGGAAGCTGGGATGATTATCAGCCCGTGAGAAGCCAAGGTTTGGGTGGATCATGTGGCTCTCCCATTTGCTCCAGCCCTGTGATGTACCTGGACAGTCGGACCGTGCTTCGATTTTTTTGATTTAAGCGACATGCACAGATGTGGAACGTGGTTTTCTTATGGTGGCTTTTCTATAAGAATATTGATTTATTGAATTTATACGTCAGAATACACGAAATATATTTAATTGTGTTGATCTTTTTATCCCTTTTTAAACCCTCTAAACGAACATAGATGTGGTTTTCACCTACCAACAAATCGAATGGTAGATTTCACATTCCCGCTCCAGCTCAAAGGTACGTGTCTCCCTCAAAAAAATTGTTTTGCCCTAGATTTAGTATATTATATGGTTGGGATTGCATAGGTATATATATATATATACATATATATATATATATATATGATGAAGCTCAAAGCTACCTTGCTGGCTCACTGCCTCCTTGCTAGCTCAAAGCTCAAAGCTACCTTGCTGGCTCAGTGCCACGTAGCTGGCTCAGTGCCACGTAGCTGGCTCAATGCCACGTAGCTGGCTCAGCGCCTCGTAGCTGGCTCAGCGCCACGTAGCTGGCTCAATTTTTTTAGCGAAAAAAAAAAGAAAAAAAAAAACCTCGCAGAAATTGAGCCGGCTACATGCCCTTGAGCCGGCTCGCCAATGCGTCATGAACCCGGCCAATACATAGTTAGTATTCGTTTTGATGCTCTCACATTCGTCCGCCAGCTCAACGTGACGTAGCTGGCTCAATTTTTTTGGTGTTTTTTTTTTTCGTTGAAAAAATTGAGCCAGCTCGATGCCATTGAGCTAGCTCGATGCCCCTGAGCTAGAGCGATGTGTTTGAGCGAGCTCGATGGTGCTGAGCCAGCTCGTTGCAGTTGAGCGAGCTCGCAGAAACTTCCCAATGTGTTAAATTGCCAGGTTCAGTCCCCACTGATGACTTTAGTACTAGATATGGTACCTCTGAAAAAGCCCAAGGTGACTGTCAAAACATACCCCTGATGAAATTGAGCCAGCTACATGTTTTGAGCTAGCTCGAAAAAATGGAAGATTGTGGGTTCCACCATTCAAACAAAAATGTCATTGCTCCGTTCAGGGGAAACCAGCCAGTTTTTTTCCACATCTTGGCCGTTCTTTTACCAAACCAGGATCAAAAACTGCTGATCACATCCATGATCAGGCTGCTAAGTGATCCAAATAGGCATAAAGGAACGTAATAAATGAACATAAACTCACACGCATGAACATACTACAAACATAATCTAAACATATTCATATTACGAACAAAACATAAACAAAATATGAATCAGGATGCACAGAGTTTCAGCGTCGGATTCTGTGTGGATTCCACTCAGGTTCCCTTGGAGTCATGGCTGGGAGTCTACCTGTGCTATCTGACCTTCATGTACATGTGCAGACCAGTCCTTTTTCAGGCAGGGATGGGTACGTCTCCCTCCTTCTGTTTCTCAAAATGGTTTTTGTTTCACAAATCTCAAGAACACAACTATATATAATTATATAGTTCTATAATAGATAGTAATCCCATGCAACTCCGGAAAAGATAGGAAAGTGATTTATCTATCTTTTTTTGGCGTTATAAAGGCAACATTTTAATATGTAGAGGTTGGCCAATTTGCCCAGCATACATTGAGTCATGCAGGTCTCTGAGGAACGACCGTGGAAGAGTACGTTGGAACGGCTGAACCCCGTTGTTGCCTCATGGCCCCTTTTGGAACCGTTGGTCAAAAGGTCATACCATTCCTATACGTAGCCTTAACCCCGACCCCTGGGGACCTGAATACGATTGTGGGAGAAGATCAGCTTGGGTGATGACTTGTTTGTTTTCGGCACTGGAGGATGACACAGGAAATGATGATCATAAAATCATCCTGAAGTAGATATATAATGATCAATGGACTATGGGATGTTCAAAGATGTTTGCATTTCTACTACAGGATGATATGTGTACACATATATATATATACACAATCATACACAATCATATATATAATTATATACATATACAGATACATAACATATTATTTACTGTATACATATGGGTTTTACTATGTTTTGCTGCCCATTTTATCAGCTTGGTCATCTCAGATGAATGGCTTGGACATGGGGTTGGCAAACATCGTGAAGGGCAGCTGTTGAACACGCCGGTTGGCAATCCAGAACTTACCCTCTGGTAAACTAACAGTTTGCTATTGAAAATGGCCATTTATATTGGATTTACCCATTGAAAATAGTGATTTTCCATAGCTATGTTAGTTTGCCAGAGGGTATCATGATCTTGATGCTGTTTTATTGAAGATTAGACTACCATGGGTAGACCTAGTGACGGGGACGACAGCCAAACGGCACCATGGAAATCCAAAGTCACCAAAGAATTTGAGCGGCTGCGATCTACCCCTGTTGCTTGAGGATTAGTTTCTGGGTTCGACTACCCAATTTTTCGTGGTGATTTTCGTATTTTGTTTCATAATCCATGCTGGAAATCCAGTTCTTGACCAACCAGTATTTCAACCAGTATTTCATGGAATGCCATGAAAAGTGGCTTATGTACGCTATTCATTAGTATGGTATATGTGCAATCATTAGCCACCATATGTCCCACATAAGTTTCATATATGGCCCATTTATAGATGGTTTACCTGGGTTTACCTATTAAAAATGGGTGGATCTTTCCATGGCTATGTTAGTCATAACCAGATGGTATATGTACGCAATCATGGCTAAAAACAGATCCAAACTCACCCGCCGGCTGAGGCTGTGCTGTGGCTACTCTATGGCCGCAGCCTCTTGCTGAAGTCAAAGACGCCTGGAACCCGAGATCCCGGGCTCATCCTGTGGATGAAAAAACACGGACCTGTGGTATTTGAAATGAAAAATATGTCAACCTGATATAGACAAAAACACTTGTTTTTTTTTGGTATGTGTGTCCATTAAACCAACCCAGTGATATGTTCATAAATGTTCTACTGCAAGATGTTCGGCACCCTAAGGTAAGGTACACCCCTAAGCTTAACATTGAATCCTTCTTTCATGGGGTCTGGAAAAGAACTGCCATATTGGTTATAGCCACAAATATATGCGTAACTTCAATGCCATATTGCTGGTTGTATATCCCATCACATTTCTCATCTATTGAAAGAATCAATCCTTATTTCCGATATTGATATATATATATATATGATATATATATCATTGTAATATCCTTGGAGATTGTTGGTTCAAAGCCTTTTTTTCCAACTCAATCCCCAGGTAGCCATGTGTTTTTTTTCCACCCGTTCTTCCCTTGCTGGAGCCATCTGGCTAGCTATCGCAACCCAGGTGTGCCGAGACCAGCCCCTCGATGGTGGTCTTCCTTCGCTGGTTCTCGGTTTTAGCACTACTTCTGCATGGCCTGCATTGTGCATTGCTCTGCGCCAACAGTTTAGGCCATGCGAAACGCTTGATTTTTGTTGGTTTTTGTTGGTCTTTTGGGGGTTGAAGTAACAAGAAGATGTGAACAGTAGGAAATGGATATGGTTTGACATTGTTTTAAAACCACCAAAAATGAGGTTGAACCAACAAAAATATACAAAATTGGTCAGGAAAGCAACGAACTACAAGTCATGGAACCCAGCCGATGAAAGCCAGATGAGCTCTACTTTGGATTAGCTCTACTTTATATTACCCTCCGTTTTACTCACAGAAATGGCTGTAAATGCATCGTGACTATGTATTCTTGTGTATACATATATGTATATATATATATTATACGGATATATGCATATATATATATATTATACGTATACATATATATATATATATATGTATATATATATATATGTATGTATGTATATAGATATAGATATAGTCCAGTCAAGAGTTCATGACTGATTACATTTTGTCACAGCATTGTCATGGCTATAGACGCACTCGTCTTTTCATGGAAGTTGTCATCGTTTCAGAAGCCGCCCTAATAACGTTAATATTCAACTACTCCAGAATGGATTGCCTCTCAATTGCGAACTCCGAATCGAACTATACCGTTTCTATACAGTTGTGAATGTCATATCTAATCATTGCGGATGAAACCACTTGGTGCATCAGTTTTGCCGTAGCGTGTAATAGCAACCCCCAAAAAAAGATGCGGAAAAGTGGCCTCGTCCCGCGTACTAAGTAGGTTATATCCCTGATTAAAGGGTGGCTTTTGTAGGCTTCATCCACTGATCACTAGGGTCGTAAGTTATAAGATTTTATAAGCTATACTTAGCAAGTGGGATGAGCTACAAAACATATGGGGTCTGAAAATAGGCTAACCAATTCATGGTTTAATCCATGTTCCATGGATTGAATACCCCATTTCCAGACACACCCATATATCACCATATATCATATTGTAAGTTTTGTATCTCATTGTATCAGCATGATATTCCTTAAATCAGCCTATATCACCATTTTTACTCCTTAAATCCCATTTAATCCCATTGGATTTCCTTAAAACCATAGAAAACCCCCATGAAATCCCATGAAATCCATTTTGTTCATGGTTGAATCCCAATAAACCATGTGTGATTTTCCAAACGGGCCGTGTTGAGGCGTCCGGCTGTTGTTGCTGCTGGCACGTCACGGCTGGTTGCCCTTCGTGGCCGAACGAGGTGGTCGACTGTTCTCAGGGGCGCCTGAGGCTGTTGAGGCACGACGCAGTTTCTTCATGGCTGGTTGATGGTAATGGGATAATGTGGAAATATATAGGTATGGAGATATATATATATATGTATATCAGTATATCTCTATATATAAATATATATATATATATATATATCAGTATGTATATATATATATATGTATATATCTCTCTCTCTCTATATATATATATATTTAGGGAATATATATATATACTGGTTGGTGGTTTGGAACATGAATTTTATGACTTCCATATATTGGGAATGTCATCATCCTAACTGACGAAGTCATATTTCCCCACATCTTTGTCTGGGGTTCTTGTTTTTGGTTGTGCACTTCCGCCCTGCCCGCCCGCCTCCCGCGTCCCGCCCGCCGCTCACAACTTGTCCACACACAACTTGCTCACACACAACTTGTCCACACACACAACTTGTCACACACACAACTTGTCCACACACAACTTGTCACCACACAACTTATCCACACAAAGGCTGATTTGTTTGGGGAAAATCTGGAGGAACTTGCTGGAGAAACTTGCTGCCCGAACCGGTTTGACTTACTTTGTACAATTTCGCTGGGCAATTTTCACAGTATGACAATTGATTTCCATTCAGTTGATTTCCATTCGGCATATTCTCCAGCAACGAGTTTCGAATGGTGCGCGTCTAATGCATCTAGGTAATTCAGCAGTTTCTATCCCTTCGCTGTTTTCGAAACTCGGAGTTATATTTGATGATCTATGATTAGTATTTACTCATTTTCAATGTTCGATATTTTTCGGTTAGGAATCCCACTGACGATTCCTGGCGCTCCAGCTGTGACACTTTCCCCTGAGTTTGTCCATGGGGGATACCCCCAATTTTTTTATATTGCAAGTGCAATAGGAAGAAATGATGATCAACCAACGGTTTTTGGGGCGTTTAATAACATTTGGGACCCCAAAACAACATGAAACAATCATGTTCCAACAGCATTCGAAGGAAGAATCCCGCATCCCTTGGAGTTTTTTGGGACTTTTCCCGATTTCCATTCCGGGCAAAACGCGTTGTCGCCTCTATTCGGTGACTCATTTTTTATCTGTTGCGAGGCCATGGAAATCCTGGAGTATGATCCCAAAGTCTTTGCGGATCCGACTGAAGCTTGGACTTGTTGATCCTGGTGGGATGGATTTAAGTGAAATTTTCAGCCCCTTATATTTATCTATACAGGTTCATCATGATTCATCCATATTTTGTATAATAAATATGGGATATTGTATATATACATATTGTGGGACTATGTTAATGAAATATCTATAGATATCCCATATCTTAAGTGATGTGGTCGCATTTTAAGGGATATGTTTTTGGGATATATTTGGGGAGATGGGATGACCATGACATATTGATGACCTGTGCTTTCCAGGACCCACTGGACTCAAGGCCACAAGATGAGTGCTGCATCTGCCTGGAGTCCTACAGCGGAGAACCTTCCAAGATGATCCGAAAAACGCCCTGCGGACGCTTGGCTCAAGGCGATCAACGGGGGATACCCGGCCTGGTAAACAGCCACATAGCTATTGAAAATCACCATTTTTAATGGGAAAATCCACTATAAATCACCATTTTCAATAGCTATGTTAGTTTAAAATCCTCTATTTCAATGGCCATTTTCAATAGTTTTTTGTATGTTTACCAGAGGGTACCATGGGGTTTCCCCATGATGAAACATCACTCGGCGATGACAAGCATCATGGCAGTCGTAATGAAATGTAATGAATCATATATACCATGAATATGTGTGAATATGATGGGGAGGCCTGGTGATGCTGGGAAAACTATCTATCTTCGACATGCATGCACCTTGGAGCCTTGCCATGTGGCTAGCGGCACACGAGAATGTCAAAGCGATGTTGCTCACGAACCAGCAAACCAGCAAACCAGCATCTCCCTTTTAGCACTGATTCTTCTGATTCTGTTTGTTCACTGATTTGGATTACCACGACATTGTTCTCACAGCCCCCAAAAAAACAGGGACGATGATCCCAAGTGACTGACACCGCCCAGCTATGCCCAGCATTCTCCAGCTCTCAGGACATTTGATGCACCATGAGTGCCTTAAGATCCTCGCACCAGGGGGGTGTTGGGTAAACCCAAACCATCCATTGAAATTGGGAGTCTTCCCCTGAAATTTCAGACACACTCAGCCTCAATGAGCTGTGAAAGGGAATGATCAAAGTTTCACAGATGGAATCTTGTGCCCTGGGAGCAAGCTATAGCTGGGTCATGGCCCATTTTTTTTAGCCAGTTGATTGGGTTTTTAGGATGACCTAGAAGAGAAAGTCAATAGATCTATTGATAGGTTCTACGGTCTTGTAGAGAAACTATCAAAAGTCAGCAGATCTAGTATCAAACAATATTGAAACTACCAAACATGAATCCATTTGATGTACTTTTTGATTCTCTACTCAACTAAAAATCCATGGAAGACCAACGTGCTTGTCCACGTTGGTCTTCCAATGTCGGGCTCATCACCGGTGGATCCCAGAATATCCGTGATGTTTTTGGTTCGGGTGAATATGAACTTAACTGCTTCAAGAGGCATGCCAAAAATGTGTTGTTGTCGTTGTCGTTGTCGTTGTCGTTGTCGTTGTTGTTGTTGTTGTTGTTGGATAGAAAGTATTAAGGATCGTTTTTGGGAAAAACGCCACTGATTTTTTCCATGTCATGACAAGTTCCACTTAAGCTCTTGTCAAACTCTGCAGTGCCTTGATTCATTTACATACACTAGCACATATATATATATATACCCTCTGATGAACTAACATAGCTATTGAAAATGGCCCATTTTTTATGGGAAAACTCACTATTTCGACTGGGCCATTTTCAATAGCTATGTTAGTTCACCAGAGGGTATATATATAATATATATATATATTATGTGTATAACATTTGAAAACCCTCTTCCCATCCCTTGGATCTTGGATCTATCTATAAACATTGTCTGTCTATGAACATCTATCCATCGATAACCATCTATCTAAATCCTATTCTAATCTAATCTAATTCTAAATCTAATCTACCTATGCATATATAATATATTTAATAATATCTTTGACAATCTATAATTGGTCTGTAATATATATATATATGTAATAGTATATTTGTCTATCTTGTCTATCTTTGATAATCTACCAACCAGATATAATATGATCTTCGATGTAATATATATATATATATGTATCAACATATATCATGATCATCTTAGTATTGCAATGATCAACTATATATTATAAGTCGATATTATATATATAATATAATAGAACTAACATATATGATAGATAGATAATAATCAAAGATATATTATATATATATATATCACATAATAATTATGATCATGATCTATTATATTATAATCTTCCAACCAGATAATAATCTCATCTAAGTCGATCCCATCGAGGACCTGGCTGGAAGCCTCCAGGACCTGTCCTTTCTGTCGTCGGAACCTGGCGGAGCGCCACGAGCGAAACGGCGGCCACAGCCACGGCGATGCCCATGCGGCGTAGCTTAAAAGGACCGGCCTTGGACGGGAATCCCCTTGGAATCCCCTTGGGGTGGCGAAATCCTTGGGGTTTTGGGGCGAATTTGGCGGAATTTTGGCTGAATTTTGGTCCATGTTCGATGGAAACTCGCTATTTTTCATGAATAAATTCCTACCATTTTTACTGGGTTTTAAGATGTTGAATTGCTGAATTTGCTGTTTCTCAAGCTTCTGGTGAGTTTTCAGAGATGATATGAAAACAAAAAAATAGGCACGTGCTGAGGTGTTTTTGGGACACGCAGGGAGCCTCTAAATCTGTCGACATGCTCCATGCAGATGTACGGTAGGAGGTGATGAACCCTCCTGGGAATTGATTCAACCAGCCTCCGGAGCCTGTCATGGGGGGGATGTACCACCGGCCACACTAAGAGAATCTAGAGACGTTCCCCTGTATGGGGGGGACATGCTATCAGAGGCTATTTGGGTCAGAGGCTATTTGGCTATCCACCAAGTCGAGTCCTCCAAATGTAGAAATCGTCGAGTTTTTTGGGTCCCACGGCTACTGTGACCCACGCAGAAGCGCACGAATCATCTTGGCTCGGGAGGTTCCAACAGGTTCCAACAGTAGGAGTCAACGAACAAACATTGTGAATCAACCAGCAATTTCTGAGAATTAGCAACTGCATGCAGTTTCATGCAATTACCAATCTTGGGAGATATCCAACCAAATGAGGAGTTAATTGGAGTTACTCAACACTTCCCACCGCAACTGAAACACTTCCGAAATCGGCTTGATTTCGATAGCAGCCCTATCCCATCCCATCATCCAAAAGTCCCAGTCGTGGTTCCATCCCCTCCAAGAAACCATGGGTAAATCTGGTGCTTCATATTGGGAAGGGATTATTTAACCATGATCAACCGTGATCTTAAACAATTCCTATACCATTATATCATATTGTATCACCATGAAGATCCCATGAATATCCCATTCAATTGGTGAAGAGCTAAGTCAAGTTACGACAGCTCAACGATGTCACGATGTCGCTGGGATTGGGGGGAATCATCCACAGACGAAAAAAAAACCTCGGTCAATGATGACCAGTTTTTCAGCGAAAAAGATATGTCTCCCTGAAAAACTGATGGTTTATTTGAGTTTATCATCATTTTCACCACCCCGGTTTATTTGAGTTTGCGATGAGTTTTCTATATGATGTTCCTGTCATTCAACCAGGGCGTACCTGAAATGGCCATTGATTGCTGCATCCAAACGCGCCATGCTGCCACAAAATGATCAGCGGATAGGTGCGACTATGAAACTGGGGATGGACGTCCATAATTGCAATATGAATCGATATGAATCGTATCCCCATATCAGTGGATAATATCCACTGATTATTAATAGGGGATATGAACATATAGTATCCCCATATCATAATCTCTGAAAATCATAATAGGGGCAATTATGAATCATCAGTGGATATGGGGATACTATATTTTCAGAGATTTTTCCTCCTTGAGGACCACTTTTTTCTGGAAGTCTGTTTCGTACATTTTGAGGATCAATCTTTTTGGAACTGAGGTGCTGGGTTCAGAATGGAGGTCAGAAAGCAGTTAGATACAACAGGGGTTGGTAAATGTCCTGTTTGGGGGATTTGTTTCACATCACTTTCGAGTATTTGTTGGTGATTATATCCCCAATAGTTGGGTGATGTTCAAAATTAGGACATTTACCAACCCCTGTACAAGATCGCCTCATATTGAACCATAGTTGTAAATGGAATTTGGAATTTGGTTATTGTTATCATTGAGTTGGGCCAAGTGTCAGTTCCAACTGGGTGCTATATCCAAACTTTTTAAAAAACAGTCAGGCAGGCGGCCTGGTCGTATGTGCATCGCACAGGATCTGGCTCGAGTAAATTTGGAGCGTGGTCCACCTTTCATGTAGCCTCTGGTAATTTAACATAGCTATAGAAAATCACCATTTTTAATGGGAAAATCAACTATAAATGGCAATTTTCAATAGCTTTTTGTATGTTTACCAGAGGGTAGCTCATATATTTTTGCCTTTTGGGACCAAAACATCCAATCTGCAGTGTAAACACCTTCGATCTCGACCACAAAAAGGCATCAGACAAACGCCTGTAGTGAGAGGAAGTCAGCACGCAGGATCTCAAATAATTCAATGCTGACGACGATACAGTGACGACACAACTGCCAAGAGCTATTGATGAACCATGTCTTGTGCACCCAACACGTGAAAGAATTTGAGAACAGATCAGGACATCAAACATTAAACTAATTCGAAACGTCAGCAACCACAACTGGAATTCCAGGATACATATTATAGATTATTTATGTTATAGATTATTTATGTATGTACAGGCTATATTTCATACATGAACAATACGCATCTGATCATCGACAACTGATGTGGCTACCAGCACTCCGTTGAATCAGCATGAAGGCTGGGTCCACCAGTATGTCCTATGGAAAGTCACCACTTTTAAGTAAACCAAATAGGTAAAGAATCTATAAATTGGCTAGATATTAGTAGGCAAATAATCTATTCGTAGTGATAATTTACCTGATTTACCTAGTTTGTAATCATCTATAAATCAGGAAAGTCCGTCCATAGCTATGTTAGTTTACCACAGGGTATATTGAGATTCCGAATTCCCCTCTAGCTCATTTCAACAGCAAACGAGTTTTCTTCAACATTTAGAATCGGAGTGGAAAAAACATGATTTTGTGAGACAGTGGGATGCAATGGGATATTTTATCAAGAATCAGAATATGGTTTTGGTGGGTTTATCCAATTTATTGGACATCCTGGAAGCCCAAAGATTGGCATTTTTTCCATTGGAATTGGGGTGCGCTGTGCCCAATTTTCAGGGCATTTGAGTGATTGCATGGTGGTAAAGTTCTTGAGGATGTGACAGATGCCATGGCTACATGGCTACCAAGATCCGCTATGTTGGTGGATGTTGGGCAGCCTTTGGATCTCCAGGGTATCACTGGGTTGCTTTCACATGTTGTTGATGCAAAAGACGAAAAAAACTAAGAGATTTCATGTTTCTCTGGTAGGCCAAACACAGATGAAGAGTTGTGATTCCCAATTCCTTCCAGAGATACTTTTGTTGTTGCTTTGCTACTTTTGTTGTTGCTTTGCTACTAATTCGCCGGCTCTACCATCAAACACAGATGTATCTGATAAATTCTCCCTTCAACCAGTTCTATGATATTCTATGACTCTCTAGATCAGCTTCGCTTCCTTTTCCCATTTCTGGTAACTTTTACGGAGTTCCTCGCAGAATTTTAGCGATGAAAAACCCTTGGTGCCCTGTGGAAACCACATCTGGAGGCCTGTTGTTTGCTGGAATTTTCCCTTGTTGCCATGATCCATGAACCCTTATCGATTTTGATTTAATTATAGGAACTCCCAAAAAGATAGAAAAGGAGCCTCCAATTCATCCAATCGAACAACAAATCTGAGTAGAACCTCTGATAGAACTATTAATAAAAGCTATATATTTCTCATAGTAGTATTTTCTTAGTAACCTAACAATACTACTGGGTGGTGGTTTCAAACATTTTTTATTTTCCATAATATATGGGATAATCCTTCCCATTGACTAACTCATAGTTTTCAAGATGGTTTTTTAACCACCAACCAGACCATATACTAACCATTTCATAATGAGTTTTCCCATAAAAATCGCATGGTGGATCTTTCCAGTTCGTTTTCTGTAAACGTTTACCAGGTCGGGTAAATCCTATTAAATCCCATTAAACCACCATAAAATCCCATTAAGTCCCATGAAACCTCCATTTTCCTATGGGTTTTCCTACCGACCACATACCGACCACGCGAAGCGTCGGCAGGTTCCTGGAAGTTGGACGCCGGTGCAGTACCTCTGGAAGTCCCGGGTTCCGTTGATTGCCGTCGCCCGGCGGCATGGGATGGTGAGCAACGCGGAAACATGACATAGATCTAAAATAGACATGAATAGATATGAATAGAATATATACATATATAAATATAGATATGGGCCTTAATTCAGGTTAGTGAATTATTATATATACCCATATGCTCCATATATGGAATATTTACCAACATTTGCCCTAAAAATGTAGGTAAATATACCATACATGGAGCATATGGGATATGTAATTGATTAATTTAATGTCATTTATATTAATTGTATATTACAATGTTTAGAATTATACAATATATATATATTATATAGACATATGTGCATGTCACTGAAGAGTGTATTCGTATTTTGGATGGTATCCCAGCTGGAAGAGGGTCGAATCTCTACCGACTCTAGGAGTTCGTCGACAGATAAGATGATGATCCCAAGCAGCGAGGACTTTATGAGTTTTGAGGTTGCAAATAGATCAAATACAGTACTGTGGATGGTTGCAAAATCCGAATCACCAGTTGATAGATGGTAAACATCCTGTTATTTTGTTTGGGTTTCAACCCTCCTTTTGGCGGGGAGGATTTCTTCCATCCACAGTAGTGTACAAGAAACAGGCCCATTTCAACATCTTTCCCATTTCTGGATTTCATGAAATTATCATATCTCCCAGACTAGCTGGTGAAAATTCAATGCTTGAATGTGCCACATATCAGATTTTTGCTCAGAAGGACACATCTACCGTTTGGTAAACTAAAAGTTTGCTATTGAAAATGGCTATTTATAGTCGATTTACCCATTAAAAATGGTGATAGTTTTCTGTATGTTTACCAGAGGGTGCACCGGAGGAGATATCTCATGGGTATCTCTATGTCTTCCACTAGGAAACCAGACTCAGGGCCGTGTGTGCCATGCTCAAAACGATGATCATGCCGCCCCCATCTTAGGAAGAAGTAGACGAAATGAACCGGGAATCCCAATCGCATTGGTGGCATGACCACAGCCCAAAGATGATCTCATTCAGTTGGTTATAATATCTCATATTATGTCATTAATGATATATCCAAGCTACATATGCTACATGCCAATGCCAATCAAAAAGCGAAACATCCCAGGTTGGTGAAAAAATCCCATACAGAAACCATGTCACAAAATGACGCCATGTCTCGCCATGTCTCCACCTCTCGAGGTTCCAGTCCTCATCGGTTTGCAGAACTGGCACGCTGAACATCCCAGCGACACTGATGCGCTGGGCACGTTGGGCGCCGAGGACACGTCTGGAAAACATATGAAGATATAGAAAAAAAGAGATCATGAACGTTGAACATGAACATGAAGCTATAGTTTTTTTTTTTGTTTATGTTTTTTGAATGTAATTATATACAATATTATATACATGTTGTTCCACTTCTATTCATGAAGATTTTTGGAGATGTGTTCCATGAAACAAATTTTATGCTGCCTTGTCTAACTCAGGCAGAACATTCTCGTCGAGGTGCTGTTGCTGTTAGGCTTGGCACTTGGAACAGGCTGGGACCCCTGGGGAAGATGAAAGAACTACACCGTTGAAATAAACTTTGTAGATGTTGTGACAAAAGGGTGGGGGCAATTTCCAACATCATGTCAGGTCATTGTTTACATGTTAGGTCTCCATGTTTTTTCACGCTTTGAAGTTGTTTCCAGTTTCAGGATGCTTCAAAACACTGCCAAAAGATCCGAAGACAACAAGTTTATAGATGTGTTTTTCTCCGTTGTTTTTCCGTCGTTCTGGCTATCTCCTTGCGTGGCCTGTGGTGCAACTTGGTTAGGCTACCTGCGTCTACCATTTTCCATCACGTGGTGGCTGGTTCTGCTGGCGGCCTATGCCATTCAAACCAGGCGGGCCAAAGGAGCTGGTGACATCTGGTGCCATGTGTACGGCGTGATGGTCGGCCCTGACAATGATCCTCCTCATTGATGGTTATTAATATACTAACGATGGTTATTGATGGTTATTAATGGTTAATATAATCTATAATCAACTATTCAATGAATAGGTAAATCAACTATAAACATAACTGATTGGTGGTTTGGAACATGAATTGTATTTTTCCATTCAGTTGGGAATAATACTCCGATTTGACACATATTTTTCAGAGGGGTAGGTCAACCACCAACCAGCTAACAATGAGACCAGTATTGCGTAGCGATAATTACCATCATCATGATGCTCCTACCATCCTTGGTTTTCTATCCCCATGAATCCAGACACAGCCAACTATCATGAACTTCAAGTTCATCGTCTATCCCACTAATTCCAAGTATTTCCAATTACATCCATATTTCCCAATTGTATTCCCATTATATTCTTGTTGAGTTCCCTTTTTTCACCGCAATTCCAATGAAATTTCCATGAAAGCCTCATAGAAAAATCTCAAAAACTCCAGCTCCAGGTTCCTCTTGGGCGTCGCCACCGTTCTATCGCTCTCGGTGCTTTTGACTTGGTATGGTCTGCGGTTTCAACACGCTGCGGCCATTTCGGCCTTGTGGGCAGGAGAAAACACAACGACTTCGCCGGCACGGCCGGGGGGTAGGGGCCCAACTGCCAAAACGTATAGAAAACGAGAAAGACAAGGGTGTTCTGGTTTCTGAGGAGTAAAGATTCTTGGAATAGAGTTCACACTGTTCACATGTTTTATGTTGTTTCATGTCGCAGAAATGAGTGCTGCGCTTCGGTAATGGCCAAGAAGTACCAGTTGGACATCTTGAAACTCTCCAATCACTGCGGCTCGCTGCAGTTTGCTGCGAATCTCTCAGTAATTGTCGGTCAAAGTTGGCTTCCGAGTCCGGGTAATGCAAACATTGACCACTATTAATCGGCCCAAACAATCAAGAAGCCGATTTTTTTTAAACATGTTGTCGTAAACCATCCCCAATTTTCATCAATTTTCGCAATTTTACCATGAATGGATGGTATAAACCATGAACATATGGATGGTTTATGATTGCTTTACCAACATGACTATCCTCAGTCTATTCACCGACCACCACTATTTTCCAATGCCAGGATCGACTGGTCGTGTTGCGCAGGAGCCCCGATGACCAGCCGCTGGTGCCGGGTAGCGTGGCAACTCTGGGATCTGTGCGTCCATCTGTGGCCGGCAGTGATGATGATCTACAGCCATGGGCCCAGCCGCTCGGCGCTGCTGGGGGATGGAACTTGGTGACCTAGGTGGTACCCTCTGGTAAACGTTAACATAACTATGGAAAATCACCATTTTTAATGGGAAAACTCACTATTTCAATGGTCATTTTCAATAGCTATGTTAAATTACCAGAACTAGGTCCTAGGTGGATCTAGGTGATAGCTCTCTGTTTTTGTGAGTCAGTTCTGGCAAAATGGTTTGATGGCAAAACCTGAGTTTGACCTGGCTAAGTCCACCCAGCCGTTTTGGCGAACAGGGGATTCTCATCATCAACCAGGATCTGTCCATGGAATCAAGAACAGCCAATGGTTAACCCCTATATTTAACCTCTATATTTAACCCATATATTAATGCATCCATTTTTGTTTGCTACTGCTATTTGCTATTTCATGGAATCCCACCCCTATCCATCAGCAGGTTGGTGAGTCAGTTCTGTTAATTAACAACTTACAGCTTGCTCGAATCAAATATTTGAACCGTTTATACTTACAACTCATTGGGATATTCCCTCACATGGCCCTAAAAACTACCCTCTGGTGATTTAAGCTATGGAAGCCATGGCCCATTTATAGATGATAAGAATGATGATTATACCTATCAAAAATTGTGATTTGATACCCTCTGGTAATTTAACAGTTTGCTATTGAAAATGGCCCATAGAAATAGTTGATTTACCTATTAAAGATGGTGATTTTCCAGTTCGCAAACTGTTAAATCACCAGCGGCTTATGGTAGGTACCTCCGGCCTTAGGCTGTGCTCGCTGCAGCCTGACGGACCGGCACAGGTTGGACCGCTCCGGCCACAGCCGGCGTGGTGACACCCCTCAGTGCACTGGTGGCGCTGCCGATGTCCTTGACGTGGCTCTGTGGGTGCGCAGTGGACAACGGAGGGGGAGAACATGGGCGGTACCTGGATGGTACCCTAAAATAGCTGGTGAATGTATTTTTTTCCCCCCAAAATGTAGTAATGATAGGTTTCCTAAGTCCAGTACTCTGAACTTTCCAAAGTCATGGGGGTACTTAGTATTGAAAGCCATGGTGACTTGGGGATCCTTCATTTTAATAAAACCCCATAGAGATGTGGATTTTTTCAGGTTTGATGGAAAAAATCCACTGGAAAAAAAATCATCTATAAATGGAACATCCAGACTTTCAATGGCCATATCATGGTTATATGACCAACCATATGGTGATTTGTGTAATGGACATATGACCCAGCAATAGTCTTAACCCCTGATTTTGCTGACCCCCTTGGTGTATAAATTGGCGGGTACCAGTTTTAATCCTAATTTAACACTAGTTTGGAGGTAACGCTCCTGATATATCCTTTTGTAGGGTCAGGGGTTATTAATCCGGTGTTGACACTATAGGTGGAAGCAGGAAAACTGACAGCTTCAGTACTAAACTTATACTAAAATAATCTACACTGTACCAAGCAACATACCAAATTTATGTTGTTTAGTGCTGAACTTCCCAAAACCCATCCGTTTTTGTGAGGCTGAAAACCCAGAGTTCGACCTGTGCCACTTTATAGAGAGCATCGCACCTGTAAATTTTTGCTGCAAAAAAAAGCAAAATCCTAAAATCCTATGCTCTGTTAAGGTTGTTGCTGATTATCTGATTCCTATATGAATCCTACATACCCTCTGGTAAACTAACGTAACTATGGAAAATCACCATGTTTAATGGGAACATCCACTATAAATCACCATTTTCCATGTCGCTTTTTGTATGTTTACCAGGCCGGGTAGTTCCATTCAGATTCTTTAATTGTTAGCACCCTCCATGATTGGTTGGATAGGAATCGAATCCTCAGAACTGGTGAATCCTTTGAATCGCTATGCTAGCTGCGTGTACATTAACATGTACATAAATCATAGATGTGTATATCATTAATATAGACTGCCACTATTTTTGCCATAATAATTATACTATATTAATCTATATTATAATATACATATACTGTATATGCTGTATGTATATATATATATATATATGTACGCACACATAGGCTACTAGATCCTGGCAACGGCACCTTTCTTTGTCAGGCTCAGCCTCGGTCTGACCGAGGATGCGATCCGACAGGGTGCGCTGCCGATGATGACCACTTTTTTTTAATTTCATGGCCAGGAAAAAGAAAAAGATATGTTTAAATAACTGGTAAACTATAGAAAATCACAATTTTGAATAATTAGGCAAATCAATGTAAATCAACGAATTTTAAATAATCATGATACCTAATGATCATTAATCATAACAAACATTAATGATACCTAATTATACATTCCACCTACATGTGATGTTCAGAAGCACGTTTGAAAGCTGGTTGGTGGTTTGGAACCATGGAATTTTATGACTTTCCATAATATATGGGAAGAATCATCCCAACTGACTTTCATATTTTTCAGAGGGATTGAAACCACCAACCAGTTTAAATAATCAATCATAAAAACAACAACAATCATATTTAAATGACAACTTTTTTAAATGAACATTAAATGACCACTTTCTTAATTGCCAGGAAAAGAGATATATATATATATTTACCGTGTGTTTTTTTATTCAATTCGATAAAGGTTGTTTGTAGTCTATGGCTATTGATGAGAATTGCTGCTGTATTTTTTCCAATTGATTATCATTTTCTCCATGGATTGCAATATATTGTAATTTTGTGGTCTGTTGATCATCTTCGCCATGAAGAATCGCAGCTTTGGGCGTAGGCACCATTGACCCATTTTGAGATGAACAACTGTGGCAGTCTTCCCATGAGAACACACATATATATATATATATGGCGATTTAAACAGACAAACATGTAAGTCTAAGCAGCAAAAGTCCATGGAAAAAAACTCGGTCAAGGGCACCCCTTGGATGTCCGAATCCTCGTTTCCATGTCATTGATAGCGACCTCAAACTGAGCCTAGATTAGATGATGCTTATAATCTAAGGAAAAACCCATAGGATCCATGGTGCTGCCATATATGGTAACATTTACCATTAATATACCCCAAATGTTAGCATATATAGCATACATGGATCCTATGGGAAACAGAAAAACTTCAAATGGCCTTTGTTCAATCACACTCCGTGTTTCCTTTTCTGCAGGCCAGTTGCCCATTTCACCAAGCTGGCACGCAAAGTCACTGTATCACAGGGGATACTCCATAGGATATCTCCAACGAATTAATTGAATGAATTTCAGATTGAATTTCGATGAATTTCCCAGATACGAAATGCGTTTTTATCCATTGCCATGTTACATCACCCGAAGGTTCTTCCCGGTTTTAGTTGTTTAAACCCCACGTAAATCATGTTCAATGTTGAAACATGTTCGGTGCAACCCTGACGTTGCTCCGCACCGGAATTGGGGAAGGGTTGCGTATTTTTGAAATGCCACGTCGGTGGACTTTCAATATGTAGATGTATATGTGATCCATGATCATGATCACGATCACGATCATCCTCATCATCATCATCATCCTCATCCTCATCCCTTATGAAGACAAGTTGATGCTATAATCAGATTCAACATATTTGCCACAGGGGGTGGATGATTTTTTGATCCCTTGTGAAGATATGTTTCAAAAGGGGTGGTGGATTTGTTGATCCTTTATGAAGATAAGTTCATGTGATTACGCCCATTTATATAACATATTTGTCGGAGGGGTGGTGGATTTTTGGCTCCTTATCAGTTTATGTTATTCCTTATTCAACTTAGTTGTCAGAGGGGCTGGCGGATGTTGATCTCTCATGAAGATAAGTGGGAGTGATTACCCCATTCAACGTATTTGCCGGAGGGGGTGGTGGATGTTTGATCCCTTTATGAAGATAAGTTGATGTAATTACACCATTTAACATATTTGCCAGAGGGGGTGGTGGATGTTTGATCCCTTTATGAAGATAAGTTGATGTAATTACCCCATTCAACGTATTTGTCAGAGGGGGTGGTGGATTATTGATCCTTTGTGAAGATAAGTTGATGTAAATACACCATTTAACATATTTGCCAGAGGGGGTGGTGGATTTTTGATCACTTTATGAAGATAAGTTGATGAATTCTACATTTAACTATTTTGCCAGAGGGGGGTGATGTTTGATCCCTTTCTGAAGATAAGCTTGATGGAAATTACCCCATTCAACATATTTGCCAGAGGGGGTTGGTGGGGAGTTTGAGCACTTCTGAAGCTAAGGTGATGGTAACTTACACAATTTAACATATTTTGCAGGAGGAGGGGGTGGTGGAGGTTTGATCCCTTTATGAAGATAAGTTGATGGAATTACACCATTTAACCATTTGCAGAGGGAGGTTGGTGGATTGATTGATCCTTGCTAAAGATCAAGTTGATGTAAAAACACCATTAACATATTGCCAGAGGGTGAGGGGTTGGTGGGGGTTGGGGATGTTGGATCTCTGTATGAAGATAAGTTCATGTTCTTATTGTCATCAACATATAAGTCAGAGGGGGTGCTAATTTTTGATCCCTTAGGAAGATAAGTTGATGTATTACACCAGTTAACAATTTGTCATAGCGGTCGGGGGGGGGGTGGTGGATGTTTGATCCCTTTATGAAGATAAGTTGATGTAATTACCCCATTCAATCATTTGTCAGAGGGGGTGGTGGATTATTGATCCTTTGTGAAGATAAGTTGATGTAATTACCCCATTTAACATATTTGCCAGAGGGGGTGGTGGATGTTTGATCCCTTTATGAAGATAAGTTGATGTAATTACACCATTTAACATATTTGCCAGAGGGGGTGGCGGATGTATGATCCCTTTATGAAGATAAGTTGATGTAATTACACCATTTAACATATTTGCCAGAGGGGGTGGTGGATGTTTGATCCCTTTATGAAGATAAGTTGATGTAATTACCCCATTCAATCATTTGTCAGAGGGGGTGGTGGATTATTGATCCTTTGTGAAGATAAGTTGATGTAATTACACCATTTAACATATTTTATAGGGCCGATGGCGGATGTAGATCCTGTATGAAGATAAAAAGTTGCAGGTAATTACACCAGTTGTGGGGAGGACCTATTTGCCAGAGGGGGTGGTGGATTATTGACCCTTGTGAAGATAAGTTGGATTGTAATTACACCATTTAAAACATATTGGCATAGGGGGGTGGCGGATGTATGATCCCTTTATGAAGATAAGTTGATGTAATTACACCATTTAACATATTTGCCAGAGGGGGTGGTGGATTATTGATCCCTTTATGAAGATAAGTTGATGTAATTACACCATTTAACATATTTGTCATAGGGGGTGGCGGATGTATGATCCTTTATGAAGATAAGTTGATGTAATTACACCATTTAACATATTTGTCATAGGGGGTGGCGGATGTATGATGCCTTTATGAAGATAAGTTGATGTAATTACACCATTTAACATATTTGCCAGAGGGGGTGGTGGATTATTGATCCCTTTATGACGATAAGTTGATGTAATTACACCATTTAACATATTTGTCATAGGGGGTGGCGGATGTATGATCCTTTATGAAGATAAGTTGATGTAATTACACCATTTAACATATTTGCCAGAGGGGGTGGTGGATTATTGATCCCTTTATGAAGATAAGTTGATGTAATTACACCATTTAACATATTTGTCATAGGGGGTGGCGGATGTATGATCCTTTATGAATATAAGACGTATAAGTTGATGGTATTACCCCATTCCTCATGAGTTGACACTAGTGATGATGATGATGATGATTATTATTATTGTAAGTGTGGAGCAACTTCCGGGTTGGACGGAACATGTCAAAGTTGCTTTCCTAAAAGGTCCCATATGTATCCATATGTTTGTTGGTCAACCTGTGCAGGCGACCTCTCTCTCAGCCGGCACGCTTATCGAGTCTCCTCCGAACTCCCCAAAGAGGCGGATCGAGGGAGCGAAAACGTTGATTTCGTGAGATTTTCGGAGGTTTTTTTGATGAAAAAACCTGCAAAAACCCATCAATTTCGGAGAAAAACCCAGGGTTCTCTCTAACTTTTCCTTGAAGTTGCTGACTAAATGACGAATTGACAATGACTGTATATACCCTCTGGTCATTTAACATAACTATATGGAAAATCACCATTTTTAACGGGAAAATCCACGATAAATGGCCATGTTCAATAGCAAACTGTTAAATTACCAGAGGGTAAGCCTTAAATCAACTAGACATCTACCTTCTCATGGCACTTTTGGGAGCCAACAAAGCCCTTTTTGCGGCTGCCTTCGTCCCATTTCGTGGGAGATAGGTTGGGAAAACTCCTGATGTAAATCCAACGGTTGATCATGATATAATTTTGTGATATTATGTGTAATCAGCAATAGTATATCATGACATGTTATGTATATCATTTTAAGTTATATTTTGTTTTATATTCTGTGTAATTGCACATGTAATCATCATTGAACATGTTTGTCATATCGAAGAACTATGGTTCTGACCTGCCAAGGCTTGGATCTTCGTCCACGCCTCTCATGGCGTTGTCACCTGGCACAAAACCTGGCACAGAACGTCAGTGAACTGTTTTTTTTTCTTTAACGTTGAAACTTCCCAAGATCATCTAATGCGGACCTCTGATTGTTTGAGGCACAAAATGATTTACATTAAGACCTATACTGTAGACATATTACATATCAATCCATATCATATTATTACTCATATAAATATTATATACTAAACTGATGTGGCTGGAACATCTACTGTACCATTAGTGAATATGTGTGCGTGCTTGTTGATTGCAAGGTCTTTAAATTGCCTTGTCAGTTTTACTTCGAATAATTACATAGGAATTTGCCTTACATAGGAATTTGCCACTCTTGTTACAGCAAGAACACCTTTTTCGTTCATGTCCAATTTTCCATCCAATCTTTGAGTGTAATCATGTGATCTTCCCATTTTCGAAACTCCAATCGCGTGGAACTCGGGACAGGTTTGCTTGACCTGGATATTGGCCTTGCTCTTGCCCGGCATAGCTCTAGGCGCGGCTGGATGGACCGCATCGAAGTTTCGAGTTTCGAGTTGTGCTTTAGCAGTTGGCACTGCTGGGAACGGATATGATATATGTTATATGGGATATGATATATGTTATATGGGAATATATGGGATATGATATGATTACCACTTTCGAGGCTTTTTGCTTTGGGATATGATATGATATGATATATGTTAGCTCAACGACGTCGAAACTTTGAGATGTACAGGCAGAATTTGGACCCACAGAAATTGGAGGATTTAGCCCATGACTCCCACCACCACGTGTCGTGTTTGGCTTCGCGGCAGGCGTGACCGGTTTGTTTATTCTCATGGGAATTGTGAAGCAACCCTTCACTACTGCCTGGTGGTGTATGTTTGCCACCTGTATCTTGGCATTTGTGAGGCCAGAAGGCTGCAGATGGTGCCCATATTATGTTACAAGGTGGTGCCCCAGTTTGTGAAGTCAAGGGTTATAATAGTTATAACTCCAATCCAATAGCTATAGGTTTTATATGGTTTTATGCAGATATATCCATAGTTGCATGGGGTTTGCAAACCAACTAATCACTGCGGGGCTGCTGGGCCCCATCTTGTATGTATATATGGTGGTGCTAATTTTCGGGTAAACGTGGGTAAACCATGGTAAACCACCTGAATTTCTGGGGTGACTTGTTAGACTTGTTATGTGGTCTGTCCAAAACATGGTGGAATAATCAAATACTGCCTGCACAGCAGGATTGGTCATGATTTTCTTCACGTCAATGAGCAATGCCCAGAGGAAGTTCGGCGTTGCCACAAGTTCCTGTGAGCTGGCGCCGGGTTTTTTGATGCAGAGAATCTCACAAAATATCGATGGAAAAACAACACATTCTCCTATGATGGGAGAACTGGAAGAGCTGGATTACCTTGAAATTGTGAAAAGTAATCATAGTTATCATAGTTACAGTACTATTTGGGAATATTGCACTGACTATTTGGAATATTTCGGAATCACCACGGTGAAGTTCTTTGGTCTCATACCGGAGGGACATGGACAGATTCAATGCACTCTTCAGTAGTCACAAAATAAAATGGTGCATTGTTTTTTCCAACGTAGGGGACTTTCATTTGGAATTAACAGATACCCTTTGGTAAAATAAGATAGCTATGGAAAACGACCCTTTTTAATATATAGGTAAATCAACTATGAATGATAAATGACCATTTTCCATAGCCATGTTGGTAGTAAAAGGTAAGTATAGGCAAGTGACAAATAAATACTAATCATTTGTGTATGAAATTTGACTAACTTGAGGCAAAGTCAATGGTAAAACGGTAAAACTGTCATTTTTACTGCATATGTTTATCCATTATTTTCGTTTTTTTTTTAATTTTCGTCCTGTTGGGATGATGATAAACAGATCAGCTGAGGCATGTGCTTCAACTATGGCCCTCTTCGTCAATGGAGGCGACGCGTTCTATCCAGTGGTGAACGGAGGGAGCTGAGCCAGGCTATCCATATTCCCTATGAAAAATGGGGAGCCAGTTGGAGCTAGGAGCAGAGTTTCCCAACCACATGATAGTAATGGTTAGTTAATGGTTAGTGAATGGGATTTTCATGTGGTTTTATGGGATATAAAATAAGATTCACAGAGGAAAGTGGGGATTGAGAACCAACCATTCCTGATAATGGGATGCAGAAGCAACTTATGATATATTGGGTGTGTCTCAAAATTGGGTATACCATGGTATACCCCCCAGTTGGAATAGTGATCATAAACTGTAAACAGTTGAGGGGTACCCCATCTTCAGACAATCTCATTATATGTATAGTCAATAGCTAATTGTAGCTGTGAGTGAGTCGAACAGACACCAAGATATGGATTTTTTTGGCTTCATATTCGATTTTTTTCATGGTTTCAAACAGAAACTCTTCAGTTATTATACTTAAGTTCTACACACTTTCGACTGATAGAGTTAGCACCTCTACTGTCCAGCGGCGATTGGGGATCCTGCATGGACCATACACTACCCGGCCTGGTAAACGTTGACAGTTTGCGAACTTGAAGCCATGGCCATTGAAATAGTTGATGAATTCCCATAGAAATAGCATGGTGGATCTTTCCAGTTCGTTTTCTGTGGCTACGTTTACCAGGCCGGCTATCATAGCTGTTCAGTGAATCACTGGAGTCTGATCTTGGGATATCCAGATATCCAGGGAGCCCGGCGGAGGTTGGTTGAACAACCTGCCAACCTCAAACTTCTGGAGGCTCAGTGGAAGAGACATGAATGATGATCATTGCTTGGATGGTTGGGTGATGTTGAATAGTTGAATCATGAATCTTCTTCAATCTGTCTACAGGTATTGAGGTATTTTTTCCGGGAATCCGACTAAAGTGACTAAAATCTTGGAAGCTTTAAAAAAAGAATAACAGTTCACCAAGATGTTTCACATCACCAAACGGTTCACCATGGTTTTCTCCGATCCCCAGCGATCCCCAGGGCCTCTGCTGCATCTGTGCCGCGACGATGTCCTTGGGATTCTACGGAGCCCAGGTGGTCCTGGGAAATCTGGGAAGTGGTGAGTGATATACCATCGCTGTAACATCTTAAGTAACCCGTTTTTTTTTAAATACACTGTTTGATAGATAGAACACATAGTTTCCTACATATATATATATATATATATAAACACCTTTCTCTTCGACATTTCTATGTTATATATATATATATATCGAGTTTAATTGATAGAGAGAAATTTACATAGAAACATCTTGTATATGAAGATATAACCATAGTTCAGTGATCTTGCAGGTAATTTAACATAATTTAAGCATGCTTCCGGGTATCCAACTCTCTTGCGCTTCACGTGGCGATATCACGTTCAGGTGAGGATTGAACGCCAGTTGTTTTCTGAGGATTTTAACAAGTGACCACATCTGACCCAAGAAAAAACGAATCTGAGCATCATCTAAGCATTGAACATTAAGCATTTTATTGAGATTCTAGACATTTCTAGACATTTCTAGACATTTCTAGGGGGAGCTCAGCATCAAATTGGGAGCATAAAGGGGCTATTCGTCAGCCTCCCATGGTCTCCCGACTCTTGATGTCGGGTTAAACGCACCGGGTCTTATCATTGGATGTGCTTTTTTCATCTTTTTTCAGCTTCTAACTGGTCAAGAACCCATTAACATATCATATACATATATATATTATATAAATATTAATATGATATGATATAAGTATATATATATATATATAATATTATGTTATAAAATACAATGTGGTACACCCAATGCCATAAACCATCCCCAAAATCACCATAAATGGGTTGTATAAACCATCCCCAGTCATGGTAGGTTTATGGCATTGGCTTTCCCACATTGTATATATACATATACAGCATTTGGGGCTGGTTTTGGGGCCTAAACACCTACTCAGAAGGTAATGTATAGCCGGGAATCTTACACACTTACCCGGCCTGGTAAACGTTTACATAACTATGGAAAATCACCATTTTTCATGGGAAAAACAACGATTTCAATAGCCATTTTCAATAGCAAACTGTTTACCAGAGGGTACCATGACCCTGGATGAAACTGGACCCTGGATGACCGTCCCAGGTGTTTTCACCGTGGGCATTCAGGTCCATGGTCTTGAACTGGGCAGTGCGTCCACTTGCGGCTCGGATTGGAAGCCGAAATTATCTACGGATTTTGAGCCATTTAGTACGTTTGAACATCGGATTTTCGGGTCTTTGGACATGGTTGATTTCATGTAACAGATAAGTCATGCCATGTCATGCCCATGTCCCATGTTTCGAGGTTCCAGGTTTGATCAGGTGGTAGGAAATCGCTGGACCGGAGTGTTTAAGCGTCACATGCATCGTTTTTTGGTGCTTGAACTTGTACAGCAATTTGGTGTTCAACATGGCCGGAACTTTCGTATGTTTGAACGGTGCCTCAGTGCCTGCCTTGATGTGGGGATGTTACCCATTTACCCTCCCTTCAACGTGATGTTTGATAGTTGGCTAAATTGCTGTATAGGCCCATCTAACTATGTATGTATTATGCATGTAGCCACCATACTCTAGTAAATCTAGTCATGAATCGTCATGAACCAACTTAGTCAACTTAGGCACCACCACTTTCTGTGGAAAGGGTGTATTTTTTCATGCGAAACAGGGAAGGCATTGACTTTGAATGATAGGAATCCCATCTCTTTGCCGGTGGACCTCAAGGACCTTAAGCGATAGGGCTTTGATTAATGACTTGGTTGTCATTGTGTAAGAATTACTGTGGCTTAGGTGATTCAGCTGCAGATGGGCTCAGTTAAACCATGTTAAACCTAGAATCATTCTGAAGTAGATAGAACATGAGATGTTCAACGCATTTCCATACAATCGTGATATTTTCTTGGACATTTCCAGATTCAGCTGCAGATAATCACCTGGTTTAAAACCTATTGAATGGCAGGTAATTCAAACGGGTTGGGTGGATATGGTGACGGTGAATTGCTCATAAACACCTTAATGAAACAACTGAATCTATGAGTGTTAGAATATCCAATAGTAGCTTATTGATGGTTATTAACTATCACTATTTCATACTATTTTAATTGATCTTTTTTTGGTTTCCTATATCTCTAAGGCGTTCATCACTACCGAGGCTCGTTGGTTCCCGTCCATCTCCAAACCGTTGCTGCACGCTGTGGAGACGAAGACCTTTTGGATTCTCGCGCGGCTGGGGGACAGCGCCGTGTCCGAGATGAGTGGATGACTGGGTTAGAGGTTGGGAAGGGAAAGATGTTTCGAATGTCTTTGGGATCTTTCATCGTGTTTAATCTAATCAGACAAAACGATGTAAAACACATAATATATATATATGTGTGATAGACCTTTAGGTACTATTTTGTTCGGACTAGTTTTAATGTTTTTAGCCTTGTTAACGCTTCAAAGTTTTTAAATGATTTAAAAACATTAATCCCCCGAAAGGCTTGTGTTTTTAATGTTTTTAATGTTTCTAATTGCTTTAAAAACATTAAAAACATTAATCCCCACAAAGGCTTGTGTTTTTAATGCTTTTAATGTGTTTAAATCAATTAAAAACATTAAAAACACAAGCCTTTCAGGGGGATTATATATTGTTTTTAATGTTTTTAATTCCAAAATCACAGGTCTCAAGTCTCGGATTCTGGAGCCTCTGTGTTTTTAATGTTTTTAATGTTTTTAATGTGTTTAATGTTTTTAATGTTTTTAAATCAGTTAAAAACATTAAAAACATTAAAAACAAAAGCCTTTTGGGGGATTAATGTTTTTAATGTTTTTAAATCAATTAAAAACATTAAAAACATTAAAAACACAAGCCTTTCGGGGGATTAATGTTTTTAATGTTTTTAATTGATTTAAAAACATTAAAAACATTAAAAACATTAAAAACACAGAGGCTCCAGAATCCGAGACTTGAGGCCTGTGATTTTGGAATTAAAAACATTAAAAACATTAATCCCCCAAGAGGCTTGTTTTTAATGTTTTTAATGTTTTTAATTGCTTTAAAAAAATTAAAAACATTAATCCCCAGAAAGGCTTGTGTTTTTAATGTTTTTAATGTTTTTAAATCAATTAAAAACATTAAAAACACAAGCCTTTCAGGGGGATTAATGTTTTTAATGTTTTTAATTCCAAAATCACAGGTCTCAAGTCTCGGATTCTGGAGCCTCTGTGTTTTAATGTTTTTAATGTTTTTAATGTGTTTAATGTTTTTAATGTTTTTAAATCAATTAAAAACATTAAAAACATTAATCCCCCGAAAGGCTTGTGTTTTTAATGTTTTTAATGTTTTTAAAGCAATTAAAAACATTAAACACATTAAAAACATTAAAAACATTAATAACATTAAAAACATTAAAAACAAAAAGGCCTCGAGATTTGGACAAACAATCCCAAAAGGTACACGTATTTAAAAACATTAAAAACAATTCCCTGAAAAGGACCTTTTTTTTAAAATTGTTTTTAATGTTTTTAGATATTTAAAAACATTAAAAACAATTCCCTGAAAAGGACACTTTGTTTTTAATTGTTTTTAATGTTTTAAAATATTTAAAAACATTAAAAACATTAAAAACATTAAAAACAAAAAGGCCTCGAGATTTGGACAAACAATCCCAAAAGGTACACGTATTTAAAAACATTAAAAACAATTAAAAACAAAGGGTCCTTTTCAGGGAATTGTTTTTAATGTTTTTAGATATTTAAAAACATTAAAAACAATTAGAAACAAAGGGTCGTTTTCAGGGAATTGTTTTTAATGTTTTTAAATACGTGTACCTTTTGGGATTGTTTGTCCAAATCTCGAGGCCTTTTTGTTTTTAATGGTTTTAATGTTTTTAATGTTTTTAATGTTTTTAAATATTTTAAAACATTAAAAACAATTAAAAACAAAGGGTCCTTTTCAGGGAATTGTTTTTAATGTTTTTAAATCTTTAAAAACATTAAAAACAATTAAAAACAAAGGGTCCTTTTCAGGGAATTGTTTTTAATGTTTTTAAATATTTAAAAATATTAGAAACAACCAGCCGTGCATGATAAGATCTGATGACAGAGAGCCAGAAACGGTTAAGCTTTTGCCTCACTCCTCCTGAAGGGACAGCCCTTCCACCGGCAACAGCAAACAAGCACACAAGACGACAACCATTCCACCCCATCAACAACAGACAACTACATACCCGTTCACACAAATTACAATAAGCGGAGATATTGAAGACAACCGAAGAAGTGAACACAATGTCAAAGAGCTCTTGCTTCATGCTCTTAAATGGACAACCCTTCCACCCCAGCAGCAGCAGACAAACACGTGTAAAGGAAGGCCAAAAGCGAGGCCATAGCCGAGGGAACCTTACCCAACCTCCCCTGCTCAAAGTAATGCCATAGTTTAAGTTGAGAGAGCTTTGCCGGACCTCCCCTCAAGAGCCAACCAACACTCTCACCCAAATGAAATAAATAGCAGATAGTGAAAGACACGCACAGAAGTGAAACCAATGTCAAAGAGCTCTTGCTTCATGCTCTTAATGGGACAACCCTTCCACCCCAGCAACAAACGACAAACACATGTAAAGGAAGGCCAAAAGTAAGACATAGCCGAGGGAATCTTGCCCTTGCCCAACCTCCCCTGCTCAAAGTAATGTCAAAGTTTAACTTGAGAGAGCTTTGCCGGACCTCCCTTCAAGAGCCAAGCCTTCCACCCAAATGCAATCAATAGGAGAAAGAGACAGAGAAAGAGAAAGACAACAAAGAAGTGAACACAATGTCAATGAGCTCTTGCTTCATGCTCCCTTTGGAACAACCTTTCCAAAAAGATAGACAGATACAACACCACTGGTCAAGAGACAACCCTGTCATCCCTGTAAGAATAGAGGAAGAGGAAGGCTACACAGAAAATAATGAAATAAGATGGAAAACACAACGTGCAAAGGGGAAGAGCGTGATTTGCTGAAGTTACTTGGCCCTAGATTGGCTGAAGAGCACACGCTTCCACCCCATCAACTAAATAGATAAACAGATGCCAAGCAGGAGGAGTGAGAGAAGTGAAGGAAGTGGGGGAGCACTAAAGCCCAACCTTCTGAAAAGAGCCTGAGCCAGCCCTCCCACCCGTGCATGATAAGATCTGATGACAGAGAGCCAGAAACGGTTAAGCTTTTGCCTCACTCCTCCTGAAGGGACAGCCCTTCCACCGGCAACAGCAAACAAGCACACAAGACGACAACCATTCCACCCCATCAACAACAGACAACTACAAACCCCTTCACACAAATTACAATAAGCGGAGATATTGAAGACAACCGAAGAAGTGAAAACAATGTCAAAGAGCTCTTGCTTCATGCTCTTAAATGGACAACCCTTCCACCCCAGCAACAGCAGACAAACACATGTAGAGGAAGGCCAAAAGCGAGACCATAGCCGAGGGAACCTTACCCGACCTCCCCTGCTCAAAGTAATGCCATAGTTTAAGTTGAGAGAGCTTTGCCGGACCTCCCCTCAAGAGCCAACCAACACTCTCACCCAAATGAAATAAATAGGAGATAGTGAAAGACACGCACAGAAGTGAAACCAATGTCAAAGAGCTCTTGCTTCATGCTCTTAATGGGACAACCCTTCCACCCCAGCAACAAACGACAAACACATGTAAAGGAAGGCCAAAAGTAAGAACATAGCCGAGGGAATCTTGCCCTTGCCCAACCTCCCCTGCTCAAAGTAATGTCAAAGTTTAACTTGAGAGAGCTTTGCCGGACCTCCCTTCAAGAGCCAAGCCTTCCACCCAAATGCAATCAATAGGAGAAAGAGACAGAGAGAGAGAAAGACAACAAAGAAGTGAACACAATGTCAATGAGCTCTTGCTTCATGCTCCCTTTGGAACAACCTTTCCAAGTAGATAGACAGATACAACACCACTGGTCAAGAGACAACCCTGTCATCCCTGTAAGAATAGAGGAAGAGGAAGGCTACATAGAAAACACTGAAACAAGATGGAGGACACAACGTGAAAAGGGGAAAAACATGATTTTCTGAAGATACTTGGCCCATCTTGGCCCTAGATTGGCTGAAGAGCACACGCTTCCACCCCATCAAATAGATAAACTGATGCCAAGCAGGAGAAGTGAGAGAAGTGAAGGAAGCGGGGGGGCACTAAAGCCCAACCTTCTGAAAAGAGCCTGAGCCAGCCCTCCCACCCGTGCATGATAAGATCTGATGACAGAGAGCCAGAAACGGTTAAGCTTTTGCCTCGCCCCTCCTGAAGGGACAGCCCTCCCACCGGCAACAGCAAACAAGCACACAAGACGACAACCATTCCACCCCATCAACAACAGACAACTACAAACCCGTTCGCACAAATTACAACAAGAGGAGATAGTGAAGACAACCGAAGAAGTGAACACAATGTCAAAGAGCTCTTGCTTCATGCTCTTAAATGGACAACCCTTCCACCCCAGCAACAGCAGACAAACACATGTAAAGGAAGGCCAAAAGTAAGACCATAGCCGAGAGAACCTTTGCCGAACCTCCCCTCAAGAGCCAACCTGTTCACCCAAATGAAATCAATAGGGGAGAGAGAGAGAGAGAGAGACAAAAAGAGAAAGACAACCAATGAAGTGAAAACAATGTCAATGAGCTCTTGCTTCATGCTCCCTATTGGACAACCCTTCCAACCCAGCGACTACAGACAAACACAAGTACAGGAAAACTAAAATGCAAAACGTGCTTAAAGGATCTTAAAGGGAGGGCCATAGCTGAGAGAACCTTACCCAACCTCCCCTTAAGAGCCCACTGTTTCCCATCAACAACAATTAGATAAACAGATACAACACCAGTGGTCAAGAGACAACCATTTCATCCCTGTAAGAATAGAGGAAGAGGAAGGTTACATAGAAAATAATGACATGAGATGGAAAACACAGCGTACAAAGGGGAAAACATGATTTTCTGAAGATACTTGGCGCCTAGATTGGCAGAAGAGCACGCGCTACCGCCCCATGAACAAATAGATAAAGATACGCCAAGAAGGAGAAGTGAGAGAAGTGAAGGGAGGGGGGGCACTGGAGCCCAACCTTCTGAAAAGAGCCTGAGCCAGACCTTGCACCCGGGCAACAGCAAACAAGTACACAAGACGACAACCCTTCCACCCCAGCAGCAACAGACAACTACAAACCCGTTCGCCCAAGCTACAACAAGAGGAGATAATGAAAGGCATCCAAAGAAGTGAAATCAATGTCAAAGAGCTCTTGCTTCATGCTCTGAATGGGACAACCTTTCCACCCCAGCAGCAAACGACAAACACATGTAAAGGAAGGCCAGAAGTAAGACCATAACTGAGGGAACCTTGCCCAACCTCCCCTGCTCAAAGTGATGTCATAGTTTAAGTTGAGAGAGCTTTGCCAGACCTCCCCTCAAGAGCCAACCCTTTCACCCAAATGAAATCAATAGGAGAGAGAGAGAGAGACAAAAGAGAAAGACAACCAATGAAGTGAAAACAATGTCAATGAGCTCTTGCTTCATGCTCCCTATTGGACAACCCTTCCAACCCAGCGACTACAGACAAACACAAGTACAGGAAAATTAAAATGCAAAACGTGCTTAAAGGATCTTAAAGGGAGGGCCATAGCTGAGAGGACCTTACCCAACCTCCCCTTCAGAGCCCACTGTTTCCCATCAACAACAATTAGATAAATAGATACAACACCAGTGGTCAAGAGACAACCCTTTCATCCCTGTAAGAATAGAGGAAGAGGAAGGCTACATAGGAAATAATGACATAAGATGGAAAACACAGCGTACAAAGGGGAAAACATGATTTTCTGAAGATACTTGGCGCCTAGATTGGCAGAAGAGCACGCGCTTCCGCCCCATGAACAAATAGATGAAGATACGCCAAGAAGGAGAAGTGAGAGAAGTGAAGGGAGGGGGGGCACTGGAGCCCAACCTTCTGAAAAGAGCCTGAGCCAGACCTTGCACCCGGGCAACAGCAAACAAGTACACAAGACGACAACCCTTCCACCCCAGCAGCAACAGACAACTACAAACCCGTTCGCCCAAATTACAACAAGAGGAGATAGTGAAGACAACCGAAGAAGTGAAATCAATGTCAAAGAGCTCTTGCTTCATGCTCTTAATGGGACAATCTTTCCACCCCAGCAGCAAACGACAAACACATGTAAAGGAAGGCCAAAAAGTAAGACCATAGCCGAGGGAACCTTGCCCAAGATCATAGTTGAGAGCGCGTGTGGACATATGAACGTAGGAACGAAATAAACCCAAAAGGTCCTCTCCACATATATATATAAATAGACTATATATATATAGACTATATATATATATATATAAATAGACTATATATATATATATTACTATACATATATATATATATATATGTACAAGCTTTCCCCAGGGTTCTAGGATTGGCAGTGTTATATAGGGCTTCAAATCAATGTACTGTCGTACTTCCGCCAACTCATATACCACTGGTGTTTTCAGGGTCAAATTGTTAGTTGAGGGGATGGTAAATAGAATCTCCTGGAGGGGGGTGTTTTCAAACATGTTTGGATGTTGATATATGTATATATATATATATCTGGTTGGTGGTTTCAAACATGAATTTTATTTTCCATCATATATGGGATGTCATCCTTCCCATTGACTCAGATTTTTCAAGATGGTTTTTTAACCACCAAACAGTTATACATCATGACATAACCATGGAAAATCACCATTTTTAATCGGTAAATCCACTATAAATGTCCATTTTCAATAGCTATACATTGCAGGGTTTCTTAAACGAGAGTTTCTCCGGGGAAACCAATCCGAGAGTTTCTCCGCGCCACTCGAAACCCACCAATCCACCGCACCGAGATTGTAGCGGCTATGTCTCGCAGACCCAGGAATCTATATACCCTCTGGTAAACTAACATAACTATGGGAAATCACCATTTTTAATGGGTAAATCCACTATTAATGGTGATTTTCAATAGCTATGTTAAATTACCAGAGGGTACCATGTTTGGTATAATGTGATATCCTCTGGAAAACCCATAGGAAAACATAGGAAAATGGGAAAACATAGGAAAACCCATAGGAAAATGGAGGTTTACCCAACCTGGTAAACGTTTACAGAAAACGAACTGGAAAGATCCACCATGCTATTCATGGGAAAACTCACTATTTCGACTGGGCCATGTTCAATAGCGAACTGTTAGTTTACCAGAGGGTATCCTATATGATCTTCGATACTTGTGAAATTCTTACCATTATGTACATCCATCAACGTTGCCAGTAAGTTCAGATGTTTTTTTCAGAAGCGATATACGGCTTATATTGAGCCACACGTCCGCAGCAGCGCACAAAAAAAGCTGGTTACTTATGTTATCTTATATCAATTTGGGGGTTTGGCGATTTCTGTTCAGAAGTAGATTCATGGAAAATCCATTACACTATGCCATATACCATTCCTTTTTTATGGTAGTATATGTACCATATACCATCCCATTAATGTTGTTAGACCAGATCCCCAGCGTTTGCAGACGGCTTTCCCAGCTAGGCAAATTCCCAGCTAGACCTTTGGGGGATAGCCCTGACTTCGCCATTTTTTTTGGATCCCCTGACTGATGATCAGCCTGATGTGTGGGTGAACATGTGGCGTGTAAAAAGATAACAAAAACACCACTTTTATCGTTTTTGTTGAGATTGATAATATCATATAATATCTTATATCAGGATCAGGTGACAAAAATCAGTATAATTAATTAGTAAACTCGATTGGAATATAAATGAGTAATTATGGTCCACATGTTTTCATATATCCCAATGACAATGTTTATGAATATTCAGTTATAGAATTATTGATGGGTTAATTGGGTTGTATAGCATCCAAGTATATCATCAATCCCTATTTATGAACTCCAATTGGTTCATCTCCATTATCACCGAGTTATGATAGCATTGATATGATGAAATCCAGTTATATCATCAATTATGATCACATATCCCCATTTTTTTATCCAGTTATAATCCAGTTATACCATCAATCCCCATTAATCGCCTCACTGTTTTCATGGTTGAACTGCAGCCGACATCTCGACGAGCCGAGGCATGTTGCATCTTATTCCGTCCATCGTCGCGGTGTGTCTTTTCCACTCCTCCGTCACGTTTTTGAGCGCTTTGGTGGCGTTCCCGATGAACCTCGTGTGGCTCTACAGCGCAGGAAAAAATCAGGGAAATGGATGGAAATGGACGCTGGGATTCAGGGGATTTAAGCGAAGCTCGTTTTTGGTTTTCTCTGTTTTGATTTGGAAATAACATGCCCAACTCAAGCTTGAAAACTTTGTCTGACTGTGTCGAAGATTGGCCGTGGTGCTGTAAAAGTCCCTGAGGGTTGTTATTTGTGGTTACTGGGTTCTTCACACCAATGGAACTGCAATAGAACGTGATGATGTGATAGAAAATAGAGATGCCATCAATATACCTGCCAATCACTTCAGTAGGCAATTTGTTCATACTTTTCCACGGATCTCCAGCCTTTTCCTATTGGAAACTTCTTGAGGACACGACAAGTGAAATAAGTGGTTCTTCCCTGCAGCACGGCATGGGACTGCTGTGTCATATTTGAATGATTGAATCGATGTATATATATACACTATGTGCCATGTAGTTGTTTTTTCTATGGGATTGAATGGTTGAGGATGTGTTGCAATTGATGTTTGTATACAACGTGCGAAGCATATGGCGGACTGTGCGAATCATGTGTGTATCCCAGCTGTAGGCTGGTAAAGTCGTCTTTTCTGATCAGCACCTGTTCCCCTCTGAGTGAAAGCTGCAAGTTCAGAAGGCTAGAAAGTTGTAAAGTGGAGATCCTCACGGGTACCCCCTCAATCCGGTTACCCTGCAAGAGACATTTTGGGATCAGAGTTCATGATGACTAAGACTGGTTGAAGATGTTGATAATTAGGGTTAACCATCATGAAGAATTTGTAATGATCATGCTAAAGATAGGATCTGCTTGATAGATGCTATACTAACCCTTTCGTCAGCCATGATTTTGACACGTCTGACTCCCTGCAGGAGCACGTTCACTGGAGGCCATGGCGAGTTTTTTGCATCTTCTAATTATGATCTTTTCAGATCGTCGTCGTCGTAGTCGTCGTCCTCCGCAGCTCCTCCACATGATCATCATCACCATCACCATCATGATCATGATCATGATGATGATGATGATGATGATCATCATTTTAATAATAACAACAATAATAATAATAATCATCATCATCACAATCATCACAATCATTGTCACAAGTCGAAATCGCAAGTCGAAATCGCAAGTCATAAGTTAGACGTCGTCAACCATAGTGATCTTGATGATCACCATCTTCATAATGATAATGACATATGGTGAAGGATATTGATGATGATCATCAGCATTTTGATTATATCATCCATATCCTGATGATGTCATTTATCCTGATGTTTAATAATTGACATATAATGATCATGATGATCATGATGCAATGCTGCCCAATGTTTATATTGGCATGTTGATTGTTGTCCGCTTGGATTTCCATTCAGCCAGTGCCGAAACATTTTTCAATGGCAATCCGACTGGGGCGACTGGGTGAGCCAACAAAAAATGGTCATCGAACCATTCAAAACTGGGCTTTACCATGGTTTACCTAGATGGCTATGGATCAATCCCTAGAGATACCATTTATAGGGATGAACATCCATTTGCCAGCTATTTTGGTGTTCACCATGGGTATAGGGTTTTGACCCATATCCAGATAGGTAAGTAGATCCATAACTAGCTTAACTGGATATATCTACAGTCAGATGGGTTCATAGGGTACGCTCCCCTCCCCACAAAGCAAAACATGACCAGTCCGTTTGCAGTTTGAAGAGTTTGAATTCTTGAATTGACCCATAATTTTATACCAGCCCCGAAAGAATCAAAGAGATAGACAACTATATAGTGTCCTATCATTTTGTCGATTTTGTGTTTACATTTGTTCACTATATCATACTATATCCATCTAGTTCATACTATATCCATCTGAAAATCCTGGTGGTTCTACCCTTTTTTCGGGGGGTCCCTGTTTTTGGTCGGTCCAAGTTTTACAGCACCTGGGGTCGCGAGGCCACCAACGAGCTCTATGGAGTGGAGCCGCACCTCGCTAGCGGCACGTTGCACTTTGTCTACGGCAGCCACTGGCTGGTCTGCACAGGTGCCGAGCCTGTGGAGCGTCTCTTTTGGTGAGTTGAACATGGATTACCCTCTGGTAATTTAACAGTTTGCTATTGAAAATTGCTATTTATAGTGGATTTTCCCACTAAAAATGGTGTTTTTCCATAGCTATGTTAGTTTACCAGAGGGTATATATGGTTATTGATGGTTATTAATATTTAATATAATCTATAATCAACTATTCAATGAATAGGTAAATCAACTATAATCATAACTGGTTGGTGGTTTGTTTTTTTTGTTCCATATATTGGGAATGTCATCATCCCAACTGACGAACTCCATCATTTTTCAGAGGGGTAGGTCAACCACCAACCAGAAGATATATGTCTAGAAATATGGGGATGTGGATCGAACGGATGACTGAACTTCACAAAAGTGGGAATTCGGGGCTGTTTCTCTATTGTGATTTGATAAACTACTGGGCTGAGCCGTTTCTTTCAAAATCTGGCAAGAGCTTTTCCCATCTGGTTTCTGGAGCGAAGAGACGTAGCCACTGGTTATTTAACAGTTTGCGAAGTGGAAGCCGTGGCCCATAAAAATAGATGATTTAATTTATGATGATTTACCGATTCAAAATGGTGATTTTTCCATCGCTATTTTGACATAACCAGAGGGTAGTAATAAAAAAGATAGGATGGTCCAATCGAAAACCTGTGGCAATGGTGCGTCGAAACCAAACTAGTAACTTTTTTTTGTTCCCATGTCATCCCAAAACTCTACATGATGCCTACAGGAAAATATAAAATCCTACCATCAGTTCAGAAACACTGGCGCCAGAAGGCTTGGGAGATACTTCTGGATGACCATCCTCATAGCTGGTGTTTGCCACAATTTGTGTCGTGTTTTTCCGCAAGCATAAAGGATCCCGAAGCACGATGGGCTAATCAGATAGCAAGGTGTGTCTGAAAATGGTGGTTTGTACAGCGAAAATGGTGTCAATAGCCACCGGAATCACTGGAATTTGGGGCACCCTATCAGACAAATCCATATTAGGTGTTTGATGCAGAGATGGTGTCATTTAAAATGCCACGGCACGGCTGTTTCTCAGCAAGGATGGCTTAGGACCAGGTGCCCTGACAAGTGGAAGAAAGTTGGATCCCCCTACATATCCCAGTGATTGAGAATGGAAAGCAACTCTTTTCATCCTTCCTTCTTAGCATTCATAGCATACGCGTTCATGTCCCCTGGTTTCATTTTCTTATTTTCTTCACTCATCCTGTCTCAACCACCGCAGTTTCCTGGTTGATATCCCGCCATTTCTTTCAAGTTTGGGAATGGTCTATGTGAATATGACACTTGTATTAACTCAGCAGTTATATAACTAAGCTTATGGCCCTGGGATGAATACTATTTCAGCATTCAGCATTCCTGGACCATCGACAGGAAGCCCCGCTTAAATTTGATGAGAACCATCATTTCTTGATGCTTCCTGTCATGGTTATCAACTCCATCAGTTGGGATATAATCATATTATAATCCCTATAACATCCTATAACTACAGTTCTAATATCCATTTTTACCCTCTGGTAATTTAACGTAGCTATTGAAAATGACCATAGAAATAGTGGATTTTCCCATTAATAGCATGGTGATTTTCCATAGCAAACTGTTAAATTACCAGAGGGTATCTGGAACTGCACTTCCAAGAAACTCTGAAAATACACCCGGTTGCGGCAGGTGTTGCGGCCTGGTGTGCCATTGACGAAGGCGCCTTGTTGCGGTGTCATTTCCCGGTGTGCAAATGACGGGCCCGACGGGCGAAAAAATGGCTTTGTGTACATGGTTTTGAATTGGGTTACCCTCTGGTAATTTAACATAGCTATTGCAAATGGCCCAGTCGAAATAGTGGATTTACCCATTAATAGCATGGTGATTTTCCATATAGTTAATGCGGATAATGCGGGAAACCTGCCAGTTTTTCAACTACCATGACTGGGGATGGTTGAAATCGCAGCCATCAAAATGGTACTGGGGCATGGCTTTTTCGATGGTTTTTCGAAGCAACCTCTGACCTGGCCATAGCCATCATAGCCATGATCCTGTTCGTTTTTTTTTCATCCCGGAAGGATTGTTGATTTCAGGTGTGTGAATTCCCCTGAGTTGCTGGGATCATCTGAGAGATGTGGGTTTCATGGACTCAGACAGACGAAGCTGGATTCATGGCCCCGAGGTACTGCTTGGACATAGCTTCATGGTGTAAGCCAAGCAGGCAAGGCCGCAAGGCAAATGGTGCCCTGGGATGCCCTGGGTCTTTAATGAGATCCTGTGATTGTTGCTTTCCGTGAAATTGGTCTTCTTGGTAGAAACATGGGCAGATGGATGGATTAGTATCCTACGTATATATGGATATATATGGTATGTGTATCAACATATCTACAACATAACAAGATGGACTTCATTTTTTGGATATAGATGGAGGCTTCCTTGTTATATGGAGGTTTTCTTTAAAATCTACAAGATGGAGGTTTCCTTCAAAATGGGGCTATCCCCAAATCATCCATTGATGGATTTTCCTGCTGGAGATCCTCCATTTTGAAACAGCTTTTTTTAGGAGCCAGCTGGGAGCTATCAACCAATTACTATGGCTTGATAAATCATGAAAAATCGACGATCACCATGGCGTTATATGAGATAGAAAGACCTAAAGATAGTGGATTTGATCATGTTTGATACTCATACAAGCTTCAGATATCTTCAGATGGTATACACATGTAGAAACTGGCAAAGCCACAAGAAAAATCGACTATGTCGCTTTGTATGGCGTGATTTTTGAGATTATGAAGATCTTTGGGATGGTATGAACATGTATAAACTGGCAATGGTGAAGAAAGTGGCGAAACAAATAGGTGATTGCAGACACTTCCCACTGCCATAGATGTCCTTTTCCCATTGGTTGGTTGATTAATAGAGGTTTCTTCAGAAACCCCCTTTAACAGCTTTGTTTGATGATACCCTCTGGTAAATAAACATAGACCCTGAAAATCACCAATTTTTAATGGAAACTAGTCTTCCAACCCCTATCTGCCAGGGTCTATGTTAATTTACCAGAGGGTAGATGGGATCAACCAGCTCCCAGCACCTCTATTTTTACCAAAAGGACATGATTTGGATCTCTGTGTGGGCAGGGGATGACATCATCCTGAGACGCCCTGCGCGCGTTTTTTCGGCATGTCCTTTTGACGCATGCTGAAACCAACAAACGCTGCACCTTAAATGATATCCCTGCGACGTGGTTGGGTATAAAACATAGTAAAACATGGCAAGTGCCAAATTGATCAATAACAATATCAGCTGATCAATCAATATCAATATGATCATATAACTGTACAGCATATAACAATTAAGAATTGATCATATCGATCATACTGCACAGCTTCAAAGCAACAATAACTCACCATTCCCACCAGAATCCGGTTGAGCGTTTGAGGTGAATCTTAGATTCACAGGAGGATTCACGAGCACATTGGCCAAAAGCGTTTCGTTTCGTGGTCACCAGATCTTTTGGGACGTTGGGAGCTGGAACATCGAAATACTGCTGAAATCGTGGTTGAAATCGTGGTGAAGTTTGAGTCAGTTGAGTCCCCCACTGATTTACGAGCAGCTCCGGAAGGAATAGTCCTTTTTGTACCCCAGCAGTACCCCATTGCTGAGAAGGTGATGAAGTTGATGATGAACTAAAATTTTCCGCTAAATCAGAGGACCTCCTCTGAGTCATCCCTAAATACTTGTAGCCAAGGTCAATGTTCAGCTGTTCTGCTGCATCGTTCCGTGAGTGACCCGCAGCTGTTCAGGGCCTGACTCGGCCCTGACTGGGCCTGACCGTGAACCCCTGGATCACTGGGATTTCACCCGTCGTTCACCCTGAGAAAAAAGAACGAGTTGACCGTAAAGGGCGACTCCGAGGAATATCAATCGCGATGCGGAAGATTCATGAAGATTCCTAGGAATGCGTAGGCTATCATAGGCTCTTATCCGATACTTATCCAGTTACAGAATAGAGATTTGTAGAACTGCCAGGGGAAAACATCAACCAATTGACTCCAATTTCACGGCTAAAAAGCCGTGAAAATGAGGGAAACACCCAGGCGGTCAATCCCATCATCATTCCTTGACCTTTACCCTCAAAGTACTCATAAAACTATAGATTTCACCACCAAGATTTCTATAAGATTCTATAACCATTAGTAGGTTCTTTGACTTTCTATAACCATTGAGGTTCTTTGACATTTAATTCATAAAACTTGTTGGTAGTCCCCAGATTTCAGAGTTCAGATAGCACCACTTCCATGATCCAATCGATGGCTTTTTAGGCGGTCATGCCCAAGGAAGCCAAGCCCAGAAAGGAGCCGCAGAACTCCCATGATGTCTTGAGGATCTAACCACCAATGGGGATACAAGGATATATTGTGAGAATGTACAAATATATATATATATAATATAATATAATATAACATAACATAACATGATATAATATTTAATATACACAATATATATATAATTATGTATAATGTACACATACTCTAAAATTTGGTTGATTGATGATGAGAATGCTCCAATCGGGACAAGCCCACTTTGATCACAAGATATCACAAGCATCGTTACAAAGTCCTTCAAGATAAATGAATTCTGGCTTGATTGTAATGGCCCCACTCCCACTGGCCGACATCATCTAAGAAATTACCAGGACATTTTAGCTAGCTAACATAAATCGTCTCTTCGAATAGTGAGAACTTGTTCAGAGTCCCAACAGAAATCAGTGAAATCTCACGAAATGTTGGTACAATGTGGGAAATTTGAGGCTACAGATGATCAACATATCATATCAAGTGTTTTCATGTTGGTTCTATATCCACTTATATCACCATTTATGGCTTTGTTGGCTGATTGTCAATCATTGTCAAAATCACCCATTTCCTTTCTGAATTCCATTCAATCCCCAGTATTTTGGAGAAAAGCCACTCTTCTATCCCATTACCCTCTGGTAATTTAACGTAGCTATTGAAAATGGCCATTTATAGTGGATTTACCCATTAAAAATGGTGATTTTCCATAGTTACGTTAGTTTACCAGAGGCTAAATCCCTATGAACTCCCTATGAAATCTTCCAAGTCCCCACTGTCACACTGCCACCAGGACCCGCGTCGCGCCTCCCGCACTCGCGAGCCCCGCGCGGCCAAAGAAGCCGCGCGGGATGCGTCCCACGCGTCCCACGCGTCGCGCGGAGCCGGGGAGTCGGGCGGCAGAGGCTTCAGGCGAAATGTTTTTTTTTGTGGATTTTTACCAGGAAAAAAACAATAAAAAATTGTGATTCACATTGATTCACCGAAAAAATATGAGATTGCAATAATTACTAATTGATTATAGGGGGTCTTGGAATTGTGACTTCAAAATCGATTTCCACCCCACTACAAAACCATACAACATCTATCAACATCTTAAATATGGGATTCAACATGATTCAACTATACAAAATCATGGGGATATGATGGGATATTTGATTCAAAGAATCTACTAAAACATTAGCAATTCGCCAACGATGCGGTGTTTTTGTGTCAGGATCTACGAAATTGAAAGGTACTTTTGTCTTTTGGCACAGATAAAAGAAAACCGCTGGCTCAAATTTCATTACTTAAGATCTATAGTCAACTATACACGTAGAATGTCGATATACATTGTCTTCATTTTTTCATATATCTATATTTAGAAATATTCTATCAGCTGTATCATCATCTCTCCATAGTTTTCCATCTATATCATATATATATCTATAATATATATATATGATATATATATATCTATATTATATATATATCATATATATCTATATCACACATATATATATATGATATATATATATATATATCGGATATATTCATAATATCCGATGATATCTCTATGGTTTTTCCCTGAAAACATCCGGAGGCGATGGACCTCCTTTGTGATTTGTTTGCTGGGCATTCAGGCGTTTCATGGGAAACGAAAAACCAAGCGGGCACCGGTGTGTTTGGACATGGCAAACAGCTGATGTCTTCGATTTTTAGTGTTTTTCTTTGGCAAATCTTCGATTTTTAGTGCTTTTCTTTGGCAAATTTGAGAATTGAAAGTTGATGAAATTGATAAAACAGGGATCTTGGGATCTTTTGCTGGGTAGTTTGGTATTTTGATCACCAGCGATCATTAAAGATCCAATTGTTGACAGGGCAAGATTGGCCACAGAAAGTTTGAAGACATCCAGCAGATCATGTGGATAGAAAGGGGACAGTGGCAGGAATTTAAGGCTTCAGTGACCCTCCCAAAATGGGGTCTAAACTAGTCAAACACGGCAAACAGTGGAGCAAATTCCAGTTTTCCAGAAACAACAAGTGTTTGCGTCCTCAAATCCTTTGTCATATTCTTGATGATGATGTAATTAACTATTACAGATTGTCACTAGAATTATTGACATATTACTAAATTACTATTACATACCTTTACTATATTATATGTACTATTGACTTATATCTTATTATTTATTGTATATAATTACTATGTAACTACCTGGTAAACCCTGAGATTGGAAAAAACAACTCTGTTTCCAGAAAACCTGTTTTTTTTGCAAACAGTGTAGAAAAAAGTGCTCTAGAGCACTTTTTACCGTTCGAGACTATTGTTATAATATATTCACATAACCACTGTTTTTTTTGCCAGGCCCTGGCCGTTCTCTCCCTCTGGCGCAGCGGCGACCGCCTGCCTTCCGAAACAAACCGCGCGCCGAAGGGTTCGCCGAACGAGCCGGCGCCAGAGGCGGCGCGGAGCAACGGCCAGGTGCCAGCGGTGTAGGCGAAAACATGAGGATCAAATGGAAGATCACCGGCAAAAATGGGGATTTGAGATGATTTAAGACAATTCATACAAGGATTTTATGGAAGATTTGACTAACAAATTGATTAATATGGGTTTGTCTGGAAAATATGGTGCCACCAGTTCATTATCATGATATTTTCACCACTGTATACATGAATTGTTAGGTATCTTTTGATTTTAGACACACCCATATGGATCAAATGGGATGTAATCAGCAAAACTGGTGATTTAAGAGGATTTCACGAACAAACAAAATGGGGAATGGTATGCAACCAGCAAGAATGGTGCTTCTTATTGGATCTACTGGGATATAGCTGATACAACCGACAAAAGCAACTGGCCACTGGGGATATGGTGGGATACATTGCATGGCTATTGATGAGAACCAAGAAAATGATGTTTTGGGAGTCGGATTAAGTCGGCTTCGCCCGGAAATGGGTTTCTATAAAATGTGGATCACCTACTGACATGAAGATTAAGTCAGTCATTATAGGATATAGTGGCATATAATGAAAACCATGTGAGGATGTATGGGTTTTGTTCGGACATAGGATTAAATATGAATTTAATTTGGATCTTTGGAAAAAGATACATCCATGGATTTAAATGCCACAAACATAGGTATCTCATAGATGATCATAGGGCAGATATTTTTTGTTTTCTTCATGGTCATTATCTCCTTGGTTGGCACATTCCCCATTGAGATGATGGTCGAAGAAAACCTCGAAGCCGGCAGCTCCGAAAGCGGGGCGGGGCACCTGGATGGTTTAGGCTAAGATTGGACCATCCAGAAACTCAGCAAAAACAGGTATATATATATATATCCCATAGGATCCATGGTGCTGGTATATATATGCTAACATTTGGGGTATATTAATGGTAAATGTTACCATATATACCATACGTGGATCCTATGGGATATTTCAATGAACATCCAGGAACTTCCTGGACCTTCCGTTGTTTTTCTCTATTTTTTTATCTATTTGGATCGTTGGGTTAAAAATTACCATTTGGTCCCACGAAAAGTCCCACGAATTTTGCGACGCAACGCGTTGCGCCAGGTCTTTCTTGGGACTGCGCCGCCTGCAGCGCCGCCCGCCCAAAAAAAGGCACCGCTGGGGCCGGAATTTACGGGGCCTGCAGCTGAAGAAGGCGATGGGGCGATGGTGGGATGGTGGGGACAACAGAAATGGATAGAAATGGGGATTTACCCTCTGGTAAACATACCAAAAACGATTTAAACTGGCCATAGAAATAGCGGATTTACCCATTAAAAATGGTGATTTGCCATAGTTATGTTAGTTTATCAGAGGGTATAATGAGAATCTATGGAATCTATGGCTTCCCAAGGGGATTTTTTCCCAGCTGAACTTCTATGGTGGATTTAGCCGGAAATTTTCGAGGGCAGTTTGCGAAGTGGAAAATCCAAATATGTCAATATGTAATCATCCTATGAATGTTGATAAGTTGGTATATACCATCTGGTAAACTAACATATTGATGATAAGTTGGTAAATAACATAGTTGGATGATAAGTTGGCCAACAACATAGGATGATTTGGTCATATGTAGATGATGATTGGTAAATCATCCAACTGATAAGTTGGTCAATAACAAGTCGGGAATTCTTCTGTCAAGTTATATGACTTACCTAAGTCATTAGATTGCAAACTTCAATTGCTGCGATGGTTAGCTGTACTGATTGCAGAAACTTCTAAATTGAAAATGGCTGAAGTACTCCAACAATCTATGATTTATTCCTCATGATGACTCTATTCATTGATCACTTATCACTTATGGTGATTGCTCTGTTTATTGCTGAATATATATGAACAACTACATTCATGTTCCTATCATTCTTTCATCGGGCATTTCCTCTATAGCAATGAACCCATAAGGCGGAATAGGTTTAGTCCTCATGTTTGCTGGTTGTTAGATCCCTACATGGTTTGTGCTTAAGCTATATCATGCTATATCCATGGATCTAGCACCTTAAATAGAGTTAGAACTATTTGAAGATGCATAATTAAAATACATTTGATCTATTTGGATATCCTCCATAATTATGAGATTAAAGCCTCATTTACCCTTGCCAAAACATCAATTGCTGCAGAACATATATCCAAGCCTTGGAGAGTCAGACTGCGAACTCGACAGCTCGACGTTGGTTGACGGATTGGTTGATGTTGGTTGATGATGGGTTCGGCGGGTTCGGAAAACCCCTCCAACCTCTTTTGGGATTATCATAGATGATCTATCTATGATCATGGATTATCATGGATTATCATCATCCATGACATGACATGGACCAGTTGTCGTTCAGAAAACCAGGTGACATTGCGGTGCTCTTGATCGCCAGTGGTCGCTCTGTGAGCAGCCTGCAGCAGACCCTAAGGTGTCGACCCCCAGCTGGGATGGGAGATCGATTTCTGGTGGTTGAGGGTAACCATCATATATCCCATTAAAATCCCATTAAAATCCCATTAAAATCCCATTAAATTCCATTTAAAATACCATAAAATACCATAAAACACCATAAAATCCCATTAAATTCATAGTGGGAACTGCTGCAGCAGAGTTTCTTCAGCTGATGGAAAATCCCTAGGAAAATCCATGGGGAAAATCTGAAAAAACCATCAACCACAGAAATTTCTCTACAGTTCTTCCAACAGTTTGGTGGGTTTGGTGGAATTTTCACACCTCCAAAGATGTGATCCCAATGAACAAAAAACGCACGACGCGGTCAGTGACTCGTTTTTATGACACCTATATGCTTCATGGAGACACGTTTTTTTTTAGAGAGAACTGGGCACGATTTTGACCGGTAGATTCTCCTCATTTTCAGGATCAGAAGCGTTTTCATCAGGGGTCTGCTGAATGACTGCGTTTGGACACTTCCATATTTATGATAGTTATGGCTGTTCAACAGGAATCATCACGACTTTTCCTGATTGGTGGTTTGGAACGTTTAAAATAGTTTCTCATATAAGGGAATAATGATCCCAATTGACTTTCATGTTTTTCATAGGGGTTGGAACCACCAATCAGTTCCATTTGTGCCCCCAGTTTTCAAGATGGCAACCGAGCCATGACAGATGTGTAGAAAGTCGCAGACTACCAAGGGAGGCCCAAAGAATCCACCAACGTGAAGCTTCGTGTCAAGGTCAACAGTCCAAAGTTGCTAGAGGATACCTACAAGTCAACTAGATTCAGTCTAAGTGTCTAAGACCTGCAACACTGTAAGAGATAAGAGAATCAATCGACCAAACGATTTCCGCTAAACTGGTGGATGGTTTAAGGCATTGGATTTAGCCTCTGACTTGCCATCGTTTTTTTAAACCGGAAACAATGCAGCCCAGACTCCTATTGTTTTCATACGATTTAGTGGTAAAAGCGGCCGTTTTTCCAAGGCTTTCGCGAAGATTTCCCTTCCAAAACAATCACATCATTCCTCGGGCTGCGCAAATCTCCACCCCCAATGATCCATGGCTACAGGATGGGCCCCCCAGTCGAGCGAAGGCGTTCAGTTGCCTCAAAAAGTGGCTGAATTCTATGGTTTATGGTAGATATAACTATAGTTAAGGGGGATTATAATGGTTTATAAACCACCTTATAATTGGGGGGCCATGGGGTGCCCCATCCTGTATTAATAATCATCCCATTCCCTACAAAGCACCAGCAAGCAATCAGCCCCCAAAAAAAGGTCGCTGCTGCGTGGTTTCTCCGCCTCCTCCATTTTGGTGTCGCAAGCCGCGCCAGGCAGCGGTTTTTCATTTGTCACATGTCGCTTAGGCCTTCATATCTAGTATGAAATCTGTTATTTATGATGATAATATATATAATTTAATATATATACGTACAGTACAATAATGATAATAATATCAATAGATAATTCTACATACATATGATTTTATCATATGTCATATGTCATCATTCAAAAATATGTGCGAATATGTTCAAATATTCTGTATATATTACTAGATATCATGGAGTTTGTTAACCGGTTCGTCAATGGATTATGGCAATGTTTTTTGGTTTAGAATCCAGTTGCTCAACATGAATAGCTAAAGTTATCCATTTACTATGTGGTTACTAGTCCAATTGCCAGCTAGTTAGTTATAATCCAGAAAGGGCAACTAGGATGGTATGCTCTTTTTTCAGCGATTGATGAAGTATCAATCCCATGGCTCATCATGCTTCATCATTCAAACCTATATAAATATATGTAGATTTGATAGAATCTCCTGTATATCTCATGTATGATAAAATCTTACACCAACTAATCTCATGTGACTCATGTATATATGACAAATCTATGATCAATCTTATACCACCTTCCGATATCTTACCATCTAGACACCATCTTTGCACCATCGCTCGTCACGCGACGCGAAAGGCGAGGCCTCGCGCGAAGCGGCCGCAGAGCTGGGCGTTGCCTGGGTGGGCCCTTCGCCCATGGCGGACTTCGCCACCTTCGATGGCGAGGCGGGTCGAACATCATGGGGTTTCCATGAATCTGGATGAATTATCATGACAAAAGGGCATCATTCCCAAATGGACGATAAACCGATAAACAAATTCAGATGAGTGACTTGTTATAATGATAACCAGATCACTTATTATTAGTGGAATTGGGAGAAACACAAAATAAAACTTCAGATTATCATTTTATAAGATTGACTCTTAATGACTAATTAGTGATTATTATAAGATTGACTATTAATAATTAGTGACTTATAAAATGGTACTATATTAGTCACTTATTATAATTATAGTACTAATAAGTCACTAATAAGTCACTAATAAGTCACTAATAAGTCACTAATTATTAATAATTGGGAAAATTCAGATTAGTGACTTATTAGTATCTTATTACTACCTGGATCGATCGATATCATTCCCAGCAGCTCACCATGTCACCATGCAGGCGGAGCCATGGCTCCATTACGGGAGGTCTTTGGAACATGCCACTTGCAGGGCAGGGCTGAGAGGAGAGTTCTGGTTTAGCTTGGCTGAGTACTTGGCCGAAAACTGGTGAAAACTGGAATGGTTATGATAGTTACGATAATGATGTGTATTATGAATTATTATGATATATAATGATATATTATGAATTATTATGAATTATTATGATATATTTTGAACTCAATGAATCATTGAAAGATAATGAACGATAATAAAATATATTGACGTATATTCCAGTGTTTTGTTTGTGGCAGTGCTTTGTTGAACCTGCGCTGGCCGTTGACATCACTTGGGTTACTGTATATAGTCGAAACCAACAACATCCAATGCAACAGCCCAGAGATATGTTGGTATTGTTGTCCCACATGTTTCCACCTCCATATTTTTCAGTTGTATCAATGGGGTTAGTTCAAGGCAAAATCTACAGGAAAATAGCAACCCCCAAAAAAGATCAGTACAATGTCCAATCCTAAAACAGTGATAAATTGAACATATTGAACCTTGCATACCCTCTGGTAATTTAACGTAGCTATTGAAAATTACCATTAATAGTGGATTTTCCCATTAAAAATGGTGATTTTCAATAGCTATGTTAAATTACCAGAGGGTAACCTTTCCAACATCTTTCTTGGGCTTCCTAGGCTTCCTAGTGGCCACTCCAATGGCCATCCCCGGGGCCAAGGCGGCCACGAAACACTTCGCCGGACAGAGCTTTCGTTCGCTCTTCGTGGCGGAGGCCTTGGTTTCCATAGTCATGGGGGTACCCTGGGACCCTATAAATAGATGGTTTATATATATATATACATAATATATAAATAGATGGTTGGTTTATTTCATGGAACATCCTATTTTTTAATGGATGATGATTTAGGAGTACCCCCATTTTAGGAAACCTCCATATATATATTATATATTATATATATACAATCTGGCCTTGAAACTCCACTATGAATATTGCCAATATCAATATGTATACAATCTATATATAGCAAATTATACCCTGGGGCAAGCTAACAAAGATTTGGAAAATCCCAGCATTTTTGAATGTTGGTCATTGATCCATTTCTATGAGCCATGGCTTCCACATCATTCACCTCAACTTCCAGATATATATACTGCATATACATATATATATATACCATCTGGTTATTCAACATAGCCATGGAACATCACCGTTTTTTAATAGATAAACCATCTATAAATGGGCCATGGCTTCCATGGCTATGTTAGTCATAACCAGAGGGTATATCATATTATATATACAGCATATACAGCAATCTATCATAATGTATCATGATCTATATTTCGTAGATCCCAGCCAGGAATCCTGACAATTTTCACCTCAACTGACTAGATGGTATAATATATATAATTATATTATGGTATATATCAAGGTATCTATGGTATATAATGCTATTATAATATAATATATATATATTGATCTTCCGTCCAGGAAGACTTGATCTTCTCCAGTGGACTCTTTTCCTTTCTGGCGCAGCTACATCCCTTGCTCTTCGAGGCGGGATGACACCAGTTGGTAATGTGAATTTCACATCGTGAACTGGAAAATCCAATGTTTTTTTTTGACTAGGTAAATTCATATATCTATATATATATATATAAATGGATATAAATGGATCATTTTTCATAGCCGTCTTGAAATCCCAGAGGATATGTAAATGTTTGACATTCTGATAGTATCATCAAGCGCGAATCTGGCCTTACATCAAGCTCGATTAGTTGATTGATCGACGTGATTTGTCGTGATGCCGACTTTTGAAGATTTCTGGGGAATTGTAGTATATTGACATTGAATGATCTTGGTTTAGTATGGTTTAGTGATATCAAAAGAATCTGGTCTTACATGCATCAAGCATGATTGAGTGTTGGCTCGATTGATTTGATTGATTTGATTGATTTGATTGATTTGATTGATTTGATTGATTTGATTGATTTGATTGATTCCCTCTTGGCCATAGGCCAGGCGTGGGAGTGCATGCTAGTACATACGCCAATTCGTTGAGAATCAGCTGCTAGTTCACCCCAGAAACTTGAGTACAGTATATAGAAGCTGCTAATTTACGATGAAGAAACACTGATGATGGAGTCCAATAGAGTCCTTATTACTAACAAGTCATCAGTTACGATAAAGGCAATGCCCATGCCGAAACACTTCGCAGCGCAGGACGATAGCCTCTGGTGCATCAGCGTCCCTCGTACTCTGTGTTGGTTCACCGTAAGTCCAAAGAGGGGCACTTCAAACATCAGATTACTGGTTGGTGGTTTGGAACATGAATAGTGATGGTTAATAGTGGTTAATAGGGTATAAACCAACAATAGGAATATGATGGTGATCTGGTTGGTGGTTTGGAACCATGGAATGGATTATGACTTTCCATTCAGTTGGGAATGTCATCATCCCAACTGACGAACTCATATTTTTCAGATAAATTGAAACCACCAACCAGATGACAATTGCAGAATGTCTTTTTTGAGATCTTAGGAGTGCCCCACCTAGTGACCTAGTGGGTGAACTCCTGTGGGCACGATCTTTGGGTAATTAAACTCATTAAACTATCATCTCGAATGACAACTTTGACTAACATCTTCTCATGAATTGGGATTGGTGAGATCATAAGAGCTGAAACCACTGGATTCCATTCTGGTTGACTGGTCCATGCCCCATGGATTCAAGATGGGGTTTATGAAAAAAGGGGATCCCTTATTGGGGGTATTTATATAATACCGGGGGATGCGACTATGGGTATCATCATGTTTGATATGTTTGTTTAATGGTTGAATACCAAGTTTCGGTTCAATTCCCATTGTCCTAGAATTCCTTGAATGGAGAATCTACAGGAAAACCCCAAATGTGGGGGCGAAAGCCAGGCTTCCTGAAGAGATTCCTTGAAAACAATGCATTGATATTGCGAATGTCTTTTCATTGTTATAGAGTTATATATCATGAACATGATTGCGTACTGTCACCCATAATCATCATCATCATTATCATGACATTCTACAGAACTTAATGTTTTCCTGGTTAAATACCAATTTGTTTATTGGGTATGTAGTATTATTGTTAGTAAGTATAATCATCATGATCATATATAGAACTAATTCCACCACTTTTGTTGGTTACACCGTGACACCCGATATTTTTTACGTTTAACTTTGCATTGTTGCTGGTAAAATCCCATGTTTGTTGTTTAAACCATCATTTTCATTAGCGTTTTTTTGTTTAAATCATGGTAAATTGCCGAGTTTTCGCACGTTTCAATCCCCATCTGGTTGGTGGGTTTGGAACATGGCTTTTATGTTTCCATATATTGGGAATTTCATCATCCCAACTGACGAACTCACTCCATCATTTTTCAGAGGGGTATAGGTCAACCACCAACCAGATCATTATAAATCATCATTAACCATATATTAACCATATATTAACCATATATTAACCATGGAAAATTTCATGCCATTTCCGTCCAGTCGTTCTCTCCCCGACTTCGCCAACTTCGCCCATTTTTCGAGGCCTGGAACGACTACAGCCTGGCTCCCTTCGCCTCGGACGTCAGCAGCGTGCTGCGCAGCAGCTGGTTCTCCGGTCGCGCCTGGATGGTGACCCTGCGACGGATACGCGAGGTGCGGATGGTCGTTAGGTCATGACAGATCTATCATCTATTTATGGTGAGAATATGGATAGTTATAATTAATGGTTATAGAATGTTATAGATGGTTAATATAATATGGTTAACCATCAGTGATGATTAATGGTGATTAACTATCTGAACCATTATTGTTATGTCAATATCTATTTATGGTGATAAATGAATGGTAATAATTAATGGTTATAGATGGTTAGTGATTATTATGTCATCTATTAACAACTATGGTTAGTAATCATTAATGGTAGACAAAGGTGATTAATGGTTAATAATGGGTTAATAATGGTGATTAGTGGTGATTAATGGTAATGTGGGTAAAACAATCATAACCCACCCATGACTGGGCATGGTAAACATACCACCTATAAAAATGGTGATGACTGGGGGATGGTTTATGGCATTGTTTTACCCACATTAACATCATAGAAAACCATGATATAATGTCAACACCAGATTAATAAACCATGGTTTATCAATTAGGGTGGTATTCCCCCAATAGTCATGATTTGATACTTAAATGGTACCTTCCCAATTAAACAGCCTGGGGGGTTATTAATCCAGGGTTGACATGAACCGTATTAGCCAACCGTATAAGCATACTGTGTTACATATTGTGGTACTTCTTGATCCATACGTATGACATTCTATACTTATTCATCATAACTATTATATAACATCAATAAACCAGGTATATATGTGCTACTAATCTGGATACAGTAGTTACCCCAAATGAACTCATAGCGATCAATGAGAATCATGTTATGTTCTATTTTCCAATGGCCATTTTATGGGTGTTTATCACATATGTTCGGACAGACTCAAATGATGCCTGGGGGAGAGGACCAGAAGTACGTTTCGTTGTCATTAATTTATCATGATAGGACCCACAAAGAAAAGCAACATATTTCATAGCCATGACTGTGTCAGCATGTTTTCTGACGTTTTTTTTTGATATAATCCTGTACATATTCACTTTGGAAGCTTTTTTTCGGGCCCAGTTCAACGTGACCGGAGGAGCTGTTACCCAACTGGTCCTTGCAGCAACGCTGGCGACCTTTGCTGAGACAATGGGCCATGGCCGCCTCCAAGGAGAGTGCTGCGGTTTTGGGCCGAAATAGGGTGGGGTGGTTCCAAGGGATGTTTCCCAACTGGTCGAAATTGCCAACAGGTTTTCTGGTTTTCTGGTCCAGATGTATCAAAATTTGTTTGGAAAATGATCCCAGAATCAGATCAACTTGGACTTTGGAAGCGTTGGGTCAGACCTTTTTGGGACATGCCTTGGTGCCGCTCCAGTTCCCGCAGGAGTGTTTGCTGCCGGAGGTCTCTAGGGTTGCCTTCACCAACTATCAATGTGGGGAGACCCAGGTTTTTGATCATTGCTGCAAGGTCCATCTAAATACCAGAAAATTGGCAGAACAAATTGAGAAACCTCCAGAATTTTTGGGAAAATACACATATACAGCATATACCCTCTGGTAAACATACAAAAAGCTATTGAAAATGGCCATAGAAGTAATGGATTTACCCATGAAAAATGGTGGTTTTCCATAGTTATGTGGCTGTTTACCAGAGGGTACTGTAATGATCCAATGGCAAACAAAATCCTTCAACCACTTCAAAACCAATTTCCGGTGATCTTGGGAAATTCTGACCATGGACTTAGGAAAGTTTACCAGATCTGCCGTGAGGCAAACATAGGCAACCATTCCAAAAAATCAACCAACAAGTCATCTCGTTTCGTTGGGAACTTGCTGCATTTTTCATCATCCCTCGGATGCTCCCCCATTCCACCCATTCCGGGTCAACCGAATGAGGGTGGGTCCATGGGTGAGTTTATAGCTGTAAAATTGACAATACAATTTCCAGTATCAGATCGGTGGCCATTTCAGGATCCGATTGATTGGAGGTACCTACCATATATAAGGCCTATTTTTCAGGCCTATGTAAGGGAATATCCTCCCAAAATATGGCCTTATATGGTACAGTACCTCCATTTTAGGATCCTGGAATTCCCATTGATCAGATGAAATGACTATTGGGGGAATCCCCCCCTGATAAAAAGGAAACCATGGAATTTATTAATCCGGGGTTGACAATATAGATAGAGATCCTGAAAATGCAAACTTGTACGGGTCTGTCTGAAAATGAAGTATAATGATGTATACAGTATAAGATGGCGATTTTCCATGGGAACACCGTGACCAACCATCAACTTTTGGTCTACCCTATTTTCAGACAAACCCTAACCCAGTACCCGGCCAAACGAAGCGCCAAACGTTGGGGTTATCCAAGATTGGCCACATGTGTAAATATTTCAATATATCTCAATTACATCCCCAATTTTGTCCATATGTGTTCATGATTGTTTAGTGGCTATCTGAGGTATCTAAGGTGTGCCTTCACCAGTGATATTGATATCCAAGGTGAAGGTGTGGGCATTCGTGGGCAGTGCGACGAAGAAGAGGCATGGATGATGGACCGCAAAGTGGTGACCTTTTTGTAAAAGTTGATGATTTGTGCCCAATGACTGATACAACTGATGATTTGTTGATGATTTAACTTGTGATGATTTCTTTACAACTGGTAAAATATGATGTATGAATACACCATGATTTTTTGTGGGACAATTCATCAGTCGAAGATCAAAAAATGTGGTAAGTCGTCAGTCGTCAGTTGTTTCACCAGTGATGATCCACAGAGGTTGATCACTGGACAACTCACGAATCAACAGTAACGACACGAAACGACAAGTTTCGGATGGTGTGATGGAAAGATGATTCTTTCATAACTTCCAGGTTGTCGAGAGTGAAAACAAAACTGGACGGTTGCAAACAAAACATCCCTTTTTTAGATCCAAAAAAAGTACTTGAATGATCTTGAATGTAACGAAACGAGGCTGTTACCAACAAAAAAAGGTGTCACCCAAGGGAATGGCAACTGAACCCACAATATGTGGGTTTTTCCAGTGGATGCAGAAAATTGAACCCATAGACCCATAGATCGCTGATTTGTAAACCTGTCTAACTGTATATGCACATGATATAACCCCGAATCATCCTAAATTCCAGTTTGCCAGTTACCCTCTGGTAAACAGCCACATAACTATGGAAAAAAAAACACCATTTTTCATGGGAAAACTCACTATTTCGACTGGGCAATTTTCCAGTTTGCAAAGTGTAACAAATTATCAGAGGGTTATACATCAACTTCCCCTCTTTTTATCCCACCGCATTCCAAGGAGTTATTCCCCGTTAGGATTGGTTCAGCTCCAAGCTTTTCATATCCTTCAAATGGTTTCTGTTGATTTCTTTAGATATATGTCTTCCACAATTGTCCATTTATGATATGCAATTACCTACTGTCAACAATTATGTTTTTTTCCAACCATGCACCAGTTATTTTGTCCAACAGGTGTCCATTTATATATATCATTTACATATCATGCGGCAACTAGAAAAAAACATATGATTCAGATTGTGAGAATTAAAACCATTTAATGTAAATGTAATAAAAACATATGATTCAGATTATGAAAATTACATCTTATAATAAAACATTCTTATAAAACATATGATTCTTATAATGTAATTAAAAGAATATAAGAAAAACCATCTCCTAAATCACCATAAATGGGTGGTATGTTCAAACCATTCCCAGTCATGGGTAGTTTTTATGATTGTTTCAACCACATTATTTTTTAGATTCACCAGTATAATTTTATAAAAATATGTTCTAAGATTTCAACTACCCTCTGGTTATTCTAACATAGCCATGGAAAATGGCCCATTTATAGAGGTTTACGTATTAAAAATGGTGATTTTCCATGGCTATGTTAAATAACCAGATGGTACATATATTTTTATATTTGATGGTAAAAACCCATGGGTTTCCTGTAGATTTTCCCTTAAACCAATCCATTGACATATATTTTTATATGATCAGATATATATGATCAGATATGTATATAACACTATTTCAACACTGATATATGCTGATATATGTATACTACACTATTTCATATAAATTCATATCTAGCACTGTTAATGATCAGATTCACTGATTCACCACTTGGAGTGTTTCCTCAACAGGTGGACGCTCGGCACCGTGCGGTGTCGGCGATTTTCGCCCCGCGGAAGCTGGGGCAGCTGGGCGAAGTGGGGCGTTTGAAGAAGGAGAAGTTGGGAGACCCAGAGGATTGGAGAAACCATGGCCCCATATTTTTTAGGGAAAATGATGAGAAACCCATGGGATTTTATGGGATTTTGAAGGGATTTTGATGGGAAAATCATGAGAAACTATGGGATTTTATGGGATTTATGGGATTTTGATGTTTTTTTTTTTGGTGAATATTGGTGATTTCAATGGTGATTTTAATGGTGACTAAATGGGATAGTATGGGACTATCATGGGGAAATATGATGGGATTTTATCGGATTTTGATGGGATTTTGATAGTTACTCTAAATTTTTGGAGAAACCCGATCAGAGGAAGTTTGATAAGTTCCGTAGATTTTGTGGGGTTCCGTCATAGGGGTACCCCCATCTTAGGAAACCTCCAAGGGGAATCTAATGTTCCAAGGGGAATATGTGGGACTTCAGGGGTTGATACTGATGTAGACTTTGATTGATGATTCAGATGATGATGATGATGATTATTATTATTAATTAGTATTTATGATCATTTATTATTATCATTATTATTAATTAGTATTTATTATCATTTATTATTATTAACTAGTATTTATTAATTATTATTATTAATTAGTATTTATTACTATTTTTATTTATTTATTTTTTTTGTTATTATTATTTTATGTATCCATACTTCTCTTTCAATGTCTTCCTAAAATCTCTATCTCTATCTCTCTACAGGTGGCGGAATGATCGTTTCCACGTCCCACACAAACGTCCCAGCGGTTTTTCTCCAGGTTTGTGACCTTGCTTGGGAGTTCCTGGCCGCGAAACGGTGTCTTGGATGTTTTATCCATGCCATGTCCGGCTCACACCTACCATAGTGACATAGTCAGACATGGCTATGGATCAATAGCTATTAATACCATTTTTAGTGGGATGAACATCCATAAATCCCAGCTATGACTTGATGTTCACTACAGGGGTACTATTGGTTTTGACACACTGCCACATAGTCAGACATAGTCGTTCAACGTATCCCTTAAGGCGATGTAGGTGTTGAGGAATTTTTTACGGAGTCCAGCACCAAGGTGGCTTGCGTTCAGCTGTTGCCGTGACGTCCGTGCACCAGCTCTGTCCGGTGCGCCCGGTGCTGCCTTTTTTCGGCGATGGAAGAAGCACCAGAATATGGAAACAAAAACATCAGTGGCTGCGGAGTTGCGGATCAAAATCCTGTACCTCTGTAGTTCACATCATAAGCATGTTGCCAGGATAGTTTTGGCATGTGAACTACTACATCTACTACCCACCAATACGGAGGATTTTTTGGGTTGAGTCTCCGCGGAGGTCCTAGATGTTAGAGCTCCAAAGTCACAGGTGGACATGTCAACCAGGCAGTCAGTGGGATATTCCGATCAACACGGGACCATGAAGAAATAGGCGATGAATATCCATCGGCATGGATCAGAGATGATCAGAGTAATACGGTATCCGTCCAATTGTGTTGTAAGTCCTGGGAAGAATGTCCATTGGCCAGTACTCTTTGATAATTTAGACAATTGGCATCAAATAGCCATGGGAAATTCACCAACTTGTTAGTCATGGCCAGAGGGTACAAGGATTCTCAGTAGCTCAACGTAGAATGATCTGATTTGGGCAGATTTTTTTCACACATCCCTAAAGAAGAACGTAGAATCTCAAAGTGGCATGCATCCAACAGAAAAAACACATTCATTCTGAATCATTCTACCTTTATTTCACAAAAACAACTGAACTCACGTACGTAAAACAATAGATCAGAAGTAGGTTGGCAACCCACGAAATATCTGGATCCACTCGCCAAGATGAAGATACCGCCACTCCGCTACTGCTGCTGATCGAGGATCAGGACAGGACACCTTCCAGACCGAGAGACCGATCCAGGAAGGATCCAGGGACAGGTTTCCGGAAGAACAAACCCAATCTGCTCAAGATTGTTTAGGGGATTGCCCTCTGGTAAACTAACATAACTATGGAAAATCACAATTTTTAATAGGAAAATAACCACTATAAATGGTGATTTTCCATAGTTATGTTAAATTACCAGAGGGTATACTATCCATAAGTCTTCAATTTCCCCTGCTAGTTGATGATAAAGATGGGGATTATACTGAAAACATACTACCCAATCTGCCTGTTTGCTTATTGGATTCCTTTTCGATTTTCAAAATGAGGATCTCCAAAAACCGTCACCCGACACCAATTTTACCCCTCCGGGGATATCTGAGCCAATTTCGGAGGAGCCTGGCGCGTGGGTCGTCCTGGGCATGTCTTGGGAGTCGGATGGAATTTCCATCCTTTCAAAGATGATTTGACCTATTGAACATGGGAAATGAATCTGGGGAAATTATAACGACCTCACTGTTCTCCCTCACTGGAATCATGGATAATAAGGGGAATGATCCCCGGCCCAACAATTCAGGTTAGTGAATTATTCTAATTTACCCAGATGAATGGAAATGACTCATGATTTTCCAGCCATGTTAGCTGAAGCAATGGCAGTCTTTCATTTTGGCTCCGACTTTCTCCATCAGCTCCGCAAGATCGATAGACAGCCAAGAAGACGCCGGGCCGCCGGGAGGGACAATGGTAGACCCATTCTTGCAGCAAGTCGTTCCAAATATTTCCAAATATTGCGTAAGTACCAAGAACTCGAAGAACTCGTTGGAGTTTTTTTAAAATTATTTTTATGATTTAATCGTTCTAAAGATCCTGGAACGATCATCCCAATTGACTGTGGGCTAGAAGTCATATCTTCATATAAGTCATATAAGTCGTATCTTCATATAAATATATAAGTCATACCTATGTAGTCAAACAAAAAATGACTGTTGCTCCTGTATATGTTTCATCTTTTCTTGAAGCAGCCAATCACCAGCCAATCACTTCTTGTTGCGCAGCTGCCATTGGACATGTTGCAGCTGCCATCCGCCCGAATCTGCCTTTTGAAGGCGCCACAAGCCATTCACCCACTGTCACCCACAAAAAACGAAAGGTCTGAAAAAAGCTGGGGATTTTGGGGTACCCTCTGGTAATTTAACATAGCTATTGAAAATCACCATTTTTAATGGGAAAACTCACTATAAATGACCATTTTCAATAGCTATGTTAAATTACCGGAGGGTACCCCATTTTCAGACTACACATTGCTGGATTGACATGGGCATCCATCAAATTTTGTGTTTTTTTTTTTCCAGGCTACTCAACGATCCCCAGTAGCATGTCACTAAGTCATGGTCATGACTTGGATGATGCCTTTGGGAGTACCAGTAGCCTCATTTGGGAAACCTCAACGCCAGCAAAATTCCCATGAACCCCCATCAATGCTGGTTTGGAATATGAATGGATTATGACTTTCCATATATTGGGAATTTCATCATCCCAGGCCCAACTGACGAACTCCATCATTTTTCAGAGGGGTAGGGCGAAAAACCACCAAGCAGATTTCCATTGATCGAACACTCAGCTGAGCGCAGGAGCTAAGCCCCTCGGCTGGCGGCTCCGTACGCGTCACCGGGGAAGTGAAGGACACCTTAGCCCGGCGACGGGGCGACGGGCTGGGGTTAGATTGGTGTGGTTCCTCATCCAAGGGTCTCACACGAATGATCACACGATGTATACCATGATCATTCGTATATGTCCTAGAATGATAGTGGATGTATATCAAAAACTCTAGGATAATTCAGGATATGTAGTTTGCCGCGGTCTTATTTATGGATCACACGAAGTGAAAAACCAAGTCACTGAAATTGTCAAATAGATGATATATGTGCGTTTCTTTTTCTACCATACCAGAGGGACGATTGGTTGAGACGACTGACAAGCAAATTTTGGGATAGGTTAAAACCATCAAATTATGGTGATATAGATAGTAGCATGTTGAACATTTCTTTGGATTTGACAGATAAGTTTAAAAGAAAAAAGTTGATGGAAAATAATTGTTGGGGAAAGATACAAACCTACTCTCAACGATTTAAAACCATCAATTTTTGGGGGTGGGCTTTCCTTCGAGGATTTTCATACATTGAAACAACTCATCTGGCAGATTCAAATGTAACAAGCATAAGATTGAAAGCAAAAACCATGGTCACTTTACTAGAAACATGTGACCGTTGTGACCGTTGTGACCCCGCAGAGTGATCCACTCAGACTTGGGATTTTTAAACACAACCCACACGGCGCCATGGCCATAGACCATAAGATGTGCGATTCAATCGTTCGATATGAGTATTTATAACCAAACCAAAATGAGGACAGGATTTCACATGAAACATTTTTTTACGGGACCTATTGGAAATCACCTAAATGTGGAAATGATATGAAATGATTTATTCCATCATTTCAGCAGCAATTGGAAATGATGGACATATTTAGGGAGAGGAACATCAGCTTCACCTGGCAGTCGGATTTCACCCTGTGAAAACAGTCTCATCACAACCTCCAAAGAGAACAGGAATTTACAGCATTTACTTTGGATCATTTTTCTAGCATGATCTACCTTTTAAGTATATTCCATTTTGAAGAGATTTACGTAATGTTAGAACATGCTAAATGTATCTAAATGTTTGGACCTTTGCGGGAGTTGCCAGGAGGTTCAAAACGGTCAACGCCTTATTCTCCACGTTCCTCGAAGATGATAAAGCCGGGAATGGTGGGCTTGCGGCAAACTCTTTGAACTACGGTTGAACACATGTGGGTAAAACAATGCCATAAACATATAAATCATCCCCCAATTTCACCATTTTTATAGGTGCTTTTTGAAGCATTCCCAGTCATGGGTGGTTTATGTTCCATTGTTTTACGATTGAACTACAGTTTTTGGTTCATCTTTCAGGGCGAACTTCGGGTTGCACTTTTTTGTGCCGGCACATGTTTCACCCGGTGACCCAGCGGGCCCATTTTTCGGTCCGCGGCCGCAGTGAACTAAGGACCGCGGAAGCACCTTACAGGTAGATGCATCATCTCTGATACGTCCAGTGAATGGTGTCCTGCCAGGTGGGATGCCTCATTTTGAAGGAGCCACCATGGGAGCCACTGATTTTGAGGGTCAAAGTTTGGGTTAGATTTGGGATGCCAAGGATTGATGAATTTTGACCATGTGTCAGCTGTGAATGAACTGTCATGAACTGGAAAAGAAATGGGCATGAAGAGGGGCTATGACGATTCCCGATGGCTGGTTTTGGTACCCATTTTGTGTGTGTGTTTAAACATCCAAGTATTAACGACCCAATTATTATGATCCCTTTCTTATTTTCCAAGTTTGCACCGTTGTGTTGCAAAGCCTTGCAAAGCGTGACTGAAAAGGTGTCCATGTGCAAGCAGTCGGTGAATTGGAGGGACCTCAGTTGCTCCATCCTCAGTACGTCCAGCAAAGTGTCGTCCAGCATAGACTTTTTTTTGTATGCGGATGTATAATCCATCTAAATTGGTGTTTAACATTGTTTACCCATTGTATGAACATGATCTCTACCATGGATAAACATTATTTAACCCATTGTACATCTATTGTGTAAATTGGGGATGAACATGGATGAACTAAATTGATACCATGATATTTACCATGATATACATCTGTATAATACAGTATAATCCATCCCCAGTTCATATTAAACAACGCCCCCATTTTATGGAGTCCCAATTTTATGTGGTTTCATCCCCTACATCTCTACATCCACCATGGTTTCTGGGGGGGTGTTTAATATTGAGATTACTGTATACCATGTTTTGAGACTTCATCTATCTACATCTGTCCTGAGATTGGCTTAGTGTATCATTTGCAAATCTGTCCGTGAAGCGAGTGAAGAGGCGAAGCGTTGTGTGGGATCCTCACAGGTGGTGTGGAGATTCAGTTAAGCCTGGGTTGGATCAATACAAAAAGTTTTCTGTGCATTAACAGCAACAATAGGATTAACAGTAAGACAAAACATGTTTTCTGGGTTCCTTCTGGTCTTACATCCTGACTCGTGAGGAAAGCGCGGATCTTGCGAGTCCTGCACAATATGGATATGGCTCTCTACGAGGAATGTCTTTTGCTGCGAAGACGTTGCTTAGCGAACAAAGGGTCGGATCAGTCATGTCGTTGCTTAGCCGGACCACAGATTCATTGCTGAGACTTCACAAGTGATGATACTCAAAACATATCAAGTAAGACATAGTAAGACAGTAAGGCATATGTTTTTTTGTTGGGGGTCAGAATTGAATAGCCCTATGGTTATCTATGGTTATCTATGGTTACCCTCTGGCAAACATAGCTATGGAAAATCACATTTTTTTAATGGGTAAATACACTATCAATGGCCATTTTCAATAGCAAATTGTTAAATTGCCAGAGGGTATCTATGGTTATGTATGGTCAATTCACCAGTTCTATGTCTTTGTTCATTGTCATCTATGGTCATCACAGGGAACAGAATCTTGCCCTGGGCCTTAAAATCGGACTCCCAATATGTTTCGTGTGGGTAAAACAATGCCATAAACCATCCCCAAATTACCATAAATAGATATAAATAGGTGGTATGTTTACCATTCCCAGTCATGGGCGGTTTATGACATTGTTTTACCCACATCAACCGTATCTCGTATCTCAACAATTTTCAACATCCAAATTTTGTGGTACATCATTTTGACCGCTGAGGCGTGGAAGCACAGTACATTGACATCCCAGCGCCAAGTTGAGGACGACCAACGGTCGTCGTGGCTGTCTTGGGCGAATGAAAACACTGATAGTTTCTTGTTCATATTTTTAGGGTCAGTCCCTCGCTTAGGCCTACGTTTTGGCTCGCTTAGGCCTACGTTTATGATATATGACTACAGTATCAATAGAAACATATATAAATGTATTTGAGCACTGTATTTCACGTGCCTTGACGGAGAGTTGAGAACGTATTGGGAACATTTTGCAAGTTACTTGAGGAATATAATACAAAGTATGAGGAACGTCTTGCATGTTACTGGACGAAGATGATACAACATACCAGGAACATCATTCAAGGTTCTTGAAGAAGCTGTGACAACGTACCAGGAACGTCTTGCAAGTTACTTGCAGAAGATTTCACAACGTATCAGGAACGTGTTGCAAGTCACTTGAAGAAGATGTTACAACGTATCAGGAACATCTTGCAAGGTACTTGAAAAAATACAACGTATCAGGAAGGTCGTGCAAGTTACTTACAAGTAGGAAGATGTTGCAAGAATCAGGAACGTCTTGCATGTTACTTGACGAAGATGTTACAACATACCAGGAACATCAATCAAGGTTCCTGAAGAAGTTGTGACAACGTGCCATGAACGTCTTGCAAGTTACTTGTAGAAGATTTCACAACGTATCAGGAACCTGTTGCAAGTCACTTGAAGAAGATCTTACACCGTATCAGGAACATCTGGCAAGTTACTTGAAGAAAAGTTTACAATGTAGCCCGTGGAGCCCGTGGAGCCCACCCCGGGTTTGCGAGTGAAACCCGTTGAAGGGGTTGATGCTGGTGTTCATGCGTGCCATGAGAAAGCAGAGAAGATCTTGGGACGCATCAAGAAGAAGAATTTTTGGTCTGAGCGTGAGATCAAGCTTGCCATGGTGCATCGAGCTTTGCAACTGTGGTGGGCGGCGGCTACCACAAAATCAGGAGCAGGAAGCTCGGCACTTGCAAACAGAGGCTTGGACCCCTCAGTGGCATGCATGTCCCTGGAGAATGTTGACCGATGCAGCACTGATGTTAGAGTCGCAGGAGGAAAGGTGTCGGTTTGGATGCCTGCAGCCTAGGGGTTGTTGAAGAACCCAATAGCTTGAAGCCTAAGGTCTCCTTCTAATTCTATATTACCATGCGTACTTTTTTCACGAAAGCTAGCGTCAGCTAGCTGGAGTCTTCTTGCTTTAGCAAGTATTGGGGGGGCTGCTCAAGGACATCACGTGATTTTTCACGCGAAAGGGCCCCCCCCTGCCCCCTCCCCCATATATATCATTGTTATATATCATATATCAATATATCATTGTTGCATCCTCGTTGGGACGAACAATGCCGCGACACGATGATGACAGTCCCTCCGCAACTCACCTCTTCTCTTCCTTCTTTCTCCTACCCCGCTAGCTTTCGTCATCTACCCCCGGCCTCAAGTATCACAATAGGTCGAGAGTCTCTCAAACTCGTCACAACAACCCATCTGTATTTCCATGGACTTGCCGTTTGCAACCTTTGCTCCAAAGCTTGGTCCCTCAGGTGGTGGCGTATCTGAGTGGCCCAGTTCTACCCATCGGTGAATGCCCTCTGCTTTGGTGGCAGATGAGCATGGCGCAAAGGCATTCCCCGGCCTGACAGTCTTGGCTCGTCAAGCATTAGCTTGTGCAAAAACCTCTGCTGTCATCGAGCGAACTTGGTCGGCTGGAAAGAGATATTGCTGAAGTGGACCCAGGCAGATCCACCCAGTCGTGGAGCCCGTGGAGCCCGTGGAGCCCATGGAGCCCATGGAGCCCGTGGAGCCCGTGGAGCCCGTGGAGCCCGTGGAGCCCGTGGAGCCCGTGGAGCCCGTGGAGCCCGGGGAGCCCGGGGAGCCCGCCCGGGGAGCCCGGGGAGCCCGCCCGGGGAGCCCGGGGAGCCCGGAGCCCGGGGAGCCCGGGGAGCCCGCCCGGGGAGCCCGGGGAGGGAGCCCGGGGAGCCCGGGGAGGGAGCCCGGGGAGCCCGGGGAGGGAGCCCGTGGAGCCCGGGGAGGGAGCCCGTGGAGCCCGGGGAGGGAGCCCGTGGAGCCCGTGGAGCCCGTGGAGCCCGTGGAGCTTATGGAGCCCGTGGTCGTTCAGAAGGGCTCTCGAAGATGTTACAACGTATCAGGAACGTTTTGCAAGTCACTTGACAAAGATGTTACGACGTAGCCGGAACGTCTTGCCTGTGTGTGCACAGGAACATGAACGGTATTACCCCACCCCACCCCAGCGGCAACTGATCATGAAAGCCCCAAGTGCCCCCTAAACCCACCCCAAGTGTCCCCAAGTGTCCCCTATAAACCCACCCCAAGTGTCCCCAAGTGTTAACCTAAAGGTCTGTACCCCATGGTGTTAGTCCTGAAGTCAACATAAAAATTGTCGGCCTAAGTGAGCCAAAAAGTCGGCCTAAGTGAGCCTTGGACCATATTTTTAGTGATGGATAGCCATAGGATTTAATCACCAGTTTAAATGGTGAGATTGGTAAATGAGTTTTTTTTACCCACAAAATCGAGTAACAAATCTCACTGGATTAGGCAATTTTAGTGAGGAAAATGATGTTCCAAAAACTCAACTGTTTTGCGCATGGAATTCTGCGGTACCTTATGGATCACGGGGCCTTAAAGGCTGGGCATTGATCATGGAGCCCAATGATCAATGGAACCCAGTGATTTGATCATTGAAACTATTGATCAACTCGCCGAAGAAAGTCCATAGCTTCAATGGCTCCTTTTTTATGTCGGCATTTCGTCCTTGAAATCATGTGATGATCCAGGCGGATCATTGGATATCTTGAAGAGTTTTTGCACGATATTCACTAGATTATATACTATATCGCTAGAATATGTTTAATAACATTAATGTATATTCATGCAATATTATTGTACATAATTATACATATATTATTATGCATAATGAATATGTATATATATGTATGGTTACTAGGTATGGTGAATTTGAGCGGCCCCTGCCAGCTTGCCAGCTTGCCAGCTCGGCCCGTTCATCTCCAGGAGAGAGTGATCGTTGTCCAAAGGTACGTGACAGGGGACCAAAGGTGTCCCGCAACAGGCTGCCCAAGATGGGTGTGCCCGAGAAAACACGAGATTTCACAGGGAAGTTGAGGGACCAAGTTGATTGCGAAACCCAGATGGTTCATCATATTTCCACGTTTTGTTTTTGTTTGATCCATTGTATGATGAGGTCCCCATTTTAGGAATCGCCCAAAAGAGGCCGCATTCGCTCATCCAGAAGTTTGTAGGGTCTTGGGAAAAGGGATCCGGCCGGTGCTTTCCCGCAGAGCTCGTTGATATTGGATGCAATCAGAGATCTTCCCCTGAAAACGTGCCCAAGAGGGAGGAATACTGTGCGCAAAACCAGAAGTGATCATGAGAAATTCAGGATTCCAACTGAGTCAGAAATTGTATGAAATTGTATACATCCATATGCTGGAAATCCTTTGTCAAATATGTCGTCCCTTCATCTATGTTTCTTGGTTGGTTCTTGATGATGTTTTGGGGCTCCATTCTTGGTCCCCTGGAAATAGATCGCCTACAGGGGATTGTCCAGCCCCGGTTGAAAAACAGTTCTTAAATCAGGAACATGTGTTCTTTTTTCTATTGAATGTACCCTCTGGTTATGACTAACATAGCCATGGTATAGATGGTCCATTTTTAGATGATTTTCCAATTAAAACCTCATAAAACCTCCATTTATAAGGGATTTTCCCCACATTAACCATCTATTTCTATTAGACATGGGGTGTGATTTTCCCCACAAAATCACCGTGTCCATCCCCACCGGAATCCCCACCATGATGAAATCTCCCCGAGTTGTTGGGTAGCTTACTCCGTTCATAGCTGTACATGGGTTTCAGTACATTACCCGGTGAAACAAAAAGACAAGCCGTGCTTGGGTATCCAAGATCATCCCAGATCAACAAAAATTACCAAGGGGCGCACATGTTCATCAAGATTCGAGGACTCGAGGAATTCAGTTGGCCTCCTCTATTAGTATCCCTTGAACGAACAGTTTGATGTTTTCTTTAGCTGCTACTTAGCTGCTGTTCATTCATCTTCTATCAGTTCCTTACTATTCATCTAGTTATCATCCATTTAGCTGAGACCTATCTAAACATACACAATATACAACACGTTGCGAAAATCAGTTGGCCAAGCATAATATCATAAATACGTAGACAGTTAGATGGCAAGATATCTTGCTCGATAGCATTAGATTAGATAACTATAGATAGATGAATGTGTTCACATATGAATATAGAAGTCAATATAATAATTCACTAGGTATCAGTATCATCCATTGTATATATATATATATATATTATACACATAATCCAATACAAATATGTATATATATATACAGATAATATACACATACCCTTATAATGTACATTGACCGCCCCCTGTACTACTACAGCAGAATATACATTTTCCAAGCGCCTCAACAGCCTATACTTAGCCATTTAAAACACCGTGGTGCTCACCCTTTCATGTCTCTAGGTGAATCCGGACAGTTCATCAACTTGAAACTCAGGTCTGTTGGGGCCAGTATCATCCTACTATATTTTCTGCAACAAAGAGTATGGCTGGATGAGTTTTTCCATAATTTGGCGCCTAAACCCATTCTGGCATTTCCAGTTTCCGCTGCAACTTTGCACAAGCAAAAAGACGTGGCGTTGCCTGGTGCATGAACTTGTCTTGAGATGTCTTGAGCCATCTTGCATGACATCTCACCAATAACCACAATGTGAGGCCCCCAAGATAGCTAAGTTGGTTTTTAAGTCCAATAACTATGGTTTATGGTACTTGTAACTATAGTTACTGGGGCGAATCTAAACCAACAAACATCACTGGGGGGCCTCATCAATAACCAGTGGCATTGCCATAGACATTGGGCTGAGAAGATGACCGATGTCCAATCCAATGCCATGTGCAAATGCTTTGCTAACTTCTTGCGAAACACATCCCCGAAATGTTTTTTTTGTGGGTGCCGAAATGGTGACTTATGGATACTTATGGTATATGTACTATGATATTATAGTATATATATAATATCACCCATTCAAGCAGTTACTAACATGTTTGCCGAAACATGCTTCAGAATCTGCCAGGAACCAGTCCTCGACTATTTCGGCCTTCCGGCAGCACCTGACAGGCGCAACCACGGAGAGATAACAGAAATGGGGGATGTAATAGGGATATATTATGATATAATGGAATATAATGGTGATATAATGGGATATAGCACTGATAATATGATATATCATCACACATTCTGTGGCGGTATGCACACAAGGAACTAAGTAACGTTTTATATCTTAATATGATAAATGGTTTATAATGACTTGCTCTGAAACTAGGACAATTACACCCACAAATCTGATGCTTATCATGATTTATCGCAATATTCTGCACTAAAAACCTGCAAATGAGGATAATACGATGGGCAATCACGGGGAAGATGTTTTTTGGCAGCTAATCCGATATTATAATCCTTTCCCCCAAATATTGAATACAATTTTTTTGGACCCTGGAATTACCAATTCCATGTAGTTCCCATCGCAACAGGAGGGTTCTTGGAGGTGTGTCTGATATTTGGAAGGACTTATTTGTGGCTGTAGCTCAAACATGTATGGATTGTCATCTAAGATGGGACCCTCAACATGTTAACTTTCCATTGGTAAAATCATCCCCCCAATCTCTTTTTGTGGACTTTCCATTGTGAACTTTAGATTTGAGATCCTCCAAAACTTATAAGAATATCTTGTACATACCAAACATTCCCCAGGAAAAAAGGCGTCAAATCTGCTGGATTTTGTGTCCCGCCTAGGGGTCCACGCAACAGCTTCCGCGGAGTGGTGCGACTGCGTTGGCGCATGGAACTGAGAAGTCGTCTACCGGAGATGTTTGGGTTATAGATGATGATGTTTAATGATGTTGAATGATGTTCAATGATGTTTAATGATGTTTAATGATTATAGATGATCAGTAGCCCATGAGGGCAGAAGTCAACCCCCATGAGGCCATCATACTGGATATAACGGTTTTTATAATATACTAATCCAGTATAAATGAACTCACTGATTCACTGTAAGGACCCTCAATCATATAATATAGTATCACATATAAAGCATTATGAGGACCTCACTGATCTCCCGAACCCTGGAATGGTTTATAGGGAATCGTCCCAATAGTTGGCCCAACATTTTAGTGTTTTTTTTTTTTAAACAAAAGTTACCCCAATAATAAGTTTGTTTAGAACTAGGTGAATTCTATGATTTATGGATGTTTATGGTAGATATATGTATAATGAATGGGGGTTATAAACCAACGTCTAACTGGAGGGTCACCACCTTGCACGTTTTTGTCTGAAAATGAGGTACAGGTACCCCCATATCCAACGATTTATCACTATGTTTCCTATGTAATGGTAACCATTCGACCCATGTGATGGCCCTAGTGGTTTAGTTCACCCATTGATCGAGGAGATTCGTCTCTAATCTAACTGGATCGGTTCAAAGGGACGATCTACAACATGCGACCAGGCGACCTTGAACCACCCAACATGTAAAAAACAGAGATATCATATATATATAGATATCATATATATATACATATATAGTATAGTATATATATAGATAGATAGATATCCCCATATAAAGTCCATGTTTTGCGACTGAAAATGGCTGAAATACCATGGGAATTTCATGCCATAGATTTCAAGCTGGAACCAACCGCCCAAGTCGGTCGCCGTTTTTAAACAACGATCAAGGTGAGACGGTGTTATACTTGGCCAGCAGTAGCTCACCCTTGAGGCCTTGACTAATATTGACTGCTGTGTCGATGGCGAGGATATGCCTACTGCAGGGATATATGTTTTTTTAGCCAGATAAGGAGATATAGTGGGGATATTTCATGGAGATATTTGGACATATCACCAATATCATATTCATGGATCTATCTGAACATGAGGATTAAGCATGATTAAGTTAAGCCGTAAAAATGCCAAAACAATTGAGAACATGGGATGATGAACCCGTGGATGGGATTTCTTATACACAGCTTAAGGCCGAACTGACAGCTTAGTGAAATGTTTAAATTCAGCCGGATGGATGAATGGTGTTCATATACAATATACTATTATATACATATCATGATTCATCCCCAAAATCCCCACACATCTGGTTTGGGATTTATTCTATATAAAGTATCCAGCGCATTCATGTTCAGCATGTTCAGAAAAACGAAAATCACCTAGTTCTATGGAATCACATGGATGTTCAAAGTGAGTACTTCCCAGAAAGTCAATTCATCCCCCACTCAACGCCAACAAAGCAGGGACCAATGGATACCATGGGGGTTTGCCTGAAAATTTTCGGGGAAGACCCCCAAATTCGATAGTTCATGAATGTTACCCTCTGGTAATTTGTTACATAGCTATAGAAAGATCCACCATTTTAATAGGTAAACCATGGTAAACCATCATCCTAAATGGGCCATTTTCCATAGTTTTTTGTATGTTTACCAGGCCGGGTAATCATCATTTTCCCTAGTAAAATTGCTTGAACACTGCTGACCAACCAACTATCCATGGTCAGATCAACGGATCAGCAGATGAATTCGCACAGTAGATCCCTCTGCCCATGGAAAACAAAGAAACTGTTTTTTTTTTTCCCCATGATACCTATACATTCTAGTGATCATGATACCTAATGATCATTAATCATAACCAACTTTTCCATGATACCTAATTATACATTCTACCACCAACATGTGATGTTTAGAAGGATGTTTGAAAGTTGTTTTTATGACCCCGAAAAAACACCGTTAAAACACATCGTCCTGGTTTCACCATGGACATCGCCGGAGGTCAGAGTACTTCCCAAAAGCGATGCCGATCTCCTCCAAAGAGCTCTCTGGCGCAGAACGAATGGGGCATATGCACCAGCAGAATGTGGGGGTTTCCTACAATGGGGTACCCGTAATGGATGGTTTATAATGGAAAATCCTATTAAAATGGATGATTATTAGCCAGAAACCATGATGTTTGAGTGTTTCGAGGAATTCAATAGGAGCTTAGGCGCTCCTCTTGGCTGGTCATATTTGACATATCCCATGTCTCTTGG